TGGGTTCGTGGGTTCGTGGGTTCGTGGGTTCGTGGGTTCGTGGGTTCATGGGTTCATGGGTTCATGGGTTCATGGGTTCATGGGTTTGGGGTTTGGGGTTTGGGGTTTGTTTGTTTTTGTGTCGGAGGTTTTGGGTTCGGTTGGAGGTTTTGGGTTCGGGTGTTGGAGGTTGAGGTTTCCGAAGGGATGTGTTTGCAAAGTTTTATTGCTCTTAATATTAAGAAAATTTATTGTTCTTCCAGTCGAAATTCGAAATTTATTGTTTTTTGTGGAAGTTTCTGATGATGTTGCACAGAGAACTACATTGTTTAAACAACAACTTGGTACAGGGAATGCTATATTTATTCGTTTTGGAAAGTATGTTGTAGTTTCTTCCCCAGTCGCCTTGTACTATATCCCATTCCAATTACTACATATTTCATACAGCATATAATTAGTCACTTCTTATCGCTATCCGTGTCAAAACGATGTGTAGTTTATTACTTGATAAATCAGTAGGTATTCACATTCAAGATTTTTTTCGATGACAAAAGCGCGGATCATGTTGGTCCATTAACATTTTACCTCCTTACATGATTTTGATGAACAGAAAGATGCATAGCTTCCACGCAAAGATGTTTATGTTGCAACTTCCTAGATTTGTTCCTATCAAATGCAATGGCCATGCCTTTTATTTTTCTAGTAGCATACTGAAACTTTCCATCTTTCATGCGCATGCGCCATTGCGTTCGCGCCGTCAGCTTCGTGCACCAGCAGCCATGTTGTTTTCATGATTGGGTTCACCCTTTCAAGCGCGCGAAGCGTGCGTCTGAAGTCATCTGAGCCCACGACACTCTGGTTTCGAAATACGGCCGCATGCTGGTTGAAGAACCCAGTGAAGAACCTTGTTTCTTTGTTGAAAGCTAGCAGATTCATCGCAATTTTGAGTGTCTTGTCTGGCCATTAGAACAGAAATTAGAAGGTGCAACTTTTTTGCGATTCGATCTTCAGTTTTTAAACAAGGACTCTTATCAATTACAATTTGTCGATAGAAGAAGCACCTAGTAAAGGTGGCGACCTGGTCAGTCACAGAAAACCTCCCGTGCAGTATCCATGCTTGCGCCAAGTTGAGCCTCTGGTACCAGGAAAGGCGAAATCTTTGCCGCCATATACAAGACGGACTAGTGTATATGCTTGCTGCGTGAAGGCGCCAAAGGAACGAGAACTATTTTTTGACCGACGGCTATGCGGAACGAGCGCTATAATCGACCCTTGGAAGTTCGTATGCAAGGCGAATAAACGACCGGTTGTACGGCGAGGATATTAGACGAATCTCGAAATATCCGACGACGAAAAAACTTTTTTCGTTACTGTTGAAGTTCCTCGTCCTCTAGCAACGAGCTTTTCTTTGCTCCATCCTGGTAGTCCAGCACCAACCCGCATCCGCGTCGCTCAGCGATACTACTGCTGCTCGTCGAAAAAACAACACTACCAGCCGAAAGTTGACACCCCAACCAAGAACTTTGAACTTTAGTTCTGCTACTACACAAGCAGGAGGAACGAACGAAAATGAACAACCTAACACACGCGGCGATCATCAAGGATAAGCTGTCCAACCTTGGGCACAAAATCGCCCACAAGATTGACAATGCGGTACACTTTATAACTTTTTCTCAACAAGAACACAGAAAGAAATTATGTCTAGTTTAACAAGAAACTGGAACTCGCATTGATGTCGTGACCCATCACTGCACTAAGAACCCATGATCAAAGGTTGCGAAAATGGTGGACGACCAAATTCCCACATTGGAGAATCCGGTTAAGTACAAAGTTTGCCATCGAGGTGGGGCCTTAGTCAGGGAAGGATATGACACGACGACGCCACAAGTAGCCCAATTAAACTATGGCGAGTCGATTGTCATCGTAGAGTTGGTGGGTCGAAGGGCAAGAATGGTACAAATTGAAATTTTCTCTTCACTTCTGCTGGTTCACTCAGATCACATTGCGGTTTCGTTTGCGTACCTTGTGATTTTGTAGTAAAACAAAATCCTTCTCTTAAGTACACCAGCACTTTCATCCAAGAATGACATCTTTTTAACGTCGTTCTCCATGACATCAGATACAACCGGTGTATGGATGGGTCAGCTTGCGGACGAAAGATGGGGTGAAGATATTGGAGCAAAAGCATTCACTGGGCAAAGTTTCTGTCCGAAACGACAAAGGATTCGAGAAGGCCTTCGATGAGCGTTTCCAGAAGGTAGACCTACGAAAAAGTTGTAGAATTTCTACGAGTTGTGTTTACTATTATACGACTCCGAATTGTTCACAATGAGTTGCAGCACCAGTCTTGATTTATTTGGATTGTTGTCACTGATTGAAGTCTTCCCCAGATAGAACTCATCTTATCATTATCTAGAATGAAGAAGAACACATTGAATATCGTTGTCACCTATCTGCAGTAGGTACGATCGGGCCAGCTTGCGGAAGAGCACGAACGTCGGAAGCAAATGGAGGAGCGTGAAGAGGATCTAGAGCGCATGCGCCAGAGGCAAGGAGGTGGCGGTGGACAGTCTAGTGGCGACTTTTTCTTAAGGCTTCTTCTAATCCCTCTCCAGAAGCATCTTGGTGGAGCTGTCCCACAGATGAGGGGAAAGCAGCTTCAGGATAGCTGAGTTTCAAGATAAATTAGGGTGATTTCATCTAATTTTTGCGGACTTTGGAGGCGACGCTGATTCCGGTGCAGGAGGACCAGTCGACCTGCTTGGCGGCCTAGAGGAGACAAGTCCGACTAAAAAGGTTGCACTGCTAGAATTACGGCTCTTGATAATTCTTCTCCACTGGACTAGAGACTTCTTGTCTCAGTTCCCTTCTTGGATTCGGAGACTATCCTGTGAGCTTAATAAAAGATGAATTATCGCGGCGAGGGCTAATATGAGCGCCGCGTGTAGTCGGAGATGCTCCGATTCCACGACTAGGAGCTCCGGGAACGGAGCCAATAGCGGCACCAGCGAAGAAAAAAGCATCCTCACCATGGGATCAACCGTTCCAATCCGGAGGCGCGACCGGGAGTGGCAGGTTTTAGTGATCTCTGTTTCATTCAAACATATAAAGAAGTAAATCGCTGCACGATTGTTTGATAGTCCTTTACTGTGTGTCGTGATCGCTGCACGATTGTTTGATAGTCCTTTACTGTGTGTCGTAATCGCTGCACGATTGCTTGATAGTCCTTCGCTGCGTGTCGTGGCACAACACCGGAATATCAAGTACTTAGACATGATCATATTATCGTTAATTTTTTCACCAGGAATTCAAATTTAGCATCTTACTTACAAATTTCAGCTTCGCAACCTCGTCGGGTGGGGAAATAGACCTTCTCGATGGGGGACCATCTAGTGGAGGGCCATCTAGTGGAGGGGCCGACTTCTTTTCGTCGGGAGGCGGCAGCGCAGATCTACTATCTGGTAAGTTTGAATCCAATTTTTGTGTGCATGACGAAGTCATAGTTGTAGTGGTTTATTCTCTACTTACATATTTTTATGTCCACCGGTACCGGGTTTCTGTTCCCTGGAATAAAAACAACAACAAAAAATATTGACCCTAAAAATGATCATCCATTTCAGGTGGGTCCGCAGGAGAGGTTCCTTTCTCTGACTTTGGCGCGGCTTCAGCCGCAGCACCACAGGGGGGAGCGGATCTGTTATTCGACTTTGGTGGGTCTGGCTCGGCTTCAAGTGGTGGCTTTGGAGGGGAAGCCTCTTCAGGGTTCGTCGCAGATTTTGGCGACTTTTCTGGCAGTGCCACTTCAAGCACTTCTTTTGGTGGTGCGGGAGGAGACCCTTTTTCTGGAGTCAATGCTAACGCCAATGCTAATAACACTGTAGACGACCTGCTTGGTGGCGGGGGAAGTAATAACAATGTTATGAACTCCTGAAACTACTGAAAGAGACTTAATGATTTTGCCATTTTAGAAGTATCTGCGATTCTCGTAGAAGATTTGTGCTGAGCATGCTTGTATAATTGGTAAAACTCGTTTTCCACATTTGTGACATAGTGCTTTCGGTCTTGTTTTCCTTAGACCAGTACAGGCTCTAAGAAGACGTCCGCAAGTGGTGGAGCAGACCTCTTTTTTGGCGCGCCGCAAGGGATAAAGCAGAGTGGACCACCCGATCTTCTTGGAGGCGATGGCAGCGGAGGTTTTCCAGGTCCAAGCATCATTCTCACTGACAAAGAGGCTGAAGCGAAAAAGAAAGAAGAAAAGAGTAACGACATAGATCTAGACCTCTTTGGCTAATAAAGGGTGTCTTGAAATATTGTTACTTTAATAAATAAATATTGTTCGTTCTTGATGATGATCATGTCCATGTGAAAATAAATACGTATGATGGTATGATCTATTGCATTTTCCAACTGGCAGCAACCAAACATTACAAGACTCTAAATCACTTGATGCAAGAACTCTGCAACTTTCAACCGATTTTATCAAGCGAAGCTAAGGTGCTCTTTGACATCACGGGAAAGAGGTCCGTAATCTTCTGCACTGAGGGTGTAAGCAATCTGTGTGACTGATAGTGATGTGAAGGAGTACGAGCAGAGCTAGTATGAGTATGTAGCCACCATCAACAGTGTCTGAGTGGTCGTGAGAGAAAACAGAGAGACAGAACAAGTGTCGTGATCAATCGGTACTAGAAGGAGCAGCAGTATCGGTTCTACCTTCTTCACCAAAGTAAGAGTAATGCGTCGCACTTAACTCATGATCCAACACCCACAACTCCGCTTTTGCTCCTCCTCGCACTATCGCATAGGTCCCATACAAAGAAACATAGCGATAAGACTTACCATCCCGCTCGTTACACTAGAGATAAATGTATTTTCTACGAATATCATCTATAAGTCTAATACTTCTAAATGCCCACACACAAGTTTTTTTGTCCATTATGTAATGTAACTATATTTATCAAAGCGACGTTGATACCATGTAGAGGGTCCTGGTATTACATCAACGATGCAATCGTGAAGGGGTGTGCTTGCTGCTGCAGAGCTTGTGTGCTGTTGCAGACTGGAGCGGTAATATTGACTGGACAGAAAACCGTTAGAGGCGCAAAGGAGCGAACGTTGTTGATCTTGGCGTAAGTTGCGTCTCAGCGATCGATCAATACGCCTCAAGATGAGTCGCTGCAAGTATTAAGCACTTGCGCTCACGCAGACCCAGACACTCACCACTAGCAGCAAAACCAAGACGAATTCATCTTCGATGTGCGGATGTGCACGCTGCATGACAACGACCATCAAGAATAATGTACCAGCAGTAAGAACCGTTCTTGAGCACCTTTATTTGCGATCGCAGTAGGTTGACGCTGGTACTAGAACCACAACGCCTCTCCTGCCGAACAGCAGGCGGACAAGCGACAGCACAGTTCCAGCGAACGCGAAACTAGAAGAGCCAAGTAGTTGAACGACATTAAGCGAAACTACTCTAGATCTACAAGATGTCGGATATTGTCAGTACGGCCGTCTCAGCGCTCTTCGATCCCGACACCGGTATGGAGGCGCCCTTCGTTGATGACTTCCGGCAGAGACAAGATCCACACGTCTCGGTACCCGATCTTCTACGGATATTTTCAAATTCATAAGGTTTTTTATCTATATAATTAGGTTGAGTGCGCTACTCTATCCCTTATCTACATTCATTTCTTTTTACTTTTCCTAGTTAGGTTGGCTCCACCCATATATTATAGGTTGAATGATATTTATAGCTGTTCTTCTTGTTCTTTCCACAAGTTATGCTCGACTGACTCAAGTTAACAACAGGTAATGAGCAGGACAAGAAAACATGATTAACGAACAAAAAGGTTGTACATACTACATGATTGACTCAAACTTCGTACAGTGTGGGAAGCTTCCTACTTGGGCGGACCTAGCGAAGGAGGTCGAGCACGAGGCCCGAAATTCACAAGTGCCAATCGGGGTAGACGAGGTTGAGAACCCTTTTTCTGTCGATGTACGGCCTTGCAAGAGGATCAAACTTTACATGGTACTATCAAAGGATCAAACTTTACGTATAACAAAGCGTTGCAAGAATTGCAAAGAAATGTGGAAATTCTTCTTGGTTGTGGGTCGAGCAATCGAGTTTCCGTAAAAGCAGTGTCCTTGAAAACTAGTCATGTTGTAAACCGATGTATGACTTCTAAATACTTAACTTAACTTAGCGAACCTAACCTAACCTAACTTAGCGAATCAGATTCGAATTTTGACCACAGGGTGATATTTGTTCCTTGGACGCGCAGGGCTTGTGCTTTGATGTGTCTTACGCGTTCCCTCCTGCGGAATCGCCACGTAGCTCACCGAAGCACTACGTGCCGCCACAGAACAATTATGGGAACCGCTGAAGCATCCTCAGCGCCATCTACCCTGGCTCTTTTTCTACTGGAAAAAGAAGGCACTGGAAAAAGGATGGTCTCAGCGATGCGATCGGGCTAGCTCTAAAACATTCAGTACCAGCAGAGTGGTGGGCCGTTCTTGTATAGCAACGACGCCCTAACAGGCGATGTGACATCAACGGCTTGTCCAAGTAGCGCTTCTAGTTCGGCCAGTTATGGTCACCAGGACGACTTGAGTGGTTACTGGGGGAGCACGGTTCCAAGTACCGGGTCTTACCATGTAGGCGGAAGCAGCAGCTCGACGGCACCAGCATCCGCGCTCAGTAGAGGTGGAAGCGGGTTTTTGGTGAACGGAGGGTCAGCGGAAGCGTTTCGTGCTCCACCTCCATCAGGTGGGGCAGACGCGAATGGTGGAGGACCACAGTATTTCAATATCGGAGAAGACGACGCAGCTAGCACAATTGCTTGCGATGTGACTGCCAATTATTCCGATATTGAGATCGGAGGAGCTGATGCTTAAGGGGGTCCAGTTTTTTTCATCATGTCATTGTCAAGTGGTACATGTGGAGTATCCTGAGATGTGGGCTGCAAGGAGAGCCACAACCACATCACAAGGATACGGACTTGACATAACAGTGACTCTAGACGATGAAACGTAAACTAGAACTACTACTTCTAAAACCTGTCGCGAGATCTCGCCAGTCGTGCTGGAGAAACTACAGGGCCATTAGGAAATGGCGGCATTGGAGCGCGCGGGCCCTCCAAGGACCCTCTGACACGCAGTAAAGAGAATCGGGCGAGTGCCGCTTCAATCGAACAGCCTTACTGGGACCCACTCCAATATGCGGTACCTAGCCGTCTAGGAAATCCAGACGCACGTGAGACACCATGTTCGCTACTACAGACGGGCGGCGTTCGGAACCTGTTGAAAGAGTACCTCCTTCACAACCTGTTGTTTCATTACTAGGGAGAATGATTCTATGAAGAAGTACTAGAAGTGAAGTCAAACTCAAATTCTTCTGATAACGAGGTTCTTCAAATAAGAATTACGACTCTGATAGAAGTTTCTTTGTTGTACAACGCGAAACTGAGACCTTATTTCCAACTAACGAAGGTTTCACCACGTGATGTCGCTTCATAGTGGCTCGCAAATGGTTTCGACACTGGTTGCAGACGAGTCAGCAGGTTCGGACTTGTTTGCGGTCGCACTAGAATCAGAGATTTCTGGAAGAGGCGCGATGCACCCTCGGCTACTCAGTAGGGATTTCAACGGCCGCGACGTCGGGCACACGATTGTGGTTGCCTCAGAGTCTGAAACCTCAGTCACGCAACCGTCAAAACTCCTCCGAGGCGGTGAAGTTGTACTAATTTTACTCGTATGAGGATTCTTTTCATCTCGTGCAAATAAGATTCTTGACTATCTAAGGATCAAAAGCTCATTTATGAAGATTGAAGAAAGATGCAGGTCTACAAGCCAGGACCCGTATTGACTCATCCATCGCCAAACCAACCACCGCAGGTTCATATGAAAGGGAACTTTGGAAATCTGTTATGCCGCAACCTGATAATGTTCAGTGGGCCACGATACACCGTGAAATATAAGAAAGCCGCGAGGCATACATGGCACGTCTGCGTAAGAAGCTTAGTTTAGATTTACGTCTTTTTTGTTTTTAATTCTTGATCGTCATCCGTACGCTTAGCTTGCTTTCCATTTTTTGGTTTGACAAAAATCAAAAAATCAAAGTCATCACTATGATTCTTTGAGTTTTTGATTCATCAATCGATCCGATTCATATAATAAATTTGGAATTCATTGTTTCAAGAATACGAGAAGCATCGAACTACCAGGTACGGGAGATCTTAAAAACAGCTGACGAGTTAAAATTAAAGAGCATCGCAATCCCGATTTGCTACTGCGTTCGCAAAGGGTACCCGTTGAAGGAGAGCGTACACATTATGCTACGAACGATCAGGCGGTGGTTGGATCTCCTGCCCAACAACATAGAAGAAGTCATCCTCGTCACGCCGTTCACCGAACACTACAACCTGGCGAAAGAACTCCTTAGAATCTACTTTCCAAGGTACTATAGTCTTCTATACTCATCTGAATGATGTAGGACTTCTTGTTAGTGACACGTGATTTTGATCTTCGTAGCGTGATGATTTGTCAATCGTAGTGAGTCATTAACATTTTGATTTTCGAATTCACTTCGCACTACTTCTAATTCAGATCATCACAGTCTTCTTCTCTTTCACGTCCTTGTCAACATCCTACCCATGTCGCGATTACAGATTCATGCGCGAGGGCGATGTCTTGCTCTATGAGGAGCTGCATGAATGGATGGCGATCGAGAGCATGACAAAAGACAGCTCAATGGATAAGGTAGAGGCGGACGAAGGGGATGCTCAGCAGCAGGCAAGAGCTAGACTAATGCTACTTCAAGTTATGCTTGTTCATGACTTATAGATTTTTGTTTTTGTTAGAAGAGGACTTCTTAAATTAGGGGAATTAAATAGGAAGTGAAGCCTCCTGGTATTAAAAGTCCCGTCGACAGTTTCGGAGTACTGGCCTGGGCATCATGCCATACCCAAACGGAATCGGGCTGGCGCAATGTCCACACGCTCAGTTACCGAAACCTAATCTACGAGAGGTTAGTAGTGTTGTACTCAAGTTTTTCTCTTGATGTTAAAAGCCAACTACATGTGGAAACAGAGATAGATTTTAACGAGGACACCTATAGATAGTACACATACACTGACTGCGCCATAGGAACACGAGCATCATGGAAAAAATTGCTTATTAAGTATTTGAGTTTCCTTCTAATCGCCCACAATTTTTTGGCGATCCTCAGACAGGAGAATACGTGGACAGCCGAGACGGGAAGAAAGCGCACGAATCTCTAAAGCGGATGATTAAGAAGAAGAAGCAAAAAGCGGATGATGCGCTGACTTGCAAATCCCCGGAGGACGTGGACGTATGTCTGTTTACCTGTTGTATGTACGTATGTCTGTTTACCTGTAGTTGTATGTCTTTTTAGCACATCATGACTTCATGAATCAAAGGGTAGCAGTTCCACCTGAAGCATTTCATATTTTTAGCAATAAGATTCTACGGATTTCATCTCAGTGGTGCGAGTAAGCTTTGTCCTCATCTAGGGGATTTCATATTAAAGACAACTACACAGGGCCTACTTATCCTTCTAACACATACTCAACATACTCTAGAAAAAATCATTGTTGTACTTCGTTTCAAAACAGGCGAGCGCCGCGCCTTCCTCGGCACTGACGAGACGGGACGAAGACGAGCGTAGTGATGACGGGGAGTTGATCGAGAACTTCGTAGGCGACTGGGATCACGTGGCGCAAAGGCGTCTCTCAATGACCATGTGGGAAGCCGAGTCGGCGATTGAGTGTGCACGCATTTACTTCCGAACTCTCCGTCACTGCCATGAGATGCAGGCACGCAATCTCGACTTTCTCATCGATAACTCAGCGGGAGGAGGTATCTACTTTTACTCAGATTGACGAGGTCACTACTTTTACTCACTTTTATCGAAAAATTGTGCTGAACTAAATGTATGGTCGAAACGAAGCACGTGAATGTATCCTTGAAATTTTTAGGCGCGGGCAATCCTGGGGGACCGCGACCTGTTATCGTCCCGCATATGTGGCTTTTGGGCGACCGAGTACCTGTTCGATTCACCGAAGAGCAGCTATTGGGTTTTTTTGTTTCTAAGATAGAATCGTTTCGAGACATGGCTACGCCGGCCCCCGGCCGCCTCGTCCAAGAATGTTATCTTGTGTACGCGCACGCCACAGGACAGTATTTACCCGCGAGCAGGCAGTTCTTCGGAGAAATCGTAATTTTTCGTTTTGCCTCATCTCCATGTGGTCTTAGTGAGTGTTCTTTTGTCGTCCTTTGATGTATACATAGAGAAGCTGACTCTTACAAACACCTACTTATATCTACAAACACTTTTCACATCAACTTTTCAGGTGCGCACCATAGAGTGGATAATGCCTGGAATGCAATTGATTATCGTGCACCCAACGGTCGCTATTAAGTTAAGCCTGTAGAAGATAATTCAGATTCATCTTTTCTTGGCGCATTTATCCTCGAATACAAGTATGGACGACCAGTATATACTATCGTGATATTTAAGTACTTTCTATGGATGGACCAGTAGACAGATGAGTTACGGAGAGCTCTAATGAAGGCGCTGTTTGCCTTCTGGTATGCCACAGGCACTATCAGTGGAGACTTGTGGAACCGGTTAATCTACTGCGACTCAGTGCAGGAGCTGCGGCAGTATAAGCTTGGAGAGATTCCAAGGTCCGTCGAAGAGTTCGACACTTTTTTCCATAGTCCGGGCTACTTCTTCGAGGAACGGGGGAATGGTTCTGGATAGGTATAGTTTGTTAAGGCTACTCGTAGGCATTCGCAGTCAAGATGTAATTGTGAATCTGGCATTTCGTAGAAAGTGAAAGATATCACCAAAACAAATCGCTAAATTTCATCATATCACAAAGAAAAGTGACGTTGTATGTATAATCCAGAATGACAAGTGGTTTCGACCACCTAAAAATCGCATTCGTTTATGATTCGTTACACTTCCGGCTAGTGCCGCAGACCCTGAAAAGAAAGATTCATACCACCTTCTACAAATTTTTATCAAACACGACGATGTTTGAAGTCCGGTGTCATGAAGGAAGTGTACCTACTCCATTGAGGCATATGAGAAGGACCGGCACAGTATGCTAAAGGCATTGGATCATCATGTAAAAGCAATTTACGACAATAATTATTGGTGAATATGACTAACAGGAACAGCATGGTAGTGAAATTTCACGACCCATCATGATGACACGAAACGGAAATTAGTATGATCATCAACTAGACTTCGCTAGGCGCAAACGGAAACCAAAGCGTCCATATCCTCGTAAGATTTAAACTGTCATTTTTCAACATTTCTTCAGTGTGATACTACATCAGACAGTATCAACAAGTTTTTACTGCATTCAAATGATATCATACTAGCGCAATTATTAAAGAAAGCATATAAACTGCAACATTTTATTGTAGCTTTGTCTAGGAATAGTTGGCACATAGGCATAGAAATAAAGGCCTACATGTGATGACGCTCATGTCATGAACCAAAATTATCTTTTAAAATCTGGAAATAGATCGACATACACTCCACTGAGTAAGAAATGTCAAGTCATGTTATGTACAAGTTCCCTGTTTTTGGTAATCAACTACTACATACCTACTTCAAAACTACAGTTGGGGTGGAAAAAAACACATGCTGAAGATACCCCGAACTTTGTCGCGATAAAAAATTCTAGTTCCCTTTTTTACTAGATGAACGAAGTGGTCGCAGTCGGGTGGACACTAAGTAGATAAATTAGAAACTAGTATTAACTTCTTCTACTTGAACTGGTGGTGCTGATGTGCTGGTGTTCGAGTCATGTAAATAGCATATAGTGCTCCAATTCTCCGACGAGCACGAGCATGATTAGGGAGTAAACTCTGAGTACGCTAAGTGCCTAGTATCAGTGTATGACTATATGGGCAGAGGCACTGAGCGCGCGTGCAGCGACACTGCTTCTCTCTGCGGGAGCGATGCGTGGAATATATGCTGGTAACCGACGCAGGCAAGGGCAAGCATACGGACGTCACGGCGCACGCCGGGCATCCGGAACTATCCATTTTAAAATATACGGCGTCCATAGCATAGCCAATTCTTCGACGACCATTTGGCTAGTAGTACTACATGGAACGAACACCATGATGATTAGCTTCGCTTAAAAACAGTCGTCGCCTCCTCCATCGACGAAAGGGCGTGGATTCGTTCTCACTCGGTGTAGGCGCGACTGTTGTGGCGCGGCCGCGAAAGGTGTATAATTAGTGGCCGAATGTGCGGCCTTATGCTCCCCCAGTATGTAACTGTTACCGTCCCTCGTTGTAGAAGTCGGGGCCAGGTTTATGAGTAGCTAAGGTAGCTAAGCCACTCACTTCGCCACGCCGACGCACACAGCGTTCTGTCTCTGTAGGAAAAAAAAAAGATCTGTGAATTCGGTCCACCTCCTTTACCCCTAGGGTTCATCATTCTAAAGTCGGCAGGTTCGTAGGCAATTAGTGCACAGTAATATAAGGAGGTAATCGGACTCCACCTGCCGCCGGTTTGCGAACTGGATAAAACTGGGATCACCCTTTCGGCGGTCTTGGGATACCAAAAAAAAAAGTGCTGGCTGAAGCGAGGCCCCCTGAAATCTGAGATCTAAGATATCGACCGCGCTCGCATTGTAGGGAGTGCTCCTTTTCTATGGAGCCTGGTTGCACTTGAAAATATGGTGCACTTGGGATTGTACTGAACTACTTCGGGAGGAACATATTTCAATTTGCATACGCTTGCACTAAACCGCGCAAATAAAGGGTACTATTATGATCTCACAAGAATTATGATTCAGCAGCAGATAGAATCCCTCGCAAAACTTGACCACTTTTTCAGCCTCAACTCGGATTTGATGCCAGAGCCTTGGAACGCTTGAGTTAGGAGGCCTTTTCGCTTGTTCGTACGCACCGCGGCCTGCCATCAAAGAGAACATATCCAGATCTACTGTGATCGTCTCAGTGAAAAAACGTCAACTATCCACTATGTTTGTCAGGGCAGGGCACCATCAGGATGATGATTGAGGATTCAAGTAGGATTTCCCCCTCTGAAGATCGTGCGCGTCTGACTCTCGGTCATCAGTGAGACAGGATGGAAGCAAAAAATCGGTCATCGGAGGAAGCACTCAGTTGAGCATGATCGGTCGCTTGACCTGTATGATCTCAAGATTGATAAGTCAGAGCTCCCTCGCGTGATTTTCAGCCTTTCTGGAGTTAATGACCCCCACACCAGTCATAACAAGACCCAGAATAGTAGTTGCCTATTATAAAGTAGTTCTAGGTTTGTCGATGAAGAAAGATAGGCATAGGCTGATTCAATGAATACGTTTTCGGTTGCATCATACTCGCGGATGCGTACTAACGAGGAGGTGGATCATGTGTATTCACTTCTGTGGTCCTAGAACAAGGTGTACCGATACTTTCAATCATAGTTGTGCAACATCAATCATGATAAAAAACGCGACAACACCAGTACGATCTCGTCGGGTCGGACGGCGAGTGCTGTCTAGCTTGTGGCTTTGCATTCCTCGGTCGAGTGCGCTTCATCATCCTTCGACGGTGTATCATCATACTTATGTTGAGAAAAATGCTCCCAAGCAGTGTCTCACAGTAGAACTTCCTACATTTATCAGCAAAGTACGTGCTTCTTCTAACAAGCAGACGATGTGGACCACCGAGCTGCCTTTCTCGAGGAGAACCCTAGGCCACGTAGCTTCCGACGCAAGCGCAAGAGGAAGGTAGTAGAAGAAGACAGCACATCATCTGCAAGGAAAAATGTAGTTGACGACCCAACTCGTGTAGTTGACGACACGAACACCCCAGCACATCTTCGCAGAAGCAGTACCGGGAATGTAGATGTAGAAGGAGTGGGAGTCGAGCCTGAAGCTAGAAGGAGTATCGACAACAGTAGAGAAGATATTCCAGAAGCGAACGCGTTTTTGGAGATTGGACGTGGAAAGACGGCAGTTAAGGATTAATAATGAGACCGCCAAGTTCAGACCCAGTATCGTTCCTCCACAGTCACTTCTGTAGCGTTACAAAGATTTGTGATTCATCTTGTAAAAGAACTGCTCATGATGCTAGGTCTGTAGCGTCTTACTCTTCACGACTTAGTACGTTACTGTACGCTTCTTGGAAGTCATTCCTCGGAGCCTGATCTCAATGCTTGTTTGGAAAATCAGATTGGAGATACACATGACATGACATCTTCACTTGATAAGTAATTTCATGAGGAATGAATGTGATGATAGTAGTCTATACTGACTTCATGGTGGAGAGCGTGGATGCAGTGCCAACACCCAGCACGCTGGTGCAGCTCGCAGGCGAGGATGAGGAGGATGGAAAGAAGAAGGACGACACGGATGAGGGGGATGGAAAGAAGAAGGACGACACGGATGAAGTGTAATATTCATCTAGTTTATTTACAACATGTCAACTATGTCGAGAGTCTTTATTCCAGCTGCTTCCTGCTCTATCGTATTATCTACGGGGTCACGTCGTCCTATAGTTAGCAGAGAAGATGATCATGGAATCTTGATATAATACATCGTAGGGATATGGAACGTAAAAACCTACTCACACTCTAAACCACTAAATTTTTTGAGACATATTAGGTTCAGGGCAGCTGGAGCTAGCTAGTTAACTAGATAGTTTAAAGGCCAGGTAAGTCGAGCCAAGTCGCGAGTCTCATGGAGGGCCAACTGGAGATCTGAGCAGCTGGACCGATGGGACCTACCTTGGTGTTTCAAGTGGGATCTGTGTTGAGAATTTGGCCATTGAAGTGAGAACTTGTTCAAATGCTGGTGATGCGGCACCGCCTTCAGCTGCCCTGAACCTAATACGTCTCAAAAAATTTAGTGGTTTAAAGTGTGAGTAGGTGTTTACGTTCCATAAGGGAACGAAGAAGATGCTGTAATAGCAATGAAGTTAGTGAATACTAGAGTTTTTAGGTAAGAAATATCGACTCAATGGTACAGACAAAAGATTCTTACTTGTGACGCAAAGGGTAAGGGTATAGCTCTTCCCCTATTGAAGGTGTTGCGACCACCTCTTGCTAGGCACATTCGTTCATTCAGTCACACAACAAATTGCCAGTATGACTCACCACACTCTTGCGTCAGGTCTTCGAAGGGGAAGAAGGCGAAGCGAAAGAAAGTCGAGAAGAGTGAAGAATGCTGCTGTGGCCTATGCGAGGAAAGTAAAGAAGAAAAAAAGCTTGGGGACCCTGATGCAGGAAAAGAAGATGAGTATCTATGTGATCCATTGTGAAACAAGATCCAAATCCCCACTGAAATCCGAAATCTTCTGATCCAGTTCCGCAGCGTCAGCGTCCTACTTAGCTAACTACTTAAGTAAGCACAAGAAGGAAGAACGACCAAGACAGAACAAGAACAACACAACAAGCACGACCCAAGACGTAACAAGGACTGCTTGATTTCCATTTTCTTTCCTCTTGCAGGTTTGGTATATGTTACCTCGGTGACATCACGTAAGACATACTGAGAGGGTCTAAGATAGACTCAAGCTTAGGCCGGCTTAGTATGGTCTATTACAATCTATTAAATAGATTCCCGTTAATATGTTCACTATAATCAGAACTACTTATCTCTACGGGTACAACTATGAACGGTAGCATCTTCAAGGATACACACATGGCGTTGTGGTGTTGATGGTCTATTTCATTTTCAAATATCTAAACCTCCACTCCTATTCTTTTAAACTACAATCTTTTTGTGGAATATCTGGACAACTACTATAATTTCAACAAATGGTTGTGATTGAAGGCTCTATCGTCGAAAAAATAAAAAATTCAGGGAGAATCCGAAGAAGAAGAAGAAATCTAGCAATTCTATGCCTCTGTGTTGCGACGATGAGGGCGACGTCAAAGAGCAAGAGCAGAGGGGGCAAGTCACCAATAATTATGGCTCCATTCAAATCTTCATCAATGTGAAAGTAATACAATTTATTGAGTTCTTATTTTTCTCTCATCAAAGTATTACTTTCATTGCCTTATCGAGTAGTACTTTCATTAAGTTAATTAATTTCTCATCCAGCAGTAGCAGTACCACTTTCTTGATACATTTCTAACAGGAGTATGCTGGTGTATTTATGAGGGAAAGTACGTCTATGATGCAACTACTTGTTGCTTACAAACAGTCAGATAGGTCGTTCTGTTTTCTAATTTGGGGACCTTGTCGCGCCTCAGCGGGGTGAGGTTGCATACGATGCTGTCAAGAAGAGAATTTCGCGTGACGTGGATATTGCACAGTACTATTTGAATAGATTCTTTGACCTTGGAGCTTTTGAAAACCAACATAATGGTGATCCTAGTACGTTCTACACGAGAATTCTATCCGTAGTGACTCATTCTCGATAGTTTTCAACTTGGGGACATTCGTACATCCTCAAGTGTTTTCAAGTTAGGGAACCTTCGTTCTTCACAGGAGTACGATCCGTATTCATCTCCAAAAATTGATGTTTTCAACTTAGGGACATTTTTGCGGGCAATCTGCAGCAAGCTCGTGTTGTCGCCACCAGTGGTGCAGGGATGGGCGCAGATCTATACAAGGAAGCTGGAAAAACCAAGAAGCAAATTCTGTATGGTTCAACTTCGACACGCGCAGAGGAGAAGTACTACGCTGAACAGGAGCTAGCGAAAAAGAAAAGAGAAGAGTACTTCATTTATAACACAATCTTTAATAATACATATATTCCATTTTTATAATCCTATTCGCATACTCCAGATCTATACTTTATAAAGCAAGAATATCATTATCCTACCAGAATAGGCTGACAAGAAACCTGACAACGAGACTTAGATTGAAATACTATGACTCGTCTCGGTGTTGCTTTTAGCTTGTATGTTGAAAGTTGCGTTCTCGTTTTCAGTGACTCTGATCTCATCTGGAGAAAGTTGCGCTCTCATCTGGAAAAATGCAGGGGGAAAAGAATAGAGGGATGAACTGGAAGATGCGCAACTAATTAAATGTTCTGTAATACCCCACGAATGGGTACACTACTACTACTACTCAAAAACAATATCAGCGCCAGAAAAGAAAGAGAGCTCCAGGCGAAGGACGCAGAAATGAAGAAAAAAGGACGGGAGAAGATTGAGGTCCGGGAAGAACCGCGACAGTAAGGTCAAGGAGTGTGTAAGAACACTATAGGAGTGTGTAAGAACACTAGGAGTGTGTAAGAACACTAGGAGTGTGTAAGAACACTAGGGGACAGTTCTCAAACAAGGAGGAACAAAAGAAGAAGTGCTGGCGTCTTAGAGACATTACCACGTCTCAGTAGACATCATGTACAACTAGTTCGTAACATGTGAGTAGATAATTGATCTGTTATATTGACTTGAACTTGATTTTTAGTATGTCACATGGAATCTTCTCCCCAGCAGGAATTATTGACTCAATTTTTGCACAAATTAATAGCGACTCAGAACTTACTGTTAATGTCATAGAAAACGCACTCATGCTGTCTCTGAAGACTTTCATCAACGTCATAAACATCCCTCGCATTATGTCATAAAAAGTCCGAGAAACTACTTAATTATGCCCTACGTCATCTATGTCATCTGTGATCTTTTAGATGGAACAATGATATGCTTCAAATGGAACAAAACTATGCATGGAGAGCAGCTTGTCGGTGTTTCGTCTAGGAAGTGGAATGCACAGGAGCTACTTCACATCCATCTGAGCTATGCCAGAAGAACAGAAAGATTTTCTCTCCGAAGCCGAAAGCGGTGTGGCTACCTTTTTTTTTCTCTCCGATTCCGAGGAAGATGGTCGTGTTTCATGCTCTGTCCTGACTGAAAAAATCAGTGTGAGGATATACATCAGAGCATGGTAGGTAGGATGATGATCTTAGCAGAGATCCTGTGGGCCTATGCTGCCATCATGTTTGAGAAACTGAATGCTCGTATACATTGGGTTAGAGAGAAGGCGCACATTGATTATAGAAGAATTCGGTACCGCTCGTGCGGGATAGCTGCCGAAGAAAAGCTACTACGTTTTGTTATTAGAGCACACTGCATCGATGAACTTCGTCACCGAGAGCGTGAGAACTCTGTCATAATTGAGAGTGGATCATGAGCTCTGTCACTGAGAGCGCGTGAAGTCCATTGTTGATGAAAGGAGACTGAAATTATCGTGATGAGGCAAGAAATCATCGGAAGAGAATAAGAAGTGGCTATTGGTATTGAGCGACATTCTTTACTGTCTGTTAGAAGAAACCAGATCTGATACGGAACTGTAGATGGTCCATTGCACCTTCTGCCTACCCAACCATCAATTATGACTACAGTTTCCTCTCCCTCTCTCTCTTCTCTCTCCTGAAATCTCTTACCCATCGAATCTCTCACCCGAACTCACCTCGATTTTCAATTATGCTTACCGTACTACAACGCGTCTTTAACGCTAAAACCAACGCACTAAGAATAAGTACTTGTCGCTCCCTTACAAGATTTGTTCTTTTCTCGTATTGAATACCGAAAAGTTGTTGTTGCGTTTGAACGAATCCTCTCATCCCATCCCGCTTTCTTTCTAAGAACCTTGGTTTAGGTGGACCGTAACGTGTTTAGGTTGAAACAGAAAGATCTACCTCTATAAGAAGACGGGTGCTGGATAGAAATGAGTTCGTTGAAAATGATGAATCTTCGAGCCATCAGTGGCGTCTTTTTGGCAGCGCTGTGCGCGTTGCCGGTTGTTGTAAGCAGTGGGGTACCCATCACGCCAGAACAGCGCAAAAATTGGTTGTCAGGAAACGGTGGTACTCAGATACTTTCTGATCTTAAAAAAATTATTTCAGATACCTTCTGATCTTAAAAAAATCGTAGCCTCAAACCATGTTTCATCATCTACTCTTCACAACAAGTACTACACCCAGTACTTCCATCCTCCAACTCCATCTCACATCAACAGCGTTCCAGTACCTGTCGTACAATGAGGTGTTTCAGTTCTTCTCCGTGTTGGCGGAGGAATATCCGAAGTACATTCGTTTGCACGTTGCTGATGAGATGTTTCCGCACCTCCGCGAGTTCTCTGGTGCCACTACCGAGGAGGCGGCCGCATTCCAGCAGAAGATGTCGGATATGACCTGCGGCAATGAGCCCGCTTACATCCACGGTCGCAAGGGCCCGCAACCGATGACCACCGGTGAGCCGCTGCCATGCGAGTCTTTACTGGTGCACATCGCTGATTTCGACGCTTTATCTGCTGCACACGGGAGTACGAATAAACCAGAGGTGTTGTTGATCGGAGAGGTGCATGGCAACGAAAAAGTGGGCACGTCCACAACGGCGGAACTGGCACGCCAGCTCGTACAAGCGGCAGACAAGCCTGCTGCACGAGGGACTGACGCGACTGAACAAGAGCTGAAGTGGCTGGTGCAGAACCGAAACACCTGGATCATGCCACTTCCCAATGCCTATGGGTATTACTTAATTTCTCTGTGTTTCTTTTTGTTTTCTACATTATTTGAGACTGGCGAGAAGTTACTACGTGTAGAGATGGACGCCTATTCACTTCGCTTAGCATTTAGATGAAAAGTTACGTTATTCGTCAGCCATTTCGGCCTTAGGTTTCTTCCCACGACACAGCTGTCGGCTTCAGCTCTCTCCTTATCATCATCATATAAACCGGCACCGCCTCCGGTAATAAGAAAATAACCGGCAAAATATAGCTCCTCGGCATGCTTCTTCCCTCCGAAGTGCCTGCGAAGTCCCTGAGGGTCCACCCTGAACGCTGTGGAGCGTGGGGAGCCTTGCCGCAGGACCAAGGCGCAGCCCGCAAGGCAGCGGGAGCGGCGGGACTGATTGCCAAGGCAGGCGCTGGAAGGGCGGAAGGAAGGGGCCGGGCGGCTGTGTGGGAGCTAAGTCCGGCGGGGGTTGCAAGGCTGAAAAAGCGAAGGGGCCGGCTGTGGGCGATCGTGTCCACCGGCTTGCCGGCGCTGCCGTTTCTCCCCGGCTTCAGCGCTGTGCTGCAAATTCGTTCGCTTTCGGGTTTTAGTCTTACGCCCTCCCAGTAGCGGGCGCACTCGGAACCCGTGGCCGCGGGGTGGGCCGCAGCGCATTACTAGGCCGATTCGGAAACCCCCACTAAAGATCTCGCGGAGGTAGAGATCTGGGGGCACAGCTGTGCGCCCCCTTGGCAAGAAGTCCAGAGCGAAGCCAGGAGAGCAAAAACGTGCAGCGCGTGGCAGCTGGAGACCTACAGGAAAGCACGTCGTTCTTTCGGGCTTGGTTTACCGTTTGGCCGTGTGGGGGCCTGGTGTATTTCTTGGGCTGCCGCCCCTATCTCGCAAACTGTCGGGTGTTCTGTTTTGAAGGTGTCTCTTAAAGCAGCTAGATGGAAAGGCGGCGGCCCTGGGCGTGATGACATTGCTCGAGCCGTTCGGGGTGAAGTCGCTCGGTTCGTTCGCGTGTTTTTCCCCGTCGTCCCAGCCTGAGGAGTTATATATTGGGCTGACCATCACCGCCGCGAAAGTGATGATCGCGGCGCCCGTTTGTTGACCTAACCGCAAAAGGAAAGCGCGCGCGCCCGAGATGATGTGTATTTCGCTCCATCAACATGGTGTGCGTGGCCACTTTTTGGGCAGGGCTGGCGGGGGGCCGTCTTCACTCTTCGTCTTCTCCTTCAGAGAGATCAGTAGTAGACCGATTCCCTGCGTCCCGTTATTAGGCTTCGCAGTTCCGCGGCTGTCCTTCGGGATACGTTGTTGGAATCAACTGTATGGTCCCCCCGGTACACGGAGGAGACCTACTCAGGATGTCAATCAATCAAATGAAAGAGACCACTTTGTAATGGTGTAGCATCAATTATGCATAAAGATACTGAGAACATGGACACTCTGATCGCCTTACTCACACGACGACCTTCCCACAAAATACTTTTACTTCTTACATCAACGAACCTCGTCTCAGGTATTTCCACAACGTGCGCGAGGACCAAGGTGTCGATCCTAATCGCGATTCGCCGTACTTGAACCCCAACTGCTTCCAGAGTTTCACGGGTCGCTTCCTGAACGAGTTATCTCGCACTCATCTCTTTCAACAGATGCTGGAATTTCATGGCGGTTGTCGTCAGATTGTCTTTGAGTGGGCTGGGCCGAACCACGTGATGAACAAGGATGGTACCAAAACTTCTATACCACTTTTTTCTCGTCTATTCGTAGCTGTTCTCGTGGTAAATTAATATGTTCATGATTCTCCTTTTCCTTTTTGTCTTCCGTTTTTTATCTCCGTCACCGTCTCCCATTTCTCGATAAGGTACGGCAGCGTCGCTTCCCGCGGGCGTGATTGCGCAGAATGAAGCCGGGTTCGACGAGCTGAGTTCGGAGAGTCCCGACCACAAGGCCTACCGCAACATTGCGGAGAAGATGAGGAGTGCAAGCGGAGTGGACGGTGCGAGCTCCGAGAAGGACTTCTGGTACCCACCCGTGGGTCCGCACACGGACAACATCTACTGGATCCGTGGTGGTATCCAGGACTGGCTCTACACAGCGAGCTGGGAGCCGCAGGCACAGGGCAACGCCTTGCCGGACGGAAAGCACCCGATCGCCAATCACTGCCCCGGTTACCCGGACGCCGGCCTGGACTACAATTAAGGGTACACCTTTAAGGTGCTTTTCTTACCGCTTTTTATGCCTCTCTCCCTTAGGATGAGAAAGGCATAACAAGCGGGGTAAGCGAGCACCAAAAACCTACCTCTAATACAAGCATGGTGGGGCGAACATGCGCTCGCTGAGTTTCCTAGTGGAAACCGACGACAACAAGGAACCGGATCGGGCGACGCTGGGAAGCAACGGAGAGTTGTGGGACAACACGAACGGCCTCGAGGGCCACATTCCGCGGAACCTGCGTTTGAGCCTGCGCGTGATGGAGATGGCCGACCCAGCAATTCGCTTCCTGGCTCCGAGGACGTCGGCGACCAGTGTGGTCGCACCTTCGGTTGTTCACGCTGCTCAGTACAAGAAGGAGAAGGGAGGTGAAGTGCAGATGCTAAGCACTGGCGCGGACTCGTCGTCGAACACGTACTTGCCGCCCAGCCTGAAAAGCGCGGAAGGGATCTTAGGAGGAGGAGGAGGAGGTTTTTACGGCGTCGGCTGCGACACGATGGACAAGGTGCAACTGTTCGACATCTGTCCCGAGGACCGCGGCAAGGGGCCGCTTGACGTGACCAAGATGCTCGAGGATGTGGTGGAGAGCCAGGGCCAGAACCGCATCCAGGACGCCGTGAACAAGCAGGCAGGCAGTGACGACAACCAACAGCAGGTTCAATTAAGGAGACATGTATTAAACAAGCTTGTGAACCTTAGATAGTTAGACATGTATTAAACAAATGAATTTTTACTGCTTATTATCAATCATAAGAGCTATTTAATCAAAGGCTGACAGCGGTGGAGTGAAAGTGGAATTATATGAAGTACCAAGAGATACCGAAAAAAAGAAAGGAAAAGTCAGCACCATTCGGTCGCAAATCTGATAATATTTCTGAATATTACTACTCCCGTATCTCACTGATCATTCAAATTTCTACAAGACGGAGACTACATTTTGTCTCACTGCTATACAGTTTCTCTCTTCAGATTCTGAAGAAATGTAGGCAAGAGGTGAATTTATTAGAATTGTTTTGATGAGGTCTAAGGCAAGGTGAGCAGCTGGGAAAGCACGACAACTTGCAATGTACTGGCTTGAACCTGTGGGAACGCGGTCGCGGAGAACCCAGCTTTCTCGCTACGCAGCTCACGCCGCAGGTACAATATAAGTTGTCAATTACACATACATTTTCGTTTTCGTCACTAACAATATATAGAATTGACAACGAAACAAACCGTATAATATCGAAAAAGAATATGAATTTTCTGAACTTCATCCCTCCATCAGGCGATCAAAGTATTAGCAGAGCGACCGCGTTGTCTGGCTGCTGTTGCCACATTCGATCAACATTGGGGTGATCAGGACCACCCGGATCCCGACATGCGACCGCAATCGCATTCCGTTCGCTCTCGCCTAGAGGCTAGCTACCATGCTGCAGTTGGAAACAGTAATCTTTTGCTACAAGTTGATTTCCTTCACTGTTGTGAGTAACTTCGTGAGTCTACTTTGATATAGTAGAAGTTACATGGAAATTGAAAGTTGTTGCCTCAAAGACAATCTTCCTCCAACCTCCAAAACGAAGTGAGTCTTCGTAGTACTCCACGTCGGTTGTACCACGCCGGTTCTTGATGATTGATACGTAGTTGTACCCTTCAACTTGTAATAAATTCATCCTCGTTCCAGGTGTGATTGATACGACGCGAACACGATTCTTCTTGGGGGACGGCTCCTCTTTTGCGAGTGTAGCGGCATTTCGGACTTACCTGGAGCATCAAGCACACCACGGCACTGACGTTGCCTCTACGAAAAGTTTGCGGGAAGCGACTGGCGAATCCGAGCACGTTGCTGCTCCTCGCACCACGACTGCAGAAATACAACAGAAGCGAAAAACTCCGACGTTGGCAGATGATACGCCAGTGGTCACCACTGCTAAACATCATAAGACTGCGGACGTTGTCGCGGCACAAGATCATGGAGTGCCAGGAACAGCAAAGCCAGCTTCTATGACAGCGGAAGAACGACTCTACATAATGCAACTTGTGTTGGGCGCCTTCAGCTTCTTGGTTGTCATCTGCGGAGCTATAATCTACATTATTTTTCTTCGTTCACCTCAATATTCGTCTTTCGCAGAATCAGCTGTGTTGCCGGACACGCCGGCCGCGAACAACACAGCTGCATCTTCCAGGCTGCTTGATGCGCTGAATAGGATATTCAGCAGAGCAGATGCGCAGACGACGCTAAAAGAGGCCACTTCGCCGGGCGAGCGAGCACGCACTCGTACCAGTGGGTATGGTGCAACGCAGAATTCGAATTCTTCAAATATTAAATAGAGATTTGATGGGGAATTAGAAGATTTTCTATTTAATATAGGCGCAATATTAAATAAATGCTAGAGGAGAATCATCTTTATTAGATTTTTTGGTGAAAATGTAGCAGTGTTCATAGGTGTTATAATGTTCAATGTTATTCTCGAAGAAGAGGTACCATCGTACCAAGGACGAAGAGAGTCCTAGTAGTACATAGAAACATGCAGATTCCTCGTTAATGTTCGTAGTAAGTAGTCAACAAGTAAAACAGGTGTTTGTCACATTCCGTAAATACAAATCATTCAACAGAGTCATGCAAAAATGCAACAAGCTGACAAGTAGTCAAGTAGTTCTGCACATTGATGAACAGTGTTTCTGCAACGATTTCTGCAATGTTTCGAGCTAGTAGCACGTTCTTACAGATCATGCACCAAGCAAAGCATTTAAGCATCCACGCTACAACACCAGCGACATAGATTCCGAGAATACGACTTCGAGAATACAAGAGCACAGAGATAGGTGCGTTTAGACTGGAGTCGTTCACGTAGTTGACCTGTACACAATTGGCAGTCTTCCAAGCAGTTTTTAGTAAAAACAAGTTTCCAGCAAGAAGTCTAGTTGTACAAGTTTGCAGCAAGAAATCAGGAAAATGACCATACCAAATTCAGAACTAGGGAAATTGAAGTGGGATACACACGATTTTCTTTTCGGGGACTTAGACCCTATGCATTCATCCAGCAGGAAATAGCATTCATTACGACAAACTAAAAGCGCTGGATGAAGCATCCACGTTAACGAACATCAGGGAGAAGGGAAAAATATCTCTGCAAATGCAATGCTACGTGCACTGTGCACTGTGATCTTGGCATACAAAAAAAAGTGGCTGCGGCGGGGAACCCCCCCGAATCATGAATGAGTCATGTATTGACATCAAACGAAGGTAGAGGTAGTGCAGATCAGGAATGAATCCAGAGATTGTTCTTTGCCGCGAGGATCCTCGATCAAAGGAACGTAAACCAGTTCAGGAAATCAGAATTTACGAAGCTTCGAAAAGGTCAGAAAGTCTTTATATCGGGTCTTCACGGCACTTGTGGAAGAATATTATCTTTCCATGATCTGTGATCTTCGGACAAGAAAAACGTCCGCTAGTCTCATTAAGTGGTGGAACTACGACTAGCAGTACCATCTATAGGACTTTCTCAATGTGCGTTTGCTCGCTCCTCGTTCTGTTGAAGTGCGTCCATTGGGCGGTCGATCGGTACTGTTGTGTGAAAGCTTCTTGGTTTCGTCACTTCACTCACCTTCTCAAGTTGCATCGATGAGAGGAGAACCCCCTTAAATCTTCTTGGTTGCCTTCACTTTCCTTTGTTCAAATCGGAGCAGGCAGGACGCGAGCAGGTAGGCGTGGGTCGTTAGTAAGTTCAATAGTCTCGAACTCGACGTTTTTGGCTTTTTCCATCATACTTTAATATGTACATCTACTCATCGATCTCATAAACAGAGAAGATGACCAAATGTTCCGTTTAGTGCGTACTTAGATCTATCAATGTCTAAGAAGAATCACACCGAGTGCTGGTGGATGCACTTACTCATTAAATGTCATATGGGGTCTACTTGTAGTAGTAGAAGATCCAACTCGTTGTGAAGTAGCTAGAGCTTGGCATGTAGAATGATGGGCGTCGATCCTCATCGACCGGGACCGCGCTGGGACCAGGATGGGGTCCCCGGAGCGAATGATACTTACAGTTACGCCGCCGGTGATGCGAATTCTTTCCCAAGCGGAATCGGCCAGTCGTGGAATCCGAACGACTACCCGCCGAGTGGAAACTCAGTCGGTGGCGTTCCAGGTGGCGTGCCGCCAGGCTATTACGGCGGCGCAGGTGGGCCGAATCTTCCTCCAGGTGCGCAAGGCGCCGGCCCGAATTATGCTGCAGGAGGGCCCCCTTCTTCAGGCAGTTATGCCCAGACATTGGGCCTAGGTTTAAATGCTGGAGTGCTCGGAGGAGGCGTTGCGCCGCCGACGCAGACATCAACTTCCGCTGGAGCAGGAGGGTCCTCCGACGTCCCCGCTGACGCGTTCGCATGGCTCCACGAAAAGCGCATTAGCTTGATGAACTTTGAGGGCATCGTCGATGGAACGCCGAAAGAGTATGTGGCGAAGACGGAGCTAACCCAAGTTCCAGCATGGCGCGACTACAACGCAACCGCCAAGAGCAACTACCAGGAAGGCGGAAGCTCAGGTAGTTCCTCAGCAGGAGCGGGAGGAGCTGCGCCAGGATCTCCATTTCCGCCCGATCTAGCGCTGAATCAAAGGGTCCGGCTTTTTTGCGGCGACTTTTCCAGTCTCGAAGTGGATGCAATATCGTTTGACTTCTGCCACCACTCCCTAACACGAGGATCGGGAGGCAGGTAATATTCTTCTGAAGTTTTTACACAACTAGCCGTGTGAAGAAGATCAAGATGGCGAAAAGCCATGAAGATATTGATTTATAAGTATATTAAGTCTTGTGAGCATCTTTTTCTCCGATGAAAAAGACAAAGTTCTAATCCTGTGGATTTTTGATCTTCTTCTCGTCCCTCATCTCTTCTCGCCCCTCATCACGACTTCAGGTTACTTAGTTTAGGAGGTGGTAAATTAGTAGAAGAAATGCTAAATCTGGACCGGATGCGAAGCGGCGACGCGCAGATAATGAAAGGGAATTTTGGAAATCTGCACTGTAGGCAATTAGTGCCTTTCTGTGGTCCAAATTACAAGCCGAAGTACGTCACAGCGGCGAAAAACACCCTGTCCCAATGTCTACGGAATTGCCTCACCCTGTCCCACGATCAAGGCCATGTGAAGACTGTCGCCTTTCCATGTAACTACAACTTAATAAACTTTTTATACCATCTTTCTATCTTCATCAATTCCACTTCATTCATTTTCATCGGCATGATTGGCACTCGTGGAAATCAAGGGATTCAAGAAAATGTTCAGACTAGGCACACAAGAGATTAAATTTTTCGTGTATTATGTTTTGCTTTCGTTCCACTTCCACGCACGACAATTTGATCACAGGTCATTACTCGGTAGACAAGGCTTTTCCGCTAGAAGACTGCCTGCATGTCGTCTTGCGAACACTGCGGCGGTGGCTGCCCAAGGTGAGCAAGGTTTCCACTGTCGTTTTGTATACCGACAATGTCCAAGAGTACGAGCTTTGCCAGGCTTTATTGCAGCTCTACTTTCCGCGCAATGTCGACGATTCTCTTGCTGGTATGGCTATGGTGCAATCCAAGTATTTTCCGACCTACAACAACAATATTCATGCTGGGACCACGACGGGGGATGATCCTGGAGGAGGTGTGCCAATCTCGTTTTTTGGAACTGACGTGGGTGAAGAGGTCCAAGAGCAGGCGAGGCAGCTGAAAATGCCAGCGCTAGTGCAGCAGAGGAAAGACCGCGACGACTCGGACAGTGAAGACGCTTTGGGAAACTCCTTTGGAAACGAGTTCGTCGGAGACTGGACCGAGAAGGAGGTCTCGCGTTTGGACGCGACACTCTGGGACGTGGAGTCGACGAATGACCTGCATCACATCTATTTGAGGTACTTGTTTGCCAGTACATGGCATTATCATTATGTTGCATGTTGTCCGTGGAGGTGAATTTAGTGAAAAGTTCTCAAGAACAGAAAGAGTTTCTTGAATTCTAAGGCCAATGAAATTGTTTGCTTTCTGAAATGAACAGGTATATACGGGAAGCGGCGTCACCGCAGTATCGCCCGACTATGCAGGAGCTAGATAAGTACAATTTTTTAACCTACGCGGGAAAAGACAGTCTAAGCCGTGACATACTGGTGTTCGCGGAAGCCCTCATTCCAATTGCGAGATACGAGCAGGAAGTGCTCATCCGGTACTTATTTTCGGCGTTCAACATCCTTTTACAACAAGCTTGTTGCATCTACATCCACCTTTTTTTATCAATCAATGTCAAAAAAATGTTGAAATAGGGAGAGGAGGAAGCACTTCTTCTAGGTAAAAATGGTTCTATGTTGATGTTCACACCATGCTTGTTGCTAGCGTTTTGTTAAAAATACAAGAACAATGAACAACGAACAACAGGTACATCGTATCGAAGATCGAGCCGTATTCCAATGGGAGTTTTCTGATAGTGTACGCCCATGGCGGAATGAGCAGTGCCAACGCGATCTTAGAGGTTTGGAAGGAGCTCATCCGCATCTCGCAATTCAAATACTCTCGATGGCTCCAGAACTTGCTCGTCCTCCACCCCACGCTCTCTTTCAAAGCAGCCTTCGCCTTGCTCTCCTACTACATTCCCGATACGATCTACGACAACAGTATTTACTTCGAAACGATAGGGGAACTGACGTCGTTTCTCAACTTCCCTGGTCTGGAGCTAGCGCCGATCATCAGGAGCTACGAACAAGAACGCAATGCCAGTCTGTTCGGAAATTGGTGGTAGAAGAGGCGAGCAGACACGAGAAGAAACGAGCCCATGTGAGTGGGTTTACTACTACCACGCGTACTACTTATAACATTAACATGCTGGACCTTGTTGTGCATAGTGTTCATCTTCGTTGTCGACATCCTGCGTTTGGCGCTGTGTCTTCTGGAGAGGACCACTAAGATATCGCTAAGTTGGGAAGAAAACTTGTGACGCCGGATTTTTAGACAGAAGAGAAGAGACGGAAGCCTTCGCAGGGAGAAGATGCCGTTACCAGTGGGTCCTTCCTTTCGACTGCTATGCTCACCAGTGCGCGCAAACTTGTATCATACCCCAAGATTGGGTACACTACTACTACTACTATACTTTTGGGCTGTACTAAAAGACATTCCCATTTCTTGGACGAGCTGCTTGTATGTCGACACCATATTCCTCATGTTGTGCCTCATCTCATTTTACTTCCCGTTCCTCCTTTGACCCGTTTGACACGCTGACAGCACGCCTTCGATGCTCCCCTATTCATCTGGGGGCAGGTGATGCGCCCCTCATCTGCAGATCTTCCCAGTTGTTGCCTGAGCCTTCCTTTGGATGAGAAAGCATTTTCCTTGATAGCTAAAATGTCAGCCAATTCAAGCGCAGCAACAATTTCAGGACAACAAATTTTGGCATGAAGTTTGCCTCCATTGTTAGAGGGATGTTCACTTTATAGTGCAGGAAAAGCAATGAGCCGCATGAAGTATTAAGAACAAGAATTGAAATTGATTTTGGAGTCAAGTAGGCACTGAGTGCCGGAGAAAACATTCTTGAATCCTGTGGTTGATCTCTCTACTGCACGAATCGGTAGTGCTGGTGCCTCCTTGCCTATTCTTTTGTGAGCGGCGCTTGAGAACAAACTTTCGTCGGCACGCAATATACTCACTGTGCTGATTGATGTTGGAATCTATATACCGTTCTTGAACGGAAGCTATCCGCATTACATAGATGAGAAAAATCAAAATGTGAAAGAATAAGACGTCCATGTAATGTCGCCTGTCTTGGTGGGAATAAAAATTTTGTCATCTTCACTCCGTGGAAGTTTAAGCGAGTTGCGGAGTACCCGAGTTCGCATGATGCTGCATGTGCATTCTACCTTTTAATATTGTGATTTTTGAAAGACTAAGTAGAATTTTTAATGACTCCTTGTTCTGGTATGATACGTATGCATGAACAAACTCAAGCTGTCAGAGTGTGGAAGGCGTAGATTTTTAACGGCGTAGCTTCAAGGCGTAGTTTAGAGGGAGGGCAAAAAATGACGATGTAGGAGCATGTTGATGCATCCGCGACACGAACGTAGATAACAAACTGAAAACATCAACCAGGCTGACGTGAACCTTTGTTCAGAGCTGAAGCGGACCGGTCTAGCACTGAGAGGCGACAAACTCCTAAGTAATAGTACCAAGAACGAACCAATACTTCACGACAAGGACGGACAGCAGGCTACAGTCCTTTGTTCCTCCGTGACGTAATTCCGGCAAGAAGGAAGCCGAACCAGACAGGCGAATCTTTTGACCACACTTAATCAGTACAAATTATTTGCCAGCTTATTTTCACGGGATTTGTTCCAGCAGCCCCTCCGTCCAGAGACCGCTTCCTACAGGTGTTGTCCCCCGACCTGCTTGCCAACAAGATCACAACAAAGACGACGACAACATCCACTTTTTCTCAACATCCCATAGTACAGTTCAACTGAGTTGAGCTGTAGAACTTTTGTACAAAAACTTGTAGTAAAGGAGCAAAACTAAAACTTGTACTACAAGAACTACGAGAACGAGAAGTCTGTTTCTTCAAAATTAAAGCAAAATGGCGGCAGTAGCGGTTCTTCCATGCGGCGGCGCCATTGCCGATCTGGATCCCTATCATAGGCTGAAGGAGGTCGAGCAGCAGCTTGAATTTTTGAAGATTAGAGAAAGCTACATCAAGGAGGAGATGAAGAACTTGAAGCGAGAGATGATCAGGGCACGCGAGGAGGTAAAGCGAGTGCAAAGTGTTCCCTTGACCATAGGAACCTTCGCAGAGCTAGTGGACCAGGATCATGCCATCGTGCAGTCAAATAGCTCCACATACTACGTGCGAGTCCTGAGTACTAGAAAACTACTTCTATCTCTATCTTTGTTGGTTGCCTCTTGAACCAATTAATCTATATTTGAATTGAGCTTGTTAGACTAAATTCTTTTTGTAAGCACAGTTTACTACAGACGAAACTAGAAGTACTAGCTTAAAGATTTCAATTTCTTTTCACGCGTCTTACTCTGTCTTACCACTCAGGTACGCTCAATAGGGAAGACTTGAAGCCGTCCAATAGTGTGGCATTACATAGGCATTCTCATGCCGTTGTCGGCTTAGTTCCTGCGGAAGCGGACAGTTCTGTCATAAATCTCGCAGCAACGGAGAAGCCGGACGTTACGTATTTGAATTTGAGGCTCTTCTTCTATCTGAAAAAGTTTCATTGATCGTAAATGAACAGATTGGAACCTCCCAGTAACTCGTTCTCTAAAGAAATCTCTGATTCTGTTGTAGATGAAAACTCAAGTTCTACCCACACCAAGATCTATTCAACAACTCATAGATTAGAAGTAGGACGACAAGAATTTCCCTGATGCTGCTTCTCCAACAGGTACGCTGACATAGGAGGTATGGACATCCAGAAACAGGAGATTCGAGAAGCAATTGAATTGCCGCTTATTCAGCAAGATCTTTATGCCCAAATCGGTATCGATCCACCAAGTGGTGTGCTTCTCTACGGACCTCCAGGTACTCGTCATTTGCTGAGAGTTTTCTACTTTGTTTTCTGCTCCTTGTGTTTAGAGTAAGTATGCAGTTGGCCAAAAATGTTCGAATCAATTGTTGTTGTTGTTCCCCTTGTAAAAACTGGATCGTGAATCTTCATGATGAAAACCCGCGTAATAAATCTTCTCATTAAGGCTGAGTGTCGCTTGCGACATTGTGAGCTTGACAAATGCGCGCAGGGGTTCTGACACGCAATCATCATATAGATTTCTGTATTCGCATTAGACATGCAAATTATACATCCTCCTCCTCGATTAAATTCAGACCACCTCCAAACAACAAAAATGTAGATGAGTTTGTGAAAAATACAGGTACTGGGAAGACAATGCTTGCGAAAGCAGTGGCCAACCATACAGACGCACAATTTATTCGAGTTGTAGGATCCGAGTTTGTCCAGAAATACTTAGGAGAGGGTCCCCGCATGGTCCGTGACGTCTTCAGGTATGCTTTTTATTTCTACCTCCCACCTACTACTGGATAGGATATTTCCTATAAATGAGAAGCAAGTCTTCATATATTTTCATTTCCTTTCCTATCTTCTTCCTTCACTCTTTACGTAAGAATAAATCATGTTTGTTCCTCCTCCTCCACCACACAAAATAAATCGGCCTTCAACATCCTTCCATCATAGACCTCCTGATAATTCTTCCTCACGACCTCTCCTCAACCACACAGAATGGCAAGGGAGCAGGCTCCATCCATCGTGTTCATCGACGAAGTCGATGCCATAGGAACGAAGCGATTTGATAGCCAGACTGGTGCCGATCGAGAGGTGCAGCGCATCCTCCTAGAACTTTTGAACCAAATGGACGGCTTTGACCAAACGACAAGCGTTAAGGTACTAGTACAACTTTTTGTTTACTCTAAATACCAAACGACAAGCGTTATGGTATTTAACTCTTTACTCTAAATAGGATAAGAATTTTTGATTATTACTATAATCAGTGAATACTTTCGGACGTACATCATTGAACTAGTGCGAATTTTATCTGACAACATCGAATTCGAAAATCTTCTGCAGATTCACTTCGTTCTTCATATCTTCATATATGACAATTAGGAGCTAGAAAGCCACAAGGTAAACATCACTGTTAATTTTACAACAAGGTGATTATGGCGACAAATCGAGCTGATACGTTGGATCCAGCACTTTTGCGACCAGGACGTTTAGATCGAAAGATCGAGTTTCCTCTACCAGACCGCAGGCAAAGACGGTAATGAATATCTTCAATATAATTGATATTTGTACGTCCCTACTGGCGTGTGCTACTTTCATTTGCGACATCTATTTCATTTTCAATTTCATTTGACGCCACGACTACGTCTGTCTTCCGCGTCCACAACTAGTACGTCTGTCTTCCCCGAACCTAGTATGTAGAACTCCAAGTACCAGCTCTATTCTATCCATCAGGTTGATTTTCCAGACGATTACGTCAAAGATGAATTTGTCTGAAGAGGTTGACTTGGAGGATTTTGTTGCGCGACCGGAGAAGATTTCTGCCGCGGATATATCAGCGATCTGCCAGGAAGCAGGTATGCAGGCAGTGAGGCGAAACCGGTACGTGATTCTATTAAGGCTTGAGGAAATACATTTTCACAGGCATCTTGGTCCCGTTTCTCGAGGGAAAAGGGCGCGACAGATGCTGTTGAAGATGGATTTCTGCAAGTTCTAACTCTAGCCAAGGACTTCGAGATCGGCTGGAAGGAGCATGCCAAGAAGAAAGACAAGGATTTCGACTTCTACTCGATCTAAGTCGTGGACAGGAAGAAGACAAGGACTTCGACTTCTACTCGAAGATCTGAGTGGACATCAAGTAGTCTTTCTTCGACTTATACTCGATCTAAGTGACTACGTAGTTCGTTAGGTAAGTCGTTGGCGCGAGATGATTATGAAGATCTCTTCTCCGTCTCTCGACGCCGACGCTGATCTCTTGTGCCGATTGTCCTTGTGCTTGAGCCAGAAATTTTTTGGAACACACTTCGCGTGTGTGGAGGCTTTGCTAGTGTGCCCTTGGTGTCAGATGCTACTGACGCGTGCGGTCTCGACTGATCCTTGCTAGCTCCATCCCATAAGCAAGAAGACCCTCTCCCTCTACTCCCTGTTTTTCTTCTCCCATGACCCATTATCATCTGAACGAGACTGTTTTTTTTGCTCGTCTGACGAGGCTGAGACACAAGACAAATCTCGAGGAGGCCAAAGCGGCAAGTTCAAAGTGTAAAAAGAAGTACTTAGACTGGAGAGGATTACCCTTACCGGTTTATTACCCCTCCCTGCCCTATCGAAGATCCTCGCACAGATGAATCACACAGAGTTCGTTGTAGAATGTTCCATCGTTATTGTTATAAAGAGTTGAAGGTCATCAGATCGTAATCATCGCAAAAATCGTTCCCCCTTCTAAAGATTTCCGAGTCTGACAAGAGAAGACCTCCCCAAAGACGAGAAGTGCTTCCTCGTGAGATCGATTATGAGGTCATTTGAGCAGTTCACATGAAATGCAGGCCTCTCACTATGAATATGAAAATTGGGAAAATCTACCTCGATTGATACCTTATCTACAGAGTAAGTAAGGCTTAGGCAGACTGCCGAATAGATTCGCATCATCAAGTAAGACTGACGTAGCGGGCTCTTTTGTGGCGCTTCTGGTGCATCGTTTCGTGATCTTCGTCTTTCCTATCGATACCGACGGGCTCGGCTGGACACCCTGCAATACCCTTTCGTCTTTTGATGGATGGCTATTCACCCATTTTTCTGAGCTTGTATTTGAAAGGGATTCGCAATAAAATCTAGACATCCTCATGCTTCTTCATTCTACAAAAACAACAAAAAAACAGCGACACCCAAGCGATAACATTTTTCTTTCTCCAGCATGTAATATATTTTCACTTCTTGTAACACTCTGTTCACATTTTCATTTTCACCTAGCATGTATCGATTTCCTATTCAAATTTTCATTTGTATTCATTGACTGATATCAAATTTTTCTTGTATCAAATATACGTCTACTGAATGAGTGAATTATGACTACGAGGAAACACGACTTCTACGATTTTAAAAATCCGAAAAACGACAAGCGACAACTCTTCGACAGCACAACATGAAAGTAAGTAGACAACTTCGAGTTCTTGTGATATTTATCAAAATAGAATCCAAAAGCTTTCTGATATCCTTCTAAACCGTGGTGTGGTCATCAACAGCGCTAAATTACATGATTGAAACATGGATACTAGTTGCTACGACTAGCTAGTACGTAAAAGGAGTCGTCATTACAAGTACAACGCAGACACTGGTTGATCGCGATTTTTCACGAGTCTAAGCGAGAGCGAACGGGTCAGCATATCGGGGCAGGATACCAGCGATCGCGCGACAGTATGCTGGTTTTGTGAAAGAACTACGACATTAGCGACAGCGACATTACGAGCGGCGACTAGCGAACGACACAGCGACATTCGATTATTTCTCAAGAACTTATCAATACTAGTATTAGTACTCGGCAGTAGCGACAAAAACGACACGAACTAAGTAGAAAAAGCCGACGTCCACCTAGAACTAGAAGTACGGCAAAACAAGAAGCGACCTCACTTTGTTTCTTCAGCGGCAAGGAATCGACCCAAGAATTCGTTACGTCCAACGACAAGCGACAAGACCTTTCCCCACCTCATCCTAATTTTGAAAGAGACGCACAACTTACACACTAAACTTCTTCAGTGGAGTCGTTAGAAAATTAAAGAAGTTAAGAAGTAGAAGATAGAGCAGGAAGGAGGCGAAGCACTTCAGAGGCAAGAGTTTTGAAGGCCAAATTAGCACTGACGCAAACCACATCGTCTAGTACTCGTACGTAGCAGAAAAAGTGCAGTGCTGCACCAGCAGGGCTCGCCAGGAAGCACAGTCGTTTGTTTTCTAGTACGACGGACCGACTTTATCGTTTTTCTTCTGTCTCAAAGCAGTATCAGAGCAGGAACGGAGAGCCGAAAATGGCAGAAGAAGGCGCTTTTGGCGGGTTTCGACCCGATAATAGAAACCCGGATACCTACGGATGGAAAAGCTACAATGTGAAGGAAGTGGTTTCCGAATTCGGTACTCACTTACAGTGCTTTTTTTGTATGGATGATAGCGATCAATCATACCGAATATTATATGTATTTTTTTATGTACTAACTTGTACAGTTTTTTTGATACAAGGAAGTTAGTACAAAGTTTTTTTGATACAAGTTATAGTAATACAACCTCGTGACAACCGATGCAGGATTCCTTATCTCCTGACAAAAGGAGGCGACGCAACATTCCCTCGAAAACGTTTCCTAGGTGTCCAGGCGCACGCTTATACAGAACGGGTGGTCTTGGAATATATGAGCGAGCAGCCGGAGCTTCAGCCCTACATTGCGCGGCTGACGAGTGCCGCGATTCAGACCAGCGGAGCTGCAACATCGGGCGGCTCCTCCTCGAGAGGCGGAGGCGGAACATCGGGGTCAACAAGCAGAGGCACTTCTGCGTCAAGTAGCTCGTCTTCGAGTAGTAGCTCGAGTAGTAGCAGTAGTAAAAGTAGCAGCACTAAGAGGCCAGGAAGCGCGAGGAGCGACAGTAATCTAGGATCGAAAGTGAACTTGGCACTAAAATTGCAGCGGGTCAAGGGAGCAAGCCTTCACGATATCGTAAACGACGAAAAGCGGGAAATTACGGTAGCTACAATTGATAGAAAAATGATCAAAAACGAGTCGTCTGATGTGTTTTGATTCAGATTCTTGTAGTATTTTGTGCTTCTCATGTCGTGAAGAACAAGAAAAGTTTTTCCGTGCAGTCGTCACCACTAGAGACCTGTCGAATCCGATCATTCGGGAAAGAATTCCTGCATAATCAATGTGATGTTTCTTTTTCACACGACCCACGACAGGTAGAGGAGGGCATGCGATGGAGTTGCAAGTTAGTGGAGGCATTTGCACTGCTACATAGTCGGTTTAAGATATCCCACGGCGACCTGAAGCCTGATAATATCATGATAGACGCGAAAAAGAAGAGTTCGCCAACATTGATCGACTGGGGTGCGGCCAGGTGGGGTAGCAACACAGAGAAAGTAAGACGGGCACAAGGCAATGCGAGCTGTTCTGGTCCGCAGCTGTTGAAATGCATAGCGCGAAAAACCCAGTACGACAGCATCAAGAACGACGTCTATGCGCTCGGTATTTCTTAAGAGCTTTCTTTCAGACTTGATGATGCACTCGCTCTTTGTGGACGCCTAATAGCGATGGTTTTTCTGGATTCTTAACCCCATGCATAGTCGAAACACTCTACTGCAACATTAGAATTCAAGTTGCACTCCAGTTTGAGATTGCAAGTTCTTGGCCCCTTGCCCTTGTTCCTCACGCTTTAACGTCATTGAGCTTCGTTCAACATCCCACAGGTAATATTCTTTCGATTATTTGGACGGCAGTGCATAACAGAAGAAGCCTTTGTAGTGTGCTGGGAAAGCTCTGGGATCAAAACGTACCCAACGTGGCACCGACGAATCTCTTCAAGGTTTATGAGTATTGCCTTCTGGAAGCCGAGGCGACAGGATAGTACTAAAAACTTCCATAGTTCATCTTGTTCTCATGCAAATTTTTACCACCTGGTTTGGCTTGACCTAAAGTTGAACTCCTTGCTACAAAAAATACATTTGTTCGCCTTTGGCATTTGAAACATGAGCTTTACAACTTCGTGATACAACTTAACTAGATGAATATATTGTATCCACATGAATCATCTTGGATCACACGACCACAGCACCCATCTTTCTGGCGTGCCCTCCTTTTGGCGACGATGGATACTGCTTTTCACGCGAAAAGTAGAAAAGGAACGTCCGATGGTGGCAGATTGCCTTGAGGAGTTGCGCGCAGGAGCAGCAGTGGCGAAGCATGGCTTTAGATACGAGACTCGAAATTTCGTAGACCACTTGCTGCCGCTCGACCCGCTGCCGGACCCCCCGATGGAGGCGGATGATGAGGACAGCGAAGAGGACGATGCGATGATGGCATCAGCGAGCGAGAGGAGCAAGGACTTCAGTAATGTGGAAGAAATCTTTGGCAGCAGCTCTATGAGTACGTCCACGGGTAGCGGCACGCTGCTTTTCAAGAACGCCTCGGGTGCAGCAAACCGAAACTACAGCAACAAGAACAAAAATAATAGTACCACAACTTCTAAGCAGCAAATCCTAGGAGGCAACAGTACTAGGAGTAGTACTAAGACGAGAAAACAAGGCCAAGGAACCAGCAACAAGAGCGCAGGAGGCTCAGCAAGCAGTGCGTTCTCAAGCGCAGCGAGCTCGAGAAAAGCCAGTCCAATGGCCTCGGACGACGAGGAGTTCTCAACGGATTCCCGCTTCTCGGTTCGCAGTGGTAGCGCTTCGCAGTCGTACCTCCTCGACGCTCCGCAGGACCCGTTGCCACCGCTGCGAGAAATCGTCGAAATGTGGCCCCTTGGGGTATATTTTACCGTTTGATCCTTGTCATGAAAGCAAAAACATTTGATAAAGAAAAAGAGATCACCACCTTTTGATCCTTTCATTTTATAATCAGTTGCTAGCGCTAAACCCTCGGTCTTCACAGTATAGGTATTAATTTTACTCAGCTTTTCACCGCAACTGGGGTCCATCTCTTAGCGCCTTTATGAGAAATATATATTGATTACTCTGAAGGCCTAAAGCTAAATGATCATTTCGTTCTTTCAAATATTTTCAGAGCAAGAAGGGTCCTGCGAGGTCAGGCGTTATCAAGGGCTTTTCGAAGGCGGGTCGCGTACAGCAAGAGCGTGCAAAGATTATGGCCAATATGAATGTTTCATTCTAAGACGAATTCGAAAAACTTCAATATTTGCTTTTGAATTCACTCGCTCATCTAAATTTCAGTTTTTCGAATTCCTAGACTCCTCGAAGCCAAAATGAAATGACCCTACCCTTTCTAAGACATGCGTGACTAACTTACTGAAAAGTAAGCGCCAGATCGCTCGCCTGAAGTAATATTTCAAGTTGGGCTATTAATACGTGGCTCCGGAGGGTGGAGGACGATATTGTTTGTGCGACATCAGTCACGAGGGAGCGACTGCGACACGGTGCGAGTAAAAGTTCATCTCAATATCGAATCACGGACGACAACTACTTACTTTCTCTACTTCAACAGCGTTATCTCACATTCTTAAATCACATTTACGGGTTCGATATAAATCCAATCTTCACCAAACCTTGTACAATATATTTTAGTTCTTCGATGTTGGATATTTCTACCTGGGAATAAGTTTGTTGAGATCAAAAACGCGGGCCTCGGGAATTTATTTGTACCTCAACTTATTGTTAACGAAGTAGTCAATTTGAAGATCGTATCTAGAATTCAACATTGTGTTTGTCGTTGTAGTGTCGTGCGCAGGATGAACACATGAAATACGACCCTATTATTGTTTTGATCAATTTAATTGTTGTGTACCTACTTGGTAGAAAACTTGAAAAGTAGTTTCTTTCATGCATGATGATGATCATCATGCACTGATGTAGCTGATTGAAACGTCGTTTTATAGTGTAGAACAAGTAATTTTACGCACCTCCAACAGGAGCAGAATCTACGTAGTGTTGAAATAGACTTTGACGTTATCATATTTTTCGATTCGGATTCCACTGTTGTAGACGTAGTTCGAAAAGAATATTAAGTAAACAGATCGATGTGTATGTTGATCCTTGATCCCATGTATTCTACAGCTATCCTATTTGGTTGTTTTTTTGTTTGAGTATCTATGTAACTGGTATTAAAAGTCCCATCGACAGTTTCGGAATACTGATCTTCTGGGCATCTTCCTACCATACCATCTATGTAACTAACGAGGGCGAGCCTGTTCCTGGGTGATTTTCTAGGCCGATCACTTATAGTAGTTGAATCACTTCTAGTAGCTGAGTCACATCTTCTAGAAGACATCTACTGGGCGTCAACTTTTGGTTTTGGACAGATTTACAGTTTCGCAACCTGCTGGTCAATGTAATCACTTTCCCCGACAAGAATCAATGAGTTTTACGCCAACGCCGAGTCCTCATAAGATAATCTCTGTGTAGATGATCCCGACGATGTACTACAGATGAAAGGGACCCTGGGTACTGATGTACTCTCCTTATAGTGGACTTACTGCATAAGGGGACAACGTACTGTTGGACTCTCCTTCATACCATGATCCTTGGAGGCAAGAGCACTACAGGGAGGAGGCTCCAGATGCTAATGAGGTCAACGTCCTCTGGGTGAAAGCGAGGAGACTCCGACTCACGTCACTGGGCGAGGAGACCTAGGCTATGCTATGGCTTGTGATCATTTGAATACAAGGAAAGAGTAGTGTCTTCACAAAATAGAAATGTGAAGCACAAGAGCGCAGTATTGTGAGTAAAAATGAATTGTTGACGCTTTCGGAGCTCTCTATCCTCAGAGCTATTCCCTCGGTCACATTTTAAGGAGCCGTAAAAAGAGGAGGTTCTGCAATATGGGCCTTGTTGTTCTATAATGTTGTCCTCTATGACGTATTTTCGAATCAAATTAATAGGCAAATCATCATTCGTCCTTCGTTTCTTTACGTGTTTATCGGTTGTCCATCGGTTGATTGTAACTAATGTAAATAACCTTAACCACGAGTCGGGTCAGGAAAAATATCTCTGCAGCGTCTTTCTACGCGAGAGCTTGAGTGACACTGCCTATAAAGAACCGTGACTCGTGATTTTTCGAGTCTTGGGTACCCGAATTCTGAAATAAAACACCCTTCCGAATTCCACCTCCCATCAAGCCCCATTTCGCCCCTAAATGAGTCAGCCTGAAAAAAAAACGGGAGCAGTCGAATCCAACTCGAATCTACATTAGTTGTTGAGGGGGCCAGACGTATGGACACACGAAGGTCGTTAGAGTTATTCATAGTAGGGCTTAACACCATATTCGTAATCGTACAGAAATTCCGCAATTTGAGACGCCAAGAACGATTACTTGAGACGCCTTGCTGATGAAATTCGCCATCATAGCACTAAGTGTCCTTTTCATCTACTTTTTACTTTTAGTCGTTTTTTGTCTAAGCTGGCCCTTTGGCCGAAGACTTTGAAAGAAATGAAAGAAAGGTCTACGTGATTATTACTCCACTACTGCTACCTATCGTAGGTCGTTTTCAGTCGTCGGGGAAGGAAATAATCACTTTTGAGAAGAAGCATCTGATTGACTGTTGACCGAGGAGGAGGAGAATACTGCACTCGTTGAATGGAGAACCGAGCAAAATAGAAAAAGCCAGAATCATACGGTATTCGTGGTTGCGTCCGAGACTCTGTAGACGCTTGAGATGGGCTAATACGTGGTTCTCACAAGAGGTGGAAACAGCGAGCACATTGCAGTCGCTGTTTTTGTCGCCTCTACGTAAAGGAGGGTGTGAAAACGCTTCCGGTGGGTACTCGATATGCAAGTAACAGTATAAGTTCAAGTAGGATAGGGCTAGGCAGTTTTTAGTACTAGGTCTCTTACATAGAGAGTTCAAGTTTACTTGCTGACAACTTCAGTTTTTCGAAGATTCACTATCCTCCAACGGGAGTACCTACGACGTGACATCACTCGCAAACAGCACCGTGCTGATGGTATTTCACGCGAGCAGTAAGCAGGACGACGAGCAGGAACTGGAATTCAAGTCGTCTGTGAAACGCGATTCACCATCGTCCGAGACACGAGTGAGCAGCAACGTGTTGCGATTTTCACGACTTCAACGAACGTCAACTTCATCTCGCTGCTCAGCGTAGTTTCTGTGTGAGTTACCAGACTCTCCCTATCGATTATTCCACGGACGGTTGCTTATCCTGGTGTGGAGACAATCGTTGCCTGGAGACAATCGTTGCCTGGAGACAATCGTTGCCTGGAGACAATAGTTGCCTGGAGACAATCGTTGCCTGGAGACAATCGTTGCCCTGCGTGCTGCGCCGTCATCTTCTTCGCTGTTCTAGTTAAGGCTTACTCAGATTCATCTTAAGATGCATCTTTAAAGTGTTTTCAAGGGGAAAAGTATGCCAAAGATGCACTTCAAGATGAATTTAGGTAAGCTCTAATCTAGCTCTTTCCCGGTTTGATGCTGACGCGATAGTGCTTTCCCGATAGTGCTTTTCAATCAGTGCTTCTCCTCTCTGACCTACCGTACGACCGACGACCAACATGTTGACTCTCTCACTCCTGTGCTGTGGCGGTCTCGTTGTACTTGCCCGAGGAGAAAATGACGTCGAAAGGGAGCAGGCTTCCCCCGGAGCACGCTTCCGAGGGTACCTAAGAGGCAAGCCCGCGACGGAGCCTATTATGGAAGCCACATAGTACAGCTTGTTCAGCATTAGTTGGAAGTCAGATACAGCTTCTTTATTAGCTTTTTTGGTAGTAATTTATTAGAAGAAATCTTAAGAGACTCTGTCTTAAGAGACTCTGTCTTGGCAGACCAAAACCGAATCGACTTGCATCATCATCAGAAGCAGAAAGTTGCATGCTCATCTACTCAGGCTAATCATATATGAATACTTATAAATATTCTTGCTTATCTTGTTACACTTCCTTGAGGCATCCTCGATTACTAATATTATTTCGTGCCTGATATAATTATATATTATACTTGAGCCATCAAGGATCGGTTACTGTCAATACAATCACAAACAACTAAAAAGGATAGCACTATGGGACATGAAACAAGGTTCAAAAGAACATGCAACAGCTAGCAACAGCTCTAATGATGTGGAGTCGGAACACTCGACGCGAAATGCCGCTGGTACAAGCCACAACCTTCGATTAAGGCTCAACTTTCAATGGTCATTGGAGTTGGTCACTGAGATCGAAAAGGCCACCCTCCCTTGAGAGTAGAACAGGTGAAAGAAACAAAGGGAAAGGGGAGAGCTTTGAAGGGGGTCCCTTCCGTTCAGAGTCAGTGACCATTGAAGGCTGAGCTTTAATCCGAGGCTCCAAACGCATACGCACTGCTAGCTCATGGATCCAACCGGACGGGGAAGCAGTAGAAGCACAAGAACAATTATGAAATTGTTAGTCACGATTGATCGTGTGTTGTTCTTTATTAAAAATGATATCGTGGGACATCGACATGCTGCTTACAAACCCTACTACTTCTAACCACTGCTGCAGATCCACCAAAAACGACGCCCACGGGATCGAAGAGCTCTGCAGCCGCCCCAAAGGCAGGAGATGGAGGAAAGGCGGAGACAGCTGAGGCGCCTGCTTCCGCGAGTGATGCAGCCGGATCGACCGATCGGAGAGGAGGGTCTTCGAGAAGCAAGGAAACGGGCACGACCTCTCTCACCGCACAGGCCGCAAAGGGTGAAGTACAACCCGAAAGAAGCAGTCTTCTCAGTCAATGGAACCCGAGATCCTGGAAGATCTGGAAGTACTTGTCGCGGCCCTCGTGGAAGTGGTGGAGATCCGGTAAGCAAACCCAACAAAAGCCGGGTGACGATGACAAAGACGATAACGGCAATGACAATGGCGAGGAGGAAAATGACAGTGCAGAAGCCTTGGCCGAAAAGCCTGGAGTACGACGGGAGTTGAAGTGGCTCAACGGAGTAAACGGCGTTGGCGTTGGGGATGGGAGCGTGAGTAAGGCAGGAGATGGTAGTAGTGATGGCAAGGAGAAGGACGTTGGCGCAGGAGCCGCCGCTGCCCCTGAAAAGAAGACGGCCGAAGGAGCCGCCGCTGCCCCTGAAAAGAAGACGGCCGATGAAGCCGCCGCTGCTGAAGAAGCCGCCGCTGCTGAAGAAGCCGCCGCTGCTGAAGAAGCCGCCGCTGCTGAAGAAGCCGCCGCTGCTGAAGAAGCCGCCGCTGCTGCAGAAAAGAAGACGGTCGGAAAACCCGCTGCCAAAGAAGCCGCCGCTGCCGTAGTCTCCGGCAAGGACTCCAAAGCAGAGAACGATGCTCCCGCTGAAGATGCACTTTATGGGGCTCTTGATGTGGGCAATTGAAGACCAAAGTTGAATCTTTTGAAGATGAAGCGTCCTGTATAATATATTTTTTCTGACACTGGGGATTAATTTGGTTCCGACACCAGGTCTTCTGGCTTGGGTTTACCTCTCTTCCCGCCTTCCCCTTTTCCTTTTTTGCTTTCATTTGCTTACGAATATCTTTTGAAGATTAAGCGTCCTGACAATATAATATAAATATTTCTTCTGGTGACACTGGGTGAGTCAGTACAAAATGGCCTTTTCTTTATTCCTTTCTAACCCCCTGAAAACTTTTCCTGCTATGCTCGTTCTGATTATATATTTTCCTAGTGCAGGGCTAGTTCTCTGTTTTTTTATAATCACCGTCTAACTCTTCACTCGTTATTCTGGTGACACTGAGACGGGTTTCAAATTGAGAAATAGTGGCGTCAAAAGTGAAGTGAAGTAAGATTCTTTTTATTTTCCCTCCCCTACCCTGACATTGTGTGTGCGTTCTGATTTTTTATTTCCCTCTGCAGGGTTAGTTACTCTCTGACTAATCTCAGTCTAGTCACTCCACATTACTTTGACACTGAGAAAATCCACACGGACATAGATGAAGTATTCTTAGATCGTCCCGAGTACTAGCAGAATACTGAATACATAGGCTTCGAAGAATTTCGAAGACCTTATTATTTTCTTACATTTTTCTCTAAAAAAGACAAGAAGCGAAGGGCACGAACGATGATGACGAGTCATCGTTGCCCTGTGGATCCTGGCTGGCAGTCACTGGAAGTGCAGTCTTTGCGATACTGGTAATCTGTATGCTCGTGTGGTTGTACTGCAGTGTTATTAGCGGAGGGCAGAACAAAGTCGCAGATGATGAAGACAACTTGAGATCTTCTGCGACGAAACAGGGCTACGGCGCAGTCGATGGATACTCATCGTCCTCGTCTGATCAAGAAGGCGCAGGACTGCAAAGCTCGTTCGTTAATGTCCCAACTACTGTACCAACATCACTGGAGTTAAGGAAACGTTTTTTTTTTCAGGTTGTCGGAATTGCTAATAAATCATTTTGATATAGGCTAATCAGGTAAGTTGTGTCCAGCTCAAGAAGCCGAGGGAGCATCTTCGGCGGCATCCTTGGCTCTTTTCTGAGTGACTAAGGGGGAAAATGAGTAAGTCGCTAAGGATGATATCAAGGATGTTGAAGTTGATGCGAACGCAATAGCTCTAAAAATGGGACCGGGTTTACGCAGTCGCCATGTCGACAGCGAAATGCCTTCGACGCAGAAGCAGCAGCGTCCATCGGGCTCGACTAACCTAATCCCTCCATCGGGGAAAGTTATCTCCACTCGACTAGGTAGTCGCCCTAAACTATCCGTCGCAGGTGATACTCCACTAGTTGTTCCACCAGCTGCTCTGGTATCCCACGCAGGCGATACTCCACTAGTTGTTCCACCAGCTGCTCTGGTATCCGGCGCAGGCGATACTCCACTAGTTGTTCCACCAGCTGCTCTGGTATCCGGCGCAGGCGATACTCCACTAGTTGTTCCACCAGCTGCTCTAGCATCCGTCGCGACAGGTCCCTCCTTGACGCAGAACGTACTTTCTCAGAATGTGGCGTCGTTGAGCCAGGGAACAGCACCTCATGCTGGGGACAGGGATGAAGTAGCTCCTCTCCCGGATGACGACGAGGATGGGGAAACAAGAGGATGAATAGGAGGGTGACAGCCGCGCTTCGGAGATCGAAGAGGCGACCCCTTGAGAGAACAGGGGAAAACGAAGGGAAAGGGGAGAGCTTTGAAGGGGGTCCCTTCCGTTCAGAGTCAGTGGCCATTGAAGGCTGAGCTTTAATAAGTAGTCCTCGACTCATCATGTACATTCCACATTCACACTTGTTTCCTTAGTCTATCTTAGTCCATCTAGATTCTGCAATAGATCCATGTATCTTCCGCACGAGCTAAATGAAGTAGACTTCCAAGAAAAGACTGTGTTCATTCTCATTCAAACCTCCGAGGAGGGTGACACAAAGTAAGCCTATAAGAAAGAAGAGAAAGCAAAGGAGGGGGGCAAGTAGGCGGAGGATGGCCTCAAGTCTATAAATTTACCCGTATACAACATACTAGTGATTAGCTACGCGGCTCGTAATTTACGATCGCGGCGCTCGCGTCATCTCCTAAAATGGTCCTTACATCATCACGTCTAGAACTTCCACTAAGAAGCGTCCTTCTTACATCATCACATTAAGTATTATGTTAGCGTTACAAGTAGGATTTCCGCGAAGCAGACCTACTTATCGTGTTAGACTTAGAATCGCAGTGAACTACAACCGCGGATCAATCTGAGGCCGTCTACAAGGACACTTCCTTACGCATGTAGTGAGAAGTAGAAACAAGACAAATTTCTGCACAGACATAGTATTTGAATACAACTACGGTCAGTCTCAGTGCATGCGATTCATCGTTGAAGAGACAGACAACCCCTCCTAGTATCTTCACTACACTCACAGTTGAGACACAGACACTTCGCACTACTGGTATCTCTTCGAACCGAATCAGATGCAAAAAAATGGAATTGTCGCTAATGCAAGAGTAAACCTTTCATTCGAGAACTACAATCCTTACGCTGCTATTTAGTGTAGAAGTCATGATTAAACAAAGAAATTATGATGCCAAAGAAGCTATTTGCTAGTGTAGAAGTTATAATGTTAGCTACAGTCAGAATCAGTATCAGACTCATCATCATGAAGACCACAGTGTTTGTCTTTTTAGTAATCTTCAAATGTCATGCAAATGCGAGACTCCTGCTATTCTTGGAGAGTTATGATGTGACAGACCTCCAGCGGACCCTTAGTAACCTTGAGCCTTCATGTAGTTATCATGTTCATGATCCACCACGACCCGGAGTAAAAGACTCCGGCGCCGGCTGATGACATTTAGCTAAGACATTTAGTAATGTCCTACTGAACTTCTACTCAAGGAAGGAATTAGTAGCTATCTAAGCACCTACAATCTAACTCTAAGCACTCTCATCGTTCTTCTCAATAATGTCCTACTGTCACGGGAAATCAGCATGGTTCGTTACATATTGTCTGTGCGTGTTGCTATTCATCAGTAGTCTGTGCCTGTTGCACAACATCAGGACGGTCATCAGTCTAGGAAGATGGACCGCCCTGGGGTTGTGCAAGAACGCATTGCGAACGACGCCCCTACGGCAGTCTGCGCTGAACTTTGTGCGAGAGATGCTTCGCATGCCGTTGCTGTCATCATGATGAGAACGGATTTGAAGTGCTATGCGGCATCTGAGGATGCAGGTTGTGCTTACGGATCATAAAGGACCAAGTAGAACATGCAGCTCTCGCATGCTTCGGTTCATTTGATGGCATATCTAGCCTACACGCTCACACCGTCACAAGTGAGCCCACTCCTATCCTATCCTTAGTACGGAGGAGGGATCACTCGAAGTTTTAGATGTAGCAAGTAAAAGTAAAACAAGTATGGAAAGGTGGTGACCTGCATCGATTAGGGTCGAAAAATACAACTGAACTAGCCCTCGGCCTGCAGTGTAGTGAATCTCCTAAGAGCTAGAAGAAGAGCAGCAGGCTTTCATTCACGCCGCATATCCTTTCTACTACTAAGCTACTCCATCTAAGTACTTAGTACAAATTATAACCATATACGACCCAAGATAGCAGCAACCATACTCATCATCACAGGCCTTGCTAATTGAAAGCTTGTTTGTAAATGTGGCTGCTTTGTGGTTCTCTAATATTATTACTGTGCCCGCCGTAAAAATATAATATGATGTCCTCTCGGTCCAGGTCCTCGTGGCTAATTTTGCCTTCTCTTGCCCTGACCCAAGACATTTTCTTGGCAGTGTCTTTTGCTGAAAGTCTATCTCTGCGCGGTCCGTTGCTGCAAGGCTCAACCGCATCAAGTAGAACTGCAGAGGAAAGGGCGCCGTCGGTTGTTGATGGCTTGCATCCAAGTGTACACTATGGTCGTCGTCAACAACGTGTAGACTTCTATGGTCGTCAACATTAAGGCTTCCCCTAATGCTCCACCTTCGGAGGAGCATCCTCTTCCTCGGAAGGCTTTTCAACGGGAAGAAGCGCCTAGGATGCCTCCCGAGATGGATTAGGGCGAGCTTTATTATCGTCATTTGCGAAGTAGAGACGTCGACACGTTCTACAACAGCGGAATCACGCCCACATCGATAGGAGATGCTCTCGCAGCTGGTCTCGACTGGTTTCACCTACAGGAAGGGTTGCGTGCACTAGGCGGCTTAAGTCCTTACCCTTTCGTCGTGGAGAGTAGTTCTTTGGGGAGTAATTTAGACGCATCAATAGAAAGAAATGATGAGAGTGGTCTGTTGGTAGAAGGCACATCGAAACGAGGACGCTCGCATTCAACAGAAAGGTGTACACAAACATTACAGGTCTCCTCTGGAAGTTTCTTGTCAGAAAGACTTTCTTCAGGAGGTAGTTCTTCGTCTTCATCTTCGACTGCCACACCTACATCCACGAGTGACACACCTACATCCAACATTACATCCACCATCCACGCACCTGCATTCACCATCAACACACCTGCATCCACCATCCACACACCTGCATCCACCATCCACGCACCTACAACACACACTCGTGCACTGATGCACGGCAACGACGAGACGCATGCACTGAGCAGCAGTGCCGTGATGAACGAAGATTTGGGTACTAAGATGTCGGTCGTGGGAGGCAGGGCTCGCTCAGTGTCGGTTGGAGGCAGTGATCGTCCAGTGAACAGAGATCCGCTGCTGGCTGCAACTAGAAGTAGACGTCTGTCCGCCAATTCCGTGAGGAGGAGAGCACGTGCGAATGCCGGAGACCGAGTTTCTACTGCACGACCTGGAGAACTGCATCAAGGAGTTTTAAGGGTAGGTTAAAGGTGCTTTTCTTACCGCTTTTTATGCCTCTCCTAAGGCAGAAAGGCATAACCATAACAAGCGGGGTAAGCGAGCACCAAAAGCCTACCTCTAAGAGCTGCAGGGAAGTGCCGCGACTCGGGAAACGCGGAAGAAGTACAACAAAAACAAGACATAGACTTATGGTCAACATTTAGTGTCCATCATTCTCGGCATCTTGGTCCTCTTTTCCCTTGTATTCTCGTGAAATACAAGGTAAAAGGGGTCAAGATGAGGGGGCCGAGATGCAACCTAGCAGACTCTAATAGACGGCGAAGAAGTACTTCAACGACGTCGTGAATATCTCGAGAGCATGGGTAGGGCGTTAGACCTAGTCTTTTTGTGTGAGGGAGAGGCAGTTGCGGAGCTTCTGCGTGCGAGCGATGACGACCTAAGCGCGTTACTGCAAACACGAAACTGGGCACGAACTGATGGAGCAGAACCTACTGAAGCTGAACAGATACCCCTGCATCAAGCATTATGAATTAAGTCCTTGTTGGTCTCTTGCTCGATGCAGAGTCCTTGTCACTACAACTAGAAGTAGAGACGCACCTGATGATCTTACTCGATTGATACAACATAGGCACGCGCCACAAGAGGTGAAAATTATTAAAGGTTCATTGATGATTATTTTACATCCATTGACTCCCGTTGTAGCTAGTATCTCACTAGCTCACTCACTACTAATCTGATGTGTCTTCTCATCGCGAACACGATGACCCCTACTGTTTTCTAAATCTGGTTCAGAATTCTTCTCGAGAGGCCTTCCGACCGTCGCATTGCCAAAAGCGACACCCGAACTTTCGTGAACACTTGCGACGTGCGCTTTTTCAGATTCATGATAGTTAAGCGACGATAATGTTCTCACTAATTCTCACCCCTCAAAAATCCCCGTCATTTGTATAGATACTTGGAATCAACAAAACAAGCCTCTAGTTATCACTGTTTCTTAAGTGGATAGTTCAGAAACGAGTTGGACTTGATAATGGATGATCCGGCACATAAGTATACAGGAAAACTCGGCATGGATATTTAATTTAGTGTAGGAACAATTCGCTGCTCTAAGATAGGTGGCGCATGCGTGCCGAGGACCGTGCTGGGCGGCGCAGGGAGGCTCTTATGCTCCTTCTATCATGGTATAGCTGAAGTTCGTAGTACGAGTCAGTCCCCCTGACAGTCAGTTCGGGAACAGAGGCGACATGACAGGACACAGTCTAAGTACCTCACTGAGGATAGCATTTAAGTACTCATTTTATTAACTGAAGCGTAATATACTTAGAGGAAGGAGTCTCTAATTTGTTCGAGGATACGAGGCACCATCCGGGTGACAATTTTGATGATGCACGAATACGCGAGCGGACACCACCGGGGTTGCGCGCGCCGGAATGGGGTCTTCCTCTTCACGACGATGAAAGCCGATTCTACACGTCATCACCGGGCTTTTCCTACCCGATTGTCTCCGATCAGGCGTCCTTGGCAGAATGGTTCTATCATGTGTGCGGAGGCATCGTACCTTATGACTACTTACCGTATTAATATAATCTCTAGGATTTATAACCGGTTAATTATTTTCCCCCATATTTATCCTGGCTTAGTCCCTCCAATCAATGTATGTCCCACCAGACCTACATACTGCCTTTAACGATTGTGGACTGGTGTTGGTTTCATGACTAGTGCCATCCATGCAGTCTAAGTAGATTTTCACAAGTAGATCGACCAGAAGGAAAAAAGTTTTTACCTCTACGAACCTAGGCTTATCCCGCGCAACAATATACTGAAGATGTTTTGACGAGTCAGGAGGAGACTCGCTAGACATACTCATGTGTATGAGTATGTGACCAGCACCAGCAGAACAACATCTACAACAAGAGTACACCAAACTTCCAAAGTACTGCAATGAATAAACTTCTAATTTACTGAGATCTTCTGATTTACTGAGATCCTCTACTCGTACAAAGATTTCAAGATGAAGATGAGTAGACTCACGTTCATGTTGGGTTCGCCTTCATTTGAAACATCTCGGAGTTTTGGACTACCGAGAATTGAGGGCGAGACCGCAGCAACCACCGCCGCATGAAAGCCACTTGCCGCTCTGGCGGACAAACCGCAATCAAGATAATTTCAGAGAAGACTGCGTTTTTATGTAACTACAACGACTAAGGCTGCAGCGAGCTTTCGGTTTCCTGTAAAAATAACAAGGGTTCGGAATACTGATCAGGGCAACTCATCATGACCTGTAAAAATACGGGTGCTTGCAGCCCTGTGCGGATAAGTATGATTTTTGAGAATAAAGTGAGGTTGAGCTACAGATTCTATTTTGCAGATCCTATAGGAGGGTCAAGGGTGGAAGGTGAAGACGACCAGGCGACCGATTTCGACGTTCGATTAGAGATTATAGAGTGTTAAGCTTAAGTTACAACACATGACATGACGTAAGTCGCTTATTTTTTCATCATAAGCGTTTTTTGTTTGTAAAATGCATTTTGCGTTGAAGTGCCAGACTTCTTGGACATTTATTTTGAAATTTTGTGAAACAGTTTTTGCTCCTTCTTGAATCGGTGATTGCCTGTTTGTAGACAAGTGGACAACATCAGCGGGTTTGCAGTGGCTACTCACTCTCTGACTATTCTCGATGGACTATAATCGACGCGATGAAAAATGCCATTATAGACGCGTCTCCTTCTCGTGTGGGCAAGCACATCTTGTTGTCATTGCTCTTTCTCCATATGGGTTCTCCGTTCGGTGGTCCATTAGGCTTGGAGTACTAAATGGGACACCATGATGATGATGGATGAATCAATCTAAGCGGGCGAGGAACAGGAATAGTATGCCCGAATGATCGGTATGAAAGTATACGCGTGATGAGTTGCTAAGGATTCGGAGAGGGGAAATTTGCATTGCGCCTTCGCTGTGGAGGTGACAAGATTGACTTTACCTGCTCTGAGCTGTGTTCATATCGGGTTTTCGAATTTTCAATACTAGCGTATAAGTAGTACAAACTCAACAAGATCTTAGCAAGCTTGATTTTTCATACGAAGGGGAAAAATATGAAGACAATGTCCCAGCTGCCATTTCTGCGTGGCGGTGGTTCGTCACTAGAGGCTTCGTGGAGGAGTGCCGGTACTACGAATGTTTTGGACGTTTGAATTTAATCCATTTCCGCGAGCGCGGTTGGTGGCACGTACAACTTCCTTATTATCCTTAACAGAATGACGACCGATGCATTTCGATCCTCTTCGGACTCTATCGCATCTGACCATGTCAAAAATACATGAGACCAGAAAAAATTGTTGCACAAACAGGCGTGCTGCGTGCTTCAGCAGCTGCTTCCGCAGCCTTGCAGCACCAAACGAGAGGCACAATAGCTGGTCTACTTGTCGGCATAAGGCGCATGCATACTGGTACGCGGACTCCCTTGTTACGTGTACAACCACCAAATAATGATCACGCGTATAGCTCAAGCTCATCTTCAACAAGTAGTATGTTCGTCGCGATGAAGGAGATGACAACGGTTCGTAGTGCTGACGCACTACTATCACTTGACCACCTGCAGCGGGTGTACGACCACCTTCTTCCCGCAACGACTATCACTTTGACAACAGCTTCAGCACCATCAAGGCCGATGAAGCCCACGAACCGTGACCCTCTGAAGAATATTTTTGGTAGAAGAATCATGATGCCTCAATCTGAAACTGAAAGTATAGAAGAGGAGCGAGGATGCACAGCCACCCCAGCACCACTACAAGCACCCGCAACTTCCTCAGCCGAAGTCGAGATGTGGTGTTGGTGCCGAGCACCTGCGAAACATCCGAAGAGGTGCAACCGAGGTGCTTGTCCTCGAAATAACGTCATGCGCCGTATGCGGAAACGTGGCCGAGTTGGGAAGTAGAAGAACATCCGATTCATCTGATTGAAGTACTTATGTAGGGTAGAAGTTTGAATCTTCCTTCATGATTCGACACGACACGATCTTCATCTGATCTAATGCTTCCACCTGGGAAAATCTATCACACTATTTTGATGACGTGCAAGAAGATATAAAGAAATGGAATCGGAGAGAGACCACAAGGGATTCCTTTGATGCTTGCCGATTTGCATCGTGTATCCTCGTTTCACATGAGTGTTCGACCCTCGGTTCCTCACATTTATATACACTTAAGTGGGATCCTCGAACACTTCATTTAGACAGAATTAAATCTGAGAATCCCAGTGTTACCTTATCGGTGAAGATCCCACAGAGCGTTAACAGTACTATTCATTGAGGATGATCATATGTTCCTGGTGAGTAACACATGTATTTTAGTACTTCAGTATAAGTAAATTGATTTTGTACCTAGTAGGGCAGAAGACGAGTACAACTTGGATAAGTTTTTCGTGGGAGCGACATTCACTCTAGAAGAGTGCACGACCCCCGACATGTGTTGATTTCATAATTCAAATTTGTTGGAATTTTTTGGTGTCCCAAGTCGTGCTACTTCTGTAGGTAGTAACTTTTTCCCCTGCTTGTTCTACAGGCCTAGGCACTTGGAAAGGATGGGCGAAGTTTCTCCTGCGTTTTGCTCGTGGAAGACCTCAGCGCCATCTGGGTTGATGAAGGTCTTCTTTGCTTTCTCGCTTTGGTCCTTCACCTACGCTACTTTTGCGGCGGCGGCATCAAGCAAGGGTTCATCTACTTCTAATCTGAGCAGTTTGCTTGCACCGGAAATCAAGTTTGTTTTTGTTGGTGGGAAAGGAGGCGTCGGGAAAACGACCACATCTAGTGGCCTCGCAACGCAGTTGGCCAAGGATCAACTTAAGGCTCCTGATAATTCATATCCACAGACTTCGATCACAGTCTTGTCTCAGTTAAACTGTTTTTTGGATTTCTGAGACTGCGGACGTAGCAGATGAATGATTGTGACTGGGCGCTAATCGGCGAATTCTACTTGTTTCTACCGATCCAGCCCATTCTCAATCCGATGCCTGGGCCCCGCAACAGTTCTCGAACGTGCCCAAGGCTGTAGAGGGTCTTAAAAACCTGGACATAGTTGAACTGTCACCCAAAGACTCGCTACAAAAGGAGATCGATTCCTGGGATGAATTAGCCAGTGACGAACCTCAAGTGCGCGACTTCATCGAAAAAGCACAGGATACCATGAAAGTTAAGTAGAACTGTAGCAGTACTCTAGACAGTTTTATTTCTGTGCGTGTACCTTGACCTTGTTTTCTGATTTTTTGATAGCTATCAACACTCGCTTGGGCATTCGTATTGATTCTAAATGATAAGCCAAATTGTGGCCTCTGCGCAACAAGAGGTACACGGAGCAGTAATTGCTTTCTTTAGACAGCTCTCTAAGAAACGCCTTCAAGGAATTGACGAGGCGATCGCGCTCTCCGAAGCCTACGACTACATTCATTCTGGCGCGTATTTTCATCTCTACTTCTGCACTGCATGATCTTCATCGGATTCCATATTCATTATTAGACTCATGGGATTACGACTCTATATATCTGATGAGGAAGTAGTTGTAGCAGGAGAGTCTATTAGTGAAGTTTGTTTGTTTGCTCTCTCTGTCTCGCGAACGGAACCACTAAATTGACTCTATACAACAGAATAGTGTGGATTCTTACTGACGACAGACTCCATCTTCATTAATAGACTCTCCTGCTACAACTACTTCATTAAAAATGGAGTCAGTCTCCTGCATGTTGGATGTAGTTCACGTTATAGTTCAGGCTAGGGTTGTAGTTTATTTTTTTGACAATAATCGTCCATACATTTTTTCGGAAATTATAGGTACGACAAAGTCGTGTTTGATACTGCGCCTACTGGGCACACGCTTCGGTTGTTGGATCTCCCCGCCATGATGTCGAAAGTTATGGTTCCTGTTCCTAATCCATATGATGAGAGAGAAGCTTCACTCACCCTCGAGATCTAAGTATCTGAAGATGGATAGATGGATAGTACTCAATTGTGACTGAGCTCATCTAACAAAACTCTGGAAACGATCCGCGATATGCAGAGCAACCTGTTGAACCTTGTCGATATGGCAAGCAGCATTTTTGGCGCGCAGGGTTCGGTTGGTACCGGGATGTCGCCTGCGTTCAAGGAGGTTATAACAGCCAAGCTCGAACAATATCAGGAAAATTATGTCTCGCGTTGCCTTTTGTCACTTCATTTATATGAGATCTCAGGATAGCATCGCATAGTCTGGGGCTAGCATCGCATAGTCTGGGGCTAGGGTTTGGGTTCGTGCGTGATAGACTTAATGGATTGGAATGGTGATGCAGATGTTGATTTGAATGCTCTGATTTCGTCGTGGTGTGTAGCTTGAGTCAATCTGTACTTCACAACACATCAGGAAAATAGAGCTTACCTTTTGCAGTTTGAAGAGATGGAACAAGTTTTTTTGTTCTCTCTTCTAAGAGCATTGTAGTTACTAGTCTTAGTGCTCCCTCCGACGAATTGTCTTTGTCTTAGTGCTCCCTCCGAAAAAATTCATCGGAAGACTCACTTCAATCCCCTCTAAGCATCGGTCGACCGCGTCGCCAGCATGCTTTCGAACGAGAGAGCTACCAGATTCGTTGTCGTCTGCATTGCGGAGTACCTCAGTATCTCCGAGACCAAACGACTCCTGTCAGAATTGAAGTCGAGACGCGTTACCGCAAGCCACGTCGTTGTGAACCAACTTGTTGTTAAGGCTGCTGACTAGTAGAAATACCTGAACCAGTCAAGTATGTGTATGTGTCTATGTCCGTCTTTGCGAATATACCCACTATGTCCTGTGTAGTATGTGTATGTGTCTATGTCCGTCTTTTCGAATATACCCACTATGTCCTGTGTACCCACTATGTGTATGTCTGTCCTTTCGGATACACACTTTGTGAGACCTACTCTAAGCTTGACCAGGATTTGGTCATCTCCTCTGACGAGCGAGATGACGTGGTGGCTGCCTTGGAGACGAAAAATTCAGGTCTTTCCGACAAGGTTGTGTTATGGTCAACATTTAGTGTCCATCTCGTCTCTGGGCATCTTGGTTTTCCCTTGTATTACTTATTCCCATTTGAAATAATACTTACAAGGGTAGTAAAGGGGTCAAGAGGAGGGGGCCGAAATAGAGGGTAGGTTAAATAAGGCATTTGATGCATCCTAATCAATGTTGCATCCTAATTCAGTCTTGAGACAGTGCCTCGTGCTAGGTAAATTTAAGGGTAGGCTAAAGGTGTTCCTGTTACCGTTTGTTAGAGCTCTCCTAAGGGAGACAGGCAGAACAAACGGGAGAACCCACGAACACCGAGAATGTCTGTCGAGCAGGCGCAATCGAGTGACAACTGCAGTAATTTCTACGAGGCCCCCTCATCTTTCTTTCGGGCAGATGCAATCTAGCAGACTCTAATTGTGGGGGCACTCGAAGTCTTCCGATCCAAGGCTGCGATTCAGCAGAAGTACCTCAAAACGCTCAAGGAGTCGGATGAGGTTCGTCAAGGATTATGGCTATCTTAGAGAACACGGACTGTTGTAAATGTAATTGAATAAACTTCTTCGTCTTCATCTAATGGAAGTGGAGTCTGGGTTTAAATTAAGAGTCCCGTCGACGCCAGTTTCGGAAGACTGATCTGGGCAACTCACCATGGCCGTCATCTAATGGCGCGTGCGCGTAGCCTCGAAATACCTCTAGCTAGGCACATACATACTTACATAAGTACTTACATGTTTAGAGGCGCGAACAGGATTTCCAAGGCTTGCTGTAGTGCTGTTTCTCTCTAATTAGAGCATCCACGAACTCTACCAGTGGCATTGCGGTTGTCGAAGTTCCGCTTCTGGCGTCTGAGGTAGTTGGGGTGAATGCACTCAAAACGTTTTCGCGACTGTTGCTGCAAAACCCAGCTGAAGTGCGCGAAATCACAAGAAACTGGAACCGCAGTAAGCAAACCCCTGATACACCTTCTTATGGAAACATTGAATCGTGTTGATGTAGTTGTCCTTCTTCCCGATCTCACTAGTTTTTTTTTTCAGGAACCTAATAGTCACTCTGTAGTTCTTCTAGTTCCCAAGGGGGCGACCTGGTACGCAAAAGTGGAGTCAGTTCGTTCCTCTAAGCACGAGTGAAAAAAGAGTCTGCGAAAAAGGCCGCAGTGAAGATCGCGACAAAGGCAGCAGCCAAGGGGGAATCGAAGAAAACAAAGAAGACGAAAAAGAAGTACAAAAAAATCACTGAGGAGATGGTGGAGCAGAAAACGAGAATGCTTATCGCCGATATGTTCATGAACGAAAAAATGCCCGACCTCAAGAAGTGGGAGCCGGTATTTGATGTTGGAGAACCTACTTACGTGTGCTACGATCAAGATTTAGATACTAAATTCCGAGGTATTATAATAAAATGAATCAGATTTTCACCTTCTCTCTTTCCTCCACTCTACTTTCGTGAAGAAGAGAGACCCAAGTATTTAAACTACTTAGACCCCTACCTCCCTACGTAAATCCTTCTACGGGCCCCTACTTCCTACAACAGCCTTCATAAATGTCTGAACTTCCCCAGAATGGGGAATCTGAAGAAGAATTCCCCATTATTTTGTTCTTCGGGTGCGGCTTAGATGTTTATGTTTAGGAATTCTGGGGTTCTGATACTCATACTCTCCCACTTTACAAGCTGTTTATGAGGCCTTCCGCAGGTTCCTCTCTAGTACAGAGTGCTTCTTGCATGCGTGGACTGCGTACTATGTACAAGAAACAACATGAACATCACCACAGATCTTGAAGAAGGATTCGATGCTGCTTGCGCAGACGATGCAAGGGAGCCCGGATTTTCTGAAAAAGGCTGAAAACTGCAAGGATATGGAGGACGTTTCCGCGTGCATCGACGAGTTGATGTTATGGTGACCTTTTCTTGGTTTCATCCATCCTTTCACGTTAGTATTCAGTATATCACAAGATCCACGACCCCCCCAGTTTCATCCATCCTTTTTCTTCCTGAAGGGGGTGACCACAAGGAAGAGCACAACTTCCCCATAGAATTAGAAAGAACACAGAGTATCGAGTGGTCCTCTTTTGCAGTTCAGAGGAATAAATACCTCAAGAATGTTGGGTACACTCCTCCTACTACTACTAGACCAATTAAACAATAGTAGGGGAATATGTACAAAGAAAAAAGAGCGACCAAAGTATTAATCGGAGGTTCTAATGATGAAAGATCCCATCGCCAAAACCCTCTTGCGGGAAGTGGCGCGCGCTGAACTGGCAGAAGAGGCGGTGGAGCCAGTCGATGAGTATGCTGGGATAGTTATGAATAGTGCCGTTGTAGTTGAAAATAGTGCCGTTGTAGTTGTAAATAGTGCCGTTGTAGCTGACCATAGTGCCGTTGTAAGTAGTTGACAAAGGTAATGAAGATCTCCATTGTAGAACTGCTTTGTAATGTTCAATGTTCTCTCATCGGTGTATTCGTGCTCCCTCTTGTTTACTATCGCAGCAAAGTCGTGAACAAAATCGTGACTATCCTGTTCTTTACTACTGCACAATAAAAATCGTGTCTACAACAGCACGAAGATGCGTTCCCGTCTTCTTCTTGTAGAAAAGAGGAAATCAAGATGTTCCTACCGCCTGCAGCTGTTCTTCTAATTATGTCAAGCAAGCGGAAGAGGAGTCCGACTATGTGAAGCAAGCGGAAGAAGAGACCGGTTTTATGGATTCGTTGAAGGAGACGTTCGGCGAAAATGAGTCCATCAACAAGTTAGTCGACCAACTCGGTGGCGCAGGGGAGGCTAAGCGCCTAGTAGATTCGATGGGAGGGATGGACGCAGTGTTATGGTCAGAAGTCGTGTTATCAATATTCATCTGTTCAATTATATTCACCCATTCATTCACCCCTCTCTGTCGTGCCCTCAGCGTCTTGCTCTTGGTAGCCTTTCATCTTGGTGCGTTTTTAGCACAGAGAGCACAAGGGGAAAGATACCAAGGTGTTGAGGGAGTCGAGATGAATAAAAGCACTATCTAACAGTGAAGAGCATGCTGGGCAACGATGCAATGAAGAACATGATGGGCAACATGATGCGGAAAGGCGATAGCTCTGAGATTAAGATGAGGGGTGCTATCGTTCACTTAAATCAATGCTGTTGCATTTCCGTTGCATTGAGAAGTAGTCGCTGTTCATCTACCTCGGTACCTCTTTTTTCATTGTTTTGCCCAACTACTTGTGTATGTCAACTTCAGTCAGACGAAATTGAGGATATTTGACCTCGACGAAATCAAAAATTTTGCGTCGAGAAGCTCCGTGCGGTTTCCTTGCTGGCCCGTACGATTTTGTTAAGAGTTAACTTGTCCGCTAATGACAAGGCGAAGAAAAAATCCACCGAATCCAAGTCCGCCAAGGATAAGAAGAAAGAGAAGGCGAAAGATACAAAGGAGACTAAATTAAGGACTTCCGCATTACATTAGCCACCAATTGAATATCTTTTGATCTACTACTTCAGGGCAAGAATTCCAAGTGGAGAATAGTAAGAGGTCAAGAATCAACTTGAGGAATGTAATGCTGCAACCTTTAAGTCAGAAGACTGCTGGAAAGAAGCGACCGATGGACAAGGCTTCGCTAGACAAGATCGTCGAGGGTCTTGGTGTCGACAACATGAATGGCGGGGTCTCGGAGATGATAAAGTTAAGAATCTAGGTACTTGTAGTATTCGTGCAAATAATAGTACTAAGAGTAAAAATACTGGTGGTTCAAATAGTTATAGTACAACTAGCTGCAAGTTGTACTAGGTGCACTCAAAGAGAGTAAGGTTTTCTTTTTTTTCACCTCAAAACTTCTAACCTAAAAATTCGGCGATCACGGTCCGGAGGATCTGCTGAAGAAGATTGAGGACTTAGAGGCTGGTGGTATGAAGGACGAGGGAAAACTGAACGAGGTCATGAAGGCTTTGGGTGGAGGGGATGGCATTGCGAAAATGGTCTTATGGATGGTTGATGTTTTGGTACTTCGAAAGAGAAGTTCACCTCTGATGGCGGATCTAAATTGTTGATGTACAGGACGTCTCGTGGCTATTGATTCCAGAACAAGAAAAGGTAGAAAGAACTACAACCTCGTTGCATGCGTATCTGACCATGAGATTTAGATTTAGATTGACAAAATTAGCTATTCAGATTTAGATTAGATTTAGATTGACAAAATTAGCTATTTAGATTTAGACTAGATTTAGCTGTTCCCAAACAAAACTTGCGAAGACAGCATAAGTCTCCTCTAACGTTGAAAGACATGGGTGGAGAAGAGGGACTGCAAAGCATGTTCGACAAAATGAATGTCAAAGGTGGTCTGACCGACACGGTGGACAAACTACGTGGCAAAAAAGTTAAGGCTTAAAAACTGCACCTACTTAAAATATCCATCTTTTTCTGGAGAATTTTCCTGAAGTTTCTGTTGTACAAGGGGAAAGCTTTCCTTCACTAGGTGAGGAAAGCTGCGAAGGTTTTCGCAAGAGAAGCACCAGGACGCGCCTCCTTTGAAGACGGATATTACGGGTGAGCTCTAAAAAACGGGATACGAAAAAATCGAAGAAGAGCAAGGGCGGCAAGAAAGGTCGGGAGCTTTAGATCTTTAGGGGTTCGGTCCCAGGTGGAATTTCGATTAGCTAGGAATCTACTTCGAGAACTTTAGATTTAGAATGGCCCTGATAATAGAGCCACACGTGAAACTGATAACAAGGCCAAGCTGAATATTTAGCCGCATGTGCACACAGACATGAACCACCCGGAAAAAATGTCGAAAATTTTGATTGACTAACAAAATTAGTTGGGCACAATCATGATATATCATTAGCAGTCGAATCCGCCAGACGAGGTATTCAAGACGCGAGTGTAGTAGGCATAGCATTCTTGACATGAACGCTTTAGATTCTCACAAATTACACACCTTTCCTAGAAGAAAGCACCCCTAAAGACCATGTTGCACTGACTGCGTTCCCAGCGCTGCCAGCGATACCTAGTAGACCCTCACACATTCACGCACCCACATTAAGATCACCGACTGAGTGTCATCTTCCTTGATGATACGATTTAGATTTAAAATAGAGCTTGTGCCCTGAAAGAGCGGATGTTTGACGCGTATTCTGCTGTGTTTGCTTGATTTTTAGAATACAGATAAGTGACGACGACGGGATGAATGAAGAATGCACAAAAATTGATACGAGTTGTTGAGTGCACTCAGGTCATGGGTTCTTCAAAATGGAGTTGGTTCACCTGATCTTTTAATTGCAGTAGAGCGATGAAAAAAAGGTTCTCCCAATTGGATGGACTTGTTACCTGTCGTGGGCCTGTCCTGACTGTGATGTGATTTGTTTTTTTGTCCTATTAGGCCAATCTAATCTACTCTAATTTGTCACTAAATGGTAGTCTTCCAACATTCATTCAGTGTGTCTAGATCAATGCGTTACTAATTGACCAAGTCAGATCCTTGTGGAAGGCTACGCAAGAAATAATTGAGATCTTCGAATTTGTTGGTTCTCAGCGTTTTTCAAAATTGAAGCTCCTTCTCGTGGTCCGCGTAAATTGTGATTCAAATCCGGCTTGCGTGATCTAAAAATTTGGACGTCCGTTGTCTTGGCTAGCATGTTCTATAACTGGTTGAATTTGTATTTCAACCGATGTTGTCTTTGCCACAATATCTGCGCACTGAAATCGAGTCGATAATCCTATTCGTGCTACCTTGCAGGCAAATCAAAGAATAGAAGCAATACCAATAGTCGTAAAGACCTTAGATTTTTTTTGTTCACTCAAAGTAAAAACATCAACAAGATGGCCACCATGGCTCCTCAAGAGGGTGGCGGCATGCCCGAGCAACCCCAACAACACCTCGACAATGACAGAAAAGTCTTCGTCGGTGGTCTGTCCCCAGTCACAACCGAAGTCACTCTCCGAGCCTACTTTCAGCAGTTCGGCGAGATCCAAGAAATCAAGCTCATGGAGTAGAGAATTTTCATGATTTAGTTTGGGTTACATTTAGAAAATTTAGAAGTTCGAGTCAGAAATTTAGAAGATCTAAGATTTGAACATTTTTTTAGATTTTGAGCACTTTTTGGCCTGTCGTCGAGTATTTCTAAACGGCACCCTCTCTTCCACGGACCACGGCTGGACTATAATCTTTTCCATCATTTGAGTCCAAACCTTGTCATCTCAGAGGGTCCTATTCGCTACCGACTAACTCATCGAATGCCACCTTCTTGGATGTCTCACATCATATCAATCATGATATAATTCCTCTCAGGTACTTCGACCAGATGACGCAGCAGAAGAGATCAAGGGGTTTTGCTTTCGTTGTGTATGTCAGCAGTGAGAGTGTAGAAGCCGCCACCCAGAGCCGCCGCGTCCCGATGGACGGAAAGGATGTTGAGGTCAAGAGAATCGACGAGCAGAGGTACTATTTACTTACCATGTTTTAGACTTAGTGCGTAGCACGTGTAGGTCGGGCAGCCGATGTTTTGTCGTACCTAGGGCATGTACTGCTACCATCGTAAGAACGTTTTTCCAGGCCCAGTCTAGGGTGAGGGTTCCTATCCTATCCAGTCTACTTGATATTATCAGAAAGTGATATATATTTATGGAGAACTCTTACCATGATCTCCCAATCACAGGTCCACGCACGAAGGCAAGAACGAAATTGAAGCGCGAAAGATTTTTTGCGGTGGATTGGCGCCAACCGTCGATGATGTACTACTCGTCTAGAGTGTTTGTTTTAGATTCAATCGTTTATGTACTACTCGTCTTGAGTCAGTTTGTTTTAGATCCGTTTACTTTGCATCAAATCGGTGTCGTGGCTCTCCTTTAGGAGATACCACGTCACTGAGTGGCCTCGGGACCCTTGCTGCTATATGAGAGGCGCCACGACATGACATGACGTGTGCCTTAAGGATAGGGTCTGGAACGAGATCATTTGAGTCAGCAGGATTTGTTTCGTAACGTCTGAGCTTGAAATTTTCCGCAGATCTATTCAATCAAACCAGACGTCATTTTTCATTATTTCGTACCGTTTAATCTACGCATAATGTCTCCAACACGATCAGGCCAAGCTCCGTGATTTTTTCATGGCTATGGATCCGGATCTTATCGAAGCCCGCGTCATGATTGACCCGCAGACCGCACGAAGCCGATGCTTCGGCTATGTCACCTTTTCGCAGAAGGAATTCGTCGACAAGGCAGTCGCTAACTCTGCAGCAAACTACATCGATTCCAAGTGGGTTGATGTCAAGCCCAGTGGAGGCAAGGACGGCAAAGGCAAGGGCAAGGGAAAAGGCAAGGGTAAAGGCAAGGACAAGGGATTCGGGGGCTTCGGTTATGACGCTGGAAAGGGCGGAGGCTGGTACTATTGAGTACTTGGTTGAGCATGAATTCATGAGCTAGATTCTAGAACTCGATCGAGATTCTATTTTCGACCTGTCATGTGGGAAACCTCGTGTTGTAGAGACTTGTCTGTATTATCCGTTCTACCCCTTTCTTCTTAGGAACCAAGGCTATGGCGCTCAGCAATATGGAGGATATGGAGCCCAGCCGGCCTACGGTATGCAGCAGGCATATGGTGCCCAGCAGGCTTACGCCTACCCGCAGCAACAGGCTTACGCCGCTCCGGCAGCCGGCTACCAGGATCCGTACGCCGCTCAGTACGCCGCCGCAGCCCAGCAGTACGCCGCTCAACCGCAAGCAGCTGCTCAGCAGTACGCCGCTCAGCCAGGATATGACTACTCCCAGATGGCCGCTCAACAGCAATACGCCCAGCCGCAGGCAGCTGCAGCAGCGGATCGTATTTATATCTTACACCATTCCGTCCTTTCATCCATTACAACTAAGAACTCCCAAAACTCCCTCCCGACCATACTTGAGCGAACCCCCATACCATAGGTAACTACTAGGTAGATCTAGTTGCACTGTTGTAGCTAAAATAACTAAGCGGTATCTTTTCCTCATTAGGAGGTCACAGACTACTAGTTGAATACTAGATATGCGTAGGCTTTAAAAGGTTAGTTTAGATAGTTAGCTAATAGAGGCACTTACCATCGGACGAGATTGCGATACGAACCAGGCCAAACCGGTCGTTTCAGCTGTTTGAGTAGGTGGCTTCAGAAAGGTTTCGATTCCGGTTATCAACATCTGCAGCGTAGGCGTAATCGTTTCCAAACAACTACTTCTTGCTGAGTACTACCTCTCTCATTGGGCGTCAGTAGTGCAACTAGTGGTTGCCACAGTTCGACCTCAGTCCGACTTCATCTAACGAGCTTCTTCATCAAAAGCTCTTCAGTAGTATAAGCTAGCGACCCCCCCTTCGTTCCTCCGTCTACTTCGGTGTAGTACTTGACGTGACCAAGTTGACTGATTTGGATGAGCAACTACTTCTACTGCTTGGACTACATCAACACGGTTGGGAAGATTCTTGGCCTACAACCTCTTGATCAAGTGGACTGACGATACTACAACTACACTCGTTTGCTTCAATGACGATAAGTGGCTTGAGTACTTTGCTGCGCGCTCCTTCTTGTCGTCCTTGTATGAGAATTTAAGACTACGCACCAACATGTCTCTCATCAAGTTGATTTTCATTTATCAACAGAGTAGCACATTCACACATGTTGTTGAGAATGAGGACTGCACCTCCTTGAACTTTCCGGTGGTTTTTCTCTCTCAGTGGCTATCTTCATCCAGAGGGGCGCGCTCAAAGATGAACACTTGTGTTGATCACTTCTACTTCTTCAAGGAACTACAAGCATGAAAAAACTTACCAAATTTCGACTTCCAGGCCCGCTCTTCTTCTGACCATGATCCGCAGCACCGCTCGCAACGACACGATAATCGCGGCCGCATTGGACGCGGTCAATGCGGTCGCATGGACGGCTTTGCGCGCACCCGCCTCGCCTTAGCTAGATAGCTCTAATTAGACGTGATCATGCATAATGGTCGTTTAGTTTAAGCCGCATGTAGTCTGAATCTGCATCTAATCGTAGGACTAGTATTCGGGCACCTTCACACCTACAGTAGTCGCACGACTCGTGACAGTACCGCGGCCATATAATATCTTCTAGCACTCCACCGCATGAGCACTGTACAGTAAGTGATAGTCATCCACAGGCCCTTTGTTTTGGGCATAATTGAACAGCAGTGTCTATCAGCGCCGCTCGCAACAACTCCTTGTTGCTTGGGCGGAACCACTTTCACATAAAACGTCCTTCGTTGTATAATGATAATAGTTAGATCTACTTCCCTAACTCTCTCTTGGGATAGTTCCTACCTTGTTCTTCCAAGTACTACAGATACAGATTGAGGAGCGTAGTTTTACGACTATCTATGGTAGTTTGATTGTCTCTCTTTTCGAATCAAATTCAGCATATGCCGCCGCGCAGTACCAGCAGCGCGCTGGTCCCTACTAACTTTTGGGTTTAGAGGAGTTTGCTGATCTTTAACGGATGTTTCATTTGCGATGAGGAGATTGCTTGAGCCTTTCGTAAGATTGCTTGAGGAGAAGGAATCGGCAAATTGAAACCAAGCAAACGTTGATGAGTATCTAAATCTATTTGGGACAACTATGATCACTATGTTGGATGAAGACAACTACTTCTAAAATGATTGAGCCATGACTACACACGCAGCATAATGAAGACTTCTCTCTGTATTGAAGAAGAAGAATGAAACCAACTTTTATTACCTTTCGCCGGACAACACCCACACGACTAATCGACACGTTGTCTGTTTGGGACCAACCGCTGCGCCACGGGGCTCCTACGGAGAAGGTTCAATGACCTCGCAGTGAAATAGGACAGGAGGGCAGACGCGTGTCGGGGTCACTTACTTTACTAATTTATTATCGTTGATGATGACCTCATATCAAATTGACAAAACCGTATCTAATCATTGGACGCATGAGCGTTGTAATTTGAAGGAGAAGCAGGATTGAACAAGAACTCATTATTAGTCTATTTTCGCACAATCTCTTTCGTTGATAGAATGATGTTGGAGCCTTAAGTTGTACAATCAGTCGTTCGAACTAGCCTTTTTTTGCTGAGGAAGACGAGTCACGCATGAGAGACGAATGATTTGGCTTGAGATGTTGCTACAACCTTGTCCCACATAACGTAGCGCTCAGGCGGAGCTACTCGGAGGAAAATGCATACTTGACTGTTTTAGTTCCAACACAGGTGAACGCTTCGATCACCTCGAAAAGAACAGCGCAACAAAAATCATCTCATGGGTTTGTTGTTTGGCAACAGACCCCACATTACTGAAGAGTCAGCAATTTTCTCCCTAGATCGATTAACAGACGTGTCTCTATACGCAGCAGGTCGGACAGTTGCGTACCATCGTCAGCCTGAGCCATCGAGCATGGTGGTGTTCGAGCATGACGGCCACAAGCGTCGGTCTAAGTATCTTCGGATCAGATCCTGGATCAGATCCTGGCAAGACGATTCGGTTTTGACATAGGTCTTCCTTATTTTCACAGGACTGATGCCGTCGGTTTTTAGAAAGCTAATGATCATAGGAAGTGCTCTTTCCTCCAAGAGATTTTGTCGATCTCATCTCGAATTACCCATGCCGCTCAAAAATGTCGGTTGATTGCAGCTCTCGGTTTGCTTGTTTCTTCTAGGCCTAGCCAACAATATCTGCTGCTGGTGTCGCTCTGTTTTGAGGGGTTCTACAGGGTATGTTTAACGTTTGCGTACCCCCGACCCTCCTTCGGTATCAGGGTAGACTCTGCGACTGCGTAACTCGTGAGCTTGGGATACTAGAGGCTGTATAACTACCAAACGTGCTAGCATTTTTTGGTGAACTTTCGTTGCGTCCGTGGAAAACCATACAGCTCATATTTGGCCTTCTGCGTGTGTCCTTCATCTTTCTACATCTTTTTAGAGCTACGACATAATCAGGTACTTATGTACTTATGTACTTACGTGTTGAGCAAAGCGTAGGAAAACATGGTTAAATCGTTCTTCAGACGTTTGCTTTCGCGGGAAAGCAGTAAGCGAACCGACGACGCGCCACTAGAAGCGGATAAATCGCAGAAGCCAAGTGATAGCGTGGACGTGAAGGATGTAAACCTAAGCAGAAAGCCTAGTGCGAGTCCGCAGTCGCCAACTCCATTGTTTTACATTGACCAGCTTGCCAAGGACAACGTCTTCGAGGATGCACTTGACCATGCCCCTCGTCAAGATGGAGTTCAAAAAGAAGCTCCAGGTGAGGATGATCTGGCAGGAGACCTTGTTGCGGGTGAGGATCCTCTGGCAGCCGTTGTTATGAAGCGAAAAAGTGTACTCATCCTCAAGAAAGTAGGCACCTTCTAAGTAGGAAAAAGCCTCTTTTCTTGAGTATGAGTACACTTTTTCCTGTCATAGTTGTGCTGGATGAGGTGAAGCAGCCGTCTGCAGAAAGGAAGCGGATGAGCTTCTGCAAGTCTGGCAGTAGGACTTCTCAGGGCAGCACGCAGACGTGGGGCACGGCCGCCACGAGTTCCGACACCTCGTCGCTCTGTCTTGTGCCTGGAGGTGAAGATCTAAAACCGGGTGAAGCGGAAGGACCAGGTGAAGTTCCTAGTGGAAACTACGAGAATGGTGGAAACTACGAGGAGAGTAACAGCAAAAACAACAGTAGCCGTAATGGTGCTAGAACATCAGCTGGTGGATCATGTTCGGCATCTTCCTCGTCGCCTCCGCCTCAATCCTCGAGGTATACAGGTAGTCTCGCTGCACGACAGAAGCGTGCGCAGCATTTGCGCAGTTACATCAAATTTCGACACGCTCTCTCAACCGTCGAGGAATCTTCCCCTACTACTGCGGCCGACGACCCACGACACGAGTTGCTGATGCTTGGTGCGGCCTACAGCAGTCCGAAACTCCTCAAGCAGAGCTCAGGACTGATGAGTGCCGACAGTCTACCTGGCAGCCCTACAACAAAGACAACGAAGGACAATGCTGGCCTTAGCTCTTGCCTATCGATTCCGGCAGGTGATGAACTCCCCTTAAAGCCAAGCGAAAAGAAAGGCGAAGCAGCTGGCAGAGATCGAGCAGGCTCGAAAACAGCTTCCGAGCAATCGAGTGAATATGCACTGTTTTTGTCCGAGGATTCATCAAGTTCCGCGTCCGAGCTGGAGAACACGGGAGAAGTAGTCTGATCTTGTGCTGAATAGAAAAATGTTTATGTTTTTAGAATTTGATTGAAATTATGTATGAAGATATTCAGAAGAGTTCTTAATGTACCTCGTTCTCCTTTTATTGTTTGGTTGTCGATGATCACGATGTCATTGAAAGTTCCGTTATGTACTTCTCACTACATCTACGGATGTAGTTTCGAAAGGGTGTGTGAACCACCGATAGAATGTGAAATTATGTGCCATATCTTCTGGGCTTTTGATGGAACAATGTCATAGAAGTTCATCACGTGATTCTGAGCTTTGACCATGGATACAACGTGTGAGAGAGGACCACGGCATCTTCAACATAATTGTTGTATTTTCATGCTGAGGTAGTTTCGCAAACTAACATTCACGTTGTGTGGTCCCTGTTGTGTTGCCCGAGGATGATTTTAATCGTAGTACGTTTATTTTCCAGGTGTTCGGTTTATACGCGGAGGCTGTTATCGGCATATTGAGAGAAGCGTTTGAGGAGGTTATCGGAGGTGCTGGTGAAAATTCAACTTTCTCATGGTCTGACGGTTTAGGCGTACCACCTCAAGGAACGAACGCACCCGCGTCGGCTTTTCGGTTATCACGGGATCGTCATCGGGGACACTCAAACTTACAACTCGGTTTTGCACATCAGGAGAAAGCTGGAAAAACACAACAACAATCGGGTGAAACTGCAGCGACGGGGTCACTTACTAATGATTTCCAAGACCTAGATCGGTGTGAACGTGTTGAAGAGGCAAGAGGTGCGACTTCAGTGAATGAAGACGGTAGTTCGAAAAAAGATCGTCACAAGTCGGAAATTTCTAGTAGAAGCGAGATGAGTGTAGAAACCAAGATTTTGACTTTCCCTGTCCCACCACACCTCACACACCACCAGACCCGAAATATGCTTAGTAGTCTTGTTGATACTCCTCTCGAAAAAGAAAATTCAGAAGTTGTTGTATCTGATGAGAAACGAATTTTCCCAGCATCAGCTACTCTTGTTTCAGACATAATAGTTCAGTTTCGACGGCGCCTGACGTATAAAGTAACGTCCTCTGATGTTGACAGATTCGTCTGCAGCAACCAGGAGCACGGACAAGTGAAATTTTTAACGTTAATGAACAATGTTGATATTTTGACACAGGACAATGGTATTATCGATAGTGAGGGTACGGGAACGGGTAGTACTAGTTGTAGTACTACAGGGGCTAGAAATTGGCTGGTATCAGTAGTAGCAGAAGTACTTGCGGATCCATGTTTTGGGTGCCCTCCTGCTCCGACTTGTGAACCAGAACAGAGATACCTAGTTGGAGCGCAGGCAAAGTGGAGGAAACGAGGCACTTCTAGGTCTAAAGATCATTGCTTTACGAAGGACAAGGAGAAGAGTTATCAAGATCAACACGATCCTCTAGTGCTGGATCTGCGTATCGTAACTTCTTCAAGGCCGTTGTCGAGCAATTACGACCATACAGAGTCATCTGTCCAAGAAGGGCCTTGGAACACCAAGATCAAGAACATGCCTCAAGAAGAACGAGAGCTGCCACCGCTAGTGCAACAGCAATCACTACAACTAAGTAAACAGCATGATAGAACAAGTACAACTCGTTCTAGCCTCGTGATAATTTCCGGAGGACACGAAGATGAAGAACAACCACATGACAGGAACAATCCAGGACAAGCGGACACAGATTTCCGAGACATTAACTCTTCAGACCAAGATGTGCAACAGTACATTCAAGCCGCGCCAGCCAAGCTCGACTCAAAGAGCCCAGCACAACCTCTTGGCGACTGTGGAGGTTCACTCCTAATGTCCAACCCACCCAACGAGGATTCAGACGCAGGCCAAGCAGAGAAGTGTAGAGGTAGAGGTGTGGTCGCAGGAAGCACACAACCAGCAGAGTGCTGGATACCGGCACTAGGTGAGCGCATGCGCACGAACCTTCTGCGCATAGGCGGTCTCGAGTCCGTCGGCGTGAGCAAGAGTTCAGTCGGGACTAGTGGAGCAGGAGAACAACAGCCACATCAGACGAGTGACAAGATCTTTCAAAGGTGTCCTCAAGAACCACAAGATCTTCAAGTCATCATGTCCGGTCGCGAGGAACAAGAGGGGGCTGGCTCGCCTCGAAGTAATGTCGAGGATGGCGCGCTTATGGGGTCTACTAATTCGCAACCGCACTTGCTGCAGCTGCATCCCGCATACTACCAGATGCAAGAAACACAGCGTCAGCAGTGGAGCGACGCCCTCAATGCTATGGGCGGCGCGTCGACAGCGGCGCTCGCATCTTCAGGCGCTGGTCCGCAGCACAGCTCGTCCACCACATCGTCCTGTCTTCTGCCTCTGAATTCCGATGCCGTACCTTTTCAGCCGTCCGGCTGTGTCCTTTTGCAGCAGCCTGTGCTCCCGCCACCCGCGAACCTACTTCTAGAACTACTGCCACGGCAGAGCGAGCAACAGCATCCTCCGACGAAAGGATTGCGTTCGCCGCGCGGATTAGCAGACGTACTTGAAAACCTTTCGCAAGGACTCAAAATCGGAAGAACAATGACAGGCAATGCTTCTACATCAAAGATCGAGCATCAATTTGAAGCACTGGCGGCTACACAACAAGCAGATGGACAGAACATCAGAAAAAGTAATGATTCTAAGCCTAAAAACAACAAGAGCAATACTAGTAGAGGTCGAGCCGCGCGTGCTTTTGGCGCCAGCCAGGTCTCTCCAGGGGCACGGCGACGCGATGAGCCACCGATGTTCGTCTCCAAGGCTGACATGTATCCAGTTCCGGACAATTCAGCGAATAATGTTGTGATGGAGCAGTCTAGCTTTGTAACGAATTTGGAAAGCTACACCCCGAACCGCGAAATGGCGGAAACTATAGTTCCAGCGGAGGTACGCGTACGCTCCAGAGGGCGCAGTCCCGTCGCAGGCGTGAACGTGAAGCTTCCAGCACTTGAGCAATTGCCCGTCTCTTCGGATGACGAGAATAATAAAAGGGAGTACATCACGACATTTTCAGCCCGCGGACGGGAAAAGCGCACTGGAGGAAGACTTCGGCCGCGGACGAGTGAATCCTCGTCAGCTTCGGTATCGTCGTCGCGACCCTCGACCAGTCGAAACAGGGTGAGCGCAGAAGAGACTGCTGGAGCAGCACTCGGAAAGAATCAATTTTTAATGAGGCTCAAGAAAAGATTTCATTTCTACGATTCATTTCTCGCGGTTTCCTTCTTGGGATTGCGAGAAAATGGAGGCAAGAAATGAAACGTTTTGAACTCTAAAGCAAGAGGTAGAAGCAAGGAAGCGCGATTACTATGGGAATGGGATAAAAAGTGGGAACAAGAATAGCTATAGCAGCTCGAACAAAGATGTTCAAGATGCCAGTCATCATCTAAAGAACACTTTCAAAACAAGTAGTGCTGCATCTACGACGAAGCACTCAGAGAAAACTCATTATGAATCCAGAACTGGCGTGTTGGCTATAGCTAACCACGACCACAATGACGCATTTCCACCTCGTGATCAAGCAGACGATGAGGATGAGGATGACTGTGGTGCGACGGCGGATTTGGAGGAGTCACGACCGCCACCAACACCGTTCGAGGAATCCCCAGTACTACCAGCTTCCCCTGATGCAGTAGCGCCTTCACTGCAGAACTGGAGTTTGGGCTCGTTCGTCTACGAGGTGTCTCCTGAAAAAGCGCCACCGTCGTCAGATGGCGCGAAGAGAACTCCGGCGTCCGCTGCATCCAGTAGAAATATTAAAGGCGAAGAGCTTAACGTAAGTGACCGGGTAGTGAAAACAACAACAACAACAACATCTACTGGCTCTACCTCTACTACAAGTAAAAATACAACCCGTGACCATCAACATCATGTGCCGTCGTATTCAAGTCGCCCGCCTGCGGTGAACATCACGAAGCGCGATGGCGCAGTCGTGAATGTGATTCCGTTGGGTCCGATTCCCACTAGCACAATGGCTGGAGGAGAGTGCCCCATTTCGGCGACGGCGACAGCGCCAGCGCTGGGAGGACGCACAAACGTTAAGGGTGGGCTCCCCGTAATCCATCTTCAGAAGCATCTTGGGCCCGTTTTCAAGTGAGAAGAGGCCCCAGGATGGTCTTTAGCTTGGATTTGGATGAGCTCTAACAACAGCAGCAAGAAAACCAAAACAGGAGATTCAGATGGCAGTACAACTAGTAAAAGTAAAGCAAAGGGGGCACCATCCCCGAACAAGAAGGTTGCGCGTCCTCGACGAATAGTAGTGGAGTACGAAGCTCCTCCTCAAGCAAGTAAACGTGCGGAGAGTCGGGAGAAGCGTCAAAAACTGAAAGAGCAGTACTACTACGCAGCACGCGCTCGTCCTGCGGACGGTCACCAGAGGGAGATTGCTGTAGCTGGAGCTGCTACTTTTAAGCAGAAGGTGTCGGCAGAACGAGGCGTGTCAAAATCCTCAAAAGATAAAGATGTAGGAGTACCGCTAGCTGATGATGATGTGCCTTTACCTGCGAACAACAACAGGAACAAGAAAGGTCGACCTTCCTCGGCAGTCGCAGCATACATAGAAGAGCGTGTGAAGAACGGGGAGGCTATTGATTCCAACGAAGTCGAGCGTATAGTCCGCGCTCAAATGTTTAGGGAGACTTCATCTAACGAAGACCAGCAGAAGGCGAGATGTGAAGTACAACTAGATGCTGCTACTGAGCCTATTGATAAAAAACATCAGGAGCATGATGTTCAGGATTCTCCGATTGAACCGGAAAATGCTACGAGACATGGACCTCCGCCGCCTCGTGCGTCTGCGGTTGCTATTCCAGTTGTAGATATCGATCCTGCAGAACAAGAAGAAGAAGCAGATGACCACATCAAGCAAGGTGAAGGGCGAGAACTCTTTCCAGCGGAACACGATGTCGCAGTAGAAGAGGACGAGGACCGCTATGAGAGAAGTGGCAGAGAGAATCGTTCTGCTTCTAGTGAGTACATTGCCGTTTTTCCGGAAGAAATGTCCACGCAGGAGATGGCGGCAGAGTCTGAAGAACAGGAAGATCAGGAAGATCAGGAGATGAACTTGAACCAACATCAAGAAGCGGGAGAAGAAGATGAAGGCGGTGGATCGAGGCGACATTCTTTGCTACTGGATGAGTCGATTTCCTTTTCGGTCTCGCCTGCGGGCGCGGGTTCAGAATGCGAAGGTGCTGAGGTGGGAGAGGGTGCTGGGCAGAGGACGGCTGCAGATGGTAAAAATTCCAACAAGGTGTATAATTTATTTCATCAATCTTGCGCGCAGGAAGCCGCAGCCGCACTAGAAGAAATGTACTATCGTGGCTCATCACATGAACATTACGGAATGGGAATGCATTCGCATGGCATGCCGGTTTTTCTTTATGCCAAGGATGGTGATGGAGCGGCTGGCGGTGTACAGCGGGAAGCCGGTGCTCCTGGTGATCTTAGACGGGGGGACGAACAACCAGCTGTAACCCCTGCTCCGCTTGGTGTGCCGGAAGGTGATTCCGCACCCGTATTGTCCTCGAGTGCTGAGGTTCCGCTAACGTTCCAACGCGAGGACCAGGAACTACAAGAGGTAGTTCCAGCACCCCAAGAAGAGCAAGGGCTTCCTAGCGGAGAAGAACTAGCGAGACTGGAGGTGGATGGTTTGAACAGGAGTGCTGCGACAGGAGCATCGACTACAGGAGGTGCTGGAGGTGCACGACCCCTAGGGACATCTGCTTCAGTAGGCCCTATGGGTACTATGGCAGGGACGTGCGGAACATCAACGCGTAGATCACCCAAAGTGTCTCTAAGGGCAGTGGTTGCGACCCCTCCAGTCGGTTGCTCTACGACAGGGAAGGTGTTTGCGAGCACGATTCCGCATTATCAAGTCCATAGTCCCGATGACGACTTGCGAACTTGCATAATACGCGATTACGTCAGCCGGGCAAGCAGTCCAGACACTCCAAGTTACAAAGGCATTCCGCCTCCGGACCCACATCTGAATGACGATCAGAACGTGTGTCGCGGTGGCACCAGTGGCTACTTTTGCTACTCGCCAAAGGCAGCGTCGGTCAAAAGGCACAATCTGGAAGTAGCGGCGCATCACAAGAGCCTTATGAATTCCCATTGATTCAGATTATCAGAGTAGTTTTGGATGCGATCGAGTTTTTCAGGAGATGAGTTTGTTGTACTGGAATCGTGTTTGTTCCTCTTTGTTTTGTCAGAAGATGCAAGCAAGTACTCCATAGGTGCGTCCAGTAATATGTCTGTGTTTACACTCACATGAGCGATAAGAATCGACGGTCTTCATCAAGAACACCATGACCATCTCCATCACAGACATAGATCTTGTGTATCGTACACGCTAATGCGGAGGTCGAGTCCTCCATTTCTGTACAAGAACGAGCCTCTGCGTTTGCGCCGCCTGACCGCATGAGTTCGATGTCGATGGACGAGGCGAACATAGATCCTATTAAGACTTCCGGAAATCTCCCATTTTGAGAAGCATCTTGGACCTCCCGCGCAAGGAAGAAACGGGTCCAAGATCAAGATGACTTTCAAGATGGACTCCCGGAAGGTCTAATCCTATGTCTATGCGTGAGTCCTTTGCGACCTACGTTCCCGGGTCCTCGTTGTTGAGTGCTGTCCAGCCTCGGGACACGAACTACTGGTCCGACGAGCGCAGGCGACAGCCTCAGCGGCGCAGTGGTCTTGGAAGTAGTGGAGGTGGCGATGGCGGTGACTCTTCAACAGACTGGACAGCGTACGGACGTGACGGGCAATTGCTTAGTACAGCAGAGGCGAACGCGAAGCGCGACAAAGTTCGGCCATCGCTGCATTCGCGGTCTTCCGGGTCAGAACCGAAGAGGGTCGTGTCTAAGAAGGCGCCACCATCGGAGGTTGGGAGAGCCAAGGCGGCGGCCGCGCGTGGGGCAACGGGTGTAAAGGCAGGACGTGACGCATCACGGAGTCGTTCGGGGTCGCGAGATCGGGATGGTGCTGCTGCGGCTCAGCCTGGGGAGGGCGAAGAAGAGAAAGCTGCTGCAGCAGATCCAAAGAAAGCGAGTGCTGCAAAAGCCAAGTCCTCGGAAAACAAGGCTACGTCCGCAGTGGCGAAGAAGGCTGGTTCTAAGGACGGCGCAAAGGCTGCTGCAGCTGACAAGAAGGCAACTGCGGCAAGCAAGAAAGCCGGAGCTGCGCCTCCGACGGCGCCGGCAACGAAAAAGGAAGCCTCGCCGGCCAAGGCCTCAGCAGGCACCAAAGCAACGCCTTCGGCAACGTCGGCTGTAGCGAAGAAAGCCGCTGGGGCTAAGGAGAGGCCATCCACAGCGACTAGTTCGACGCCATCGCCGAAAAAGTCTGCCTCTCCAGCGAAAAAAGCTGTTGGCGCACCTGCGGAAGAGCAGAGACCAAAGACTGCACCGGGAGCCGCTGCTCCGCCGAAAGCGAGTGGGGCATCTACTGCATCTACTTCGAGGGAAGCCGCAGCAAAGCAGAAATCTGCAGCCAAGGTCGGCGCTGCTGCTGCTGCACCGAAGACCGGCGCCAAGGCGAGTGCGCCGAAAAGCACAGCAGTGACAACTGTTAATAAGGCTGCTGCAGAAGGTGAGAAGGCGGCAACAGTGGCATCGTCGGAAGCTCCACGCGGGCACAGACCGACGAATCTGTACTATCATTTCGAACCTGAAGAACGAATCGACGAATCGGAAATACGGAGATCTTCAATTACGTCGCAGCGCAGAACAGTTTCCTCTGGCCGCGATACTGCTGCTAGCTTGCCGCTAGACGCATCGGACGACAACGCGGATCATACGATTAAGGCTAGAAGAAATCCATCCTCACAGGCATCTTGGTCCCGTTTCTCAAGGGAAAAAAGACGGAAGATGCCGCTCAAAATGGGAGATTTCTTCTAGCTCTAATAAGATATTGGATGAATCGCAGAGTGCCAAGTTCATGCTGGGTGGAGCCCAAATCCCGGACCGAGTCGACATTGCGTTAACCCGCTTCTTCGAGCACTACCCGCTTCCGTTTCTACAATTAAGGGTAGGTTAAAGGTGCTTTTCTTACTGCTTTTTATGCCTCTCTCATCCTAAGGGGGAGAGAAAGGCATAACAAGCGGGGGAACCCGCGAGCACCAAAAACCTAGTACCTCTAAGACAAGTCACCAAACTGCGAGCGAATTGGTACTTTGTCCTGGACGTCACTGGAGGCTCAAAAGCACAAGGCAAAAAGGTTTTCGTAGACTTTCGCGGACAGCACAGTCTCATCGTCAAGTCGTCAAGAGGTTTGGAATCCTTGGAAAGCTTTTTCGCGGTGCAGCGGGTCAAGCACGAGCAAACTTTCCGTGGCACGTGGCCGGAAATGAAAGGCACGCTGCTTCCCGGCTACGGCGCCAAGCTGCCACAGCCTCAGTTGCCTCCAGATTAAGGCTACTGTTTAGACCCATCCTCAGACAGCGTCATCCCGCCTGGCTCCCTTTTCTTCTACTAGAAAACAGGCCAAGTTAGTAGGATGCTACTAGGGAAGATGCAAGTGCGACAGCTCTAACCGGAGAGGAAAACGGAGGCATACATGCCGTCGTCGCCGAAGCAGAAAGCCGACGAGGTGTTTCTCAAAGACTCACCAAAGGACGAGACGAAGATGGCACCAGGAGACTTGCACCAGCATCCGTACTTGCTACAAGCAAGAGACGGGAAAATCGCGAAGTTGCCTCTCATTCGAGGACAGAACGGGGTCCCGATAACGGGTGCTATGGAGATGAGGCCAGCGCCGGCATCTCCTCAAAGTGCCAAGGCGAAAAAGATGTCGTTCTCGAACCGCCGGTCAACACAAGAGCTAGGAGAACAAATACTGATGGCGTACGACGAGGACTCGCAATTTGAGCGGGATGCAGCAGAATTCTTCAACCCTGGTGGGACGACGACAACCACAGAGGTAGTACCACAACAACTCCTCAGCAAAAAGTGCAAAGGTATCGGCAAAAATGGTAGAGCAGGTAGAGCAACTACACCTACAGTTGGAGATCCTTCTTCTACAGCTCCCGTTCTTGGGAGCGGTGTCGCCGCAGCGCAAGGTCGTGCGCGCAGGGAAACAGGAGTGATATTGTTGGCTTCTGAAGAGGTTGCCGAAGGCGAAGCGGCCACCGGGATGAGAATTTCTACTGGCAGCTCCATCTCAAGAGGAAGCGTCCTTTCGATGCCTCCTCCACCAGACGAGGAAGCAGTAACTCAAGCAGCAAGCGTGCCTCCGACAAAGAGGATGGAAACTGCAACTCGACCAGCCCAAAACTCAAACCCACAGGAACCGGGACGGCGCGGTAGTTTTTAAGGCGGCTCACTATCGCTATTTTAGATAAATACCACTTCAGTTGACAAGGATTTCAGAGAAGACGAAGATTTTCCACAATTACAGGGTTCGCTACTTGAGTGACTTGTTCAAGATGAGTCAACATATGATTGGCGCTAAAGAAGCGCAGCGGGCGGTGTCGATGAGGTTATCCAAAAGCTAGAAAAAGGACGCGGCGCCGCAACGGGCGTTGTCGTTGAGTCAGCATCGCCACCAATACTAGGGGAGGTGCCAGACTCGCCGGGGAGTGCCAGCGGTAGTGGACATGGCGGTGACAGCGGGGAGGCGTCAGTAGCAGGGTCGTTGGGTAGACCAGAGGATGATGGCAAGGTTAAAATAGAGGAAGGGACTTACGACGGAGGGGATCTGGTAGACGAGGCAGCGCGTCGGGTTGCAGGTGGGAAATCTGCATCTTCTTCAAAGAGAAACAAAGATCGTGTCACCAATCTTAAAGGGGCATCAGAGCCGTCAAAATCATCGACTTCAGAAGACCAGTCGAACACTCCTCCAACGTCTTCAGGTGGACCCGCAAGAGGGCCTAAGAAAACAAGTTCTACAGGGGCAAGAGAAGTAGAGGAGGAGAAAGTGTTGAGCCAAGATCAGGAGGAGACACGGCGCGCTGCGTACAAGAGTGTAGTGGGTGATCTGGAGCAACTAGAGGCAGTATGGGAAGTTGAACATGTCGCAAAGCTCATGGCTGACGCGTCATCTTCGTCTTCAGAGTCGATCAACAGTGAGACGAACAAGAACATACCAGTCGGAGGAGGAGGAGCCTCTTCCTCAAATAACAACTTTTACTTTTTTGCCGACGGCGCGCGGGCGGTGTCGTCCTCACTAGGCGGTGGTTTGCAAGAGGCCGAGGACAAAAAGATGAGTAGTGCAGGCGAAGGAGGTCTGTCTGGGCCTACTTCTGGACAGTTCGAAACTCCAAGAAGCAAACCTGAGGAGGCAGAAGATGCTGTGGTCGTCGAAGGCCAGCTGCAAGGGGCGGCGATGCTAGCACTCAGTTTTGATGGTGTTGCTGGAGACGAAGGCAGACCAGCGAACGAGTCAGCGTTGCATCCAAGTCCAGAGAAACTCTCTCCAGCAAAGAGGCACGAAAAAAATGTGGAAAGCAGAATGGTGAACATCAAGACCACTCAAATAGAAACATCTGGTGGTGCTGAACAAGACGCACCAGCCGACCTTAGCCGTTCTCAAAAAAGTACAACTGGTAGTCGAGGAGCTTCTGCTGGTTCTGTTACTGCTGTTTCTAGTACTAGAGCTTCCGGGAAGAACCACGTGAACGATAATAGGCAAAAGGGCACCAGCACTCACCTGTATTATGTGGAGAATTCGTACTCGCGACGGGACCTTCAGGACAGCGAGTCTCATGAGCAAGTGGCTGCTCCCCCCGAGGTAGATCACCTTGCTGGCTACGATGAATTCGCTGACATGACCGAAGACCACAACACTCAGGAAGAAATCACTAGTGGAGGACGACTGAAGCAGCGGAGTGCGTCTGCGGATAGTGGTTCTTGCTCCTCTGCATCGATCGAGGAAGTCCATGTAGATCTAGATGACAACGTAGCCAGAGGAACAGCGGCATCAGCGCCTCGACCACCTTCTTCGGCTGGGCGTCCACCACTTCCGGAGGCCAGTACTTCTAGAGGCGGCTCTGCAATAGGCACGAGAACAAGTAGAGAAGCGTCGAGCACTAGTGCTGGTGCTGCTGTAGCTACGAATGCAAGCTCAAGCAGTGCAGTACCGATAAGCGCTAGTGTAACCCACCGATCAAAGCAACATGTAGTGGAGCAGGAGCAAGGAGTAGAACAAGTTCACGATCAGCTTCAGCAGTCCTATGATGCTCGTACCAGTGCCAGGCGAGAAGGACGGCGTGGTAGTCATAGCTCCGCTGCTTCCTCATCTATCCGCTCTGTTTCTGAGTATGGTGGTCGAGCTTCATCCCATACATCTTTGCACAGCAACAAGCCTCTGTATGATCGTCGCAGTCCCTTTTGCGATGAGCGGAATTATGGTGGCAGCATGGTCTGTAGTCGGGAGGCAAGGACTGGATCAGATCGCCAAGACTTTACGAGTCGCAGTCGCTTTGTAATGGGTGGCGCTGAACCTGGACCCAAAGCTCCGATAAGAGGGGGTCGTGTGCGCAGTAGCAGCCAGTCAGGCCCTCGGAAACCAGCTTTGCAAGCGCAAAAACCTCCGCCATTGACACACTCGGCAAGTACTACACACGCGCCGCAGGTGGCAGAGCATTACTACACAGGTACGACAGGAGGTGCAGCGTCTTCTACTTGTAAGGATTGGAAGTTGACCTCTCTGTGATCATATCCAGGCCTATTCCAAGAAGAATAGGCATTTAGATATGCTAGAAGATAGAAGATAGGCCAAGATCCAAGCCCTCCTCCTAACACTTCGGGAAATGATCGGCGTGTTGGCAATGGCGCGGGAACCAGTAGTCTTCGTTTAGCAACAACGTCATCTTCCAGGAATAATAGCAAGAATTCGTCCAAAAGTAGTCGTCGACACGACGAGAGGCACCGTTCTGCATCTGCAGGACCAGGCGCTGGGTTTTGGAGGGTACTAGTTTTTCAGAGTTTGCATTATAGGATCCATCTTGGTAAGTTGTTTCTTTGTCGTTTGGCATGGATGTGTCCTTCATCATTGTCATATTTTTGACTTTTCATTAAGTCAAATGCAAATGGAGCAAGTTATCAATCTCGCATTTCAGGACGAGAATTCAGCGGGTTATAGCCATAGGAATAAGCTTCGAAAGGTCGAAATCATGGACGGTTCTCCCCACCTTTTTGTGCGCGATTATGTGGGAGAGACTACCACAGATGGGGAAAGCGAGAATATTAAAGGTCCATCCGCTGCCGACGATCAGCGAGGTAAGTACACTACTGAGCAGGAAAGGATGATCGTACAAGAACTCCTGTATGGGGGACCAGAGGACTCAAACAAAGGACGCAACTCTGTCAAAGCAACACCGCAAAAGCCGAAGGTATTTATTAAGATATCGTTATAAATATCAATTTTTAGTTGAAAAGTACTTAAGAATCTAAATCATGTTGCACTTGCCATCGCGAAAAGGACCTGAATTTGTATCTATCTACTTATATATACGCAAGAAGATCCTCAGGCCGCTCCAACTGTAGTCGATGACGAGAAGCTTCGGGAGAAACTTCGAGAGCTTCCTTTTTCGGTGCACCACGAAATCAAGGAGGAAAAGTTAGCTTTGTCCCCCAAGGCTGACTTCCGTGGCCGTGTGCATTCACCCGATGAGATTATCCGCGAAATCAATAGTAGAGGTAGCTTGCGCAAGGGAGGCCTTAGTAACAAGGGACGTGTTGGTTATGCAGTCTGTGGGAAATGCATCTCCAAAGTCATCTGGGAGAAGAAGACAAGAGGGAAGAAGCACGTCCACGTCCTAGATGATCCCTGAGATGCATTTCCTACACCTTTAAGCTGAGGCAGGTACCACGTCAACCGCGTCGCGACGAGTTGCATCAGCCACACATAATCCTGCGGTCCAGGCGAGCGGGACCAACACGATTGGCCACTATCACACACACCACGCAGCAAATTCCATACAGGAAGATGCGTTGGCACGAAGCGCTGCTGGCAAGTCACCGATCCGAGGTGGACAGGCTCGAGGCGTCACAAACGGAGCACTAGGAAACTTCCCCTTCAGGATAAAGGTACCTCTAAGTACAGCTTCTTGTAGTACTTACAAGTATGTTGTTTGTTGAAGTTTCTGCAAGTATGTAGACCCATTTTTAGATCAATTATGAATTTACCATCTCCATGATTCATTTATACCAGTGAATGGATCCGAAACACCCTCCACTAGGAAACTCCTACGTTTTCGCAGCGGGGTCGCGGATACATGGGGTCTCCTGGATTGTCAAGTAATTCCGTTCGAGCGCTCTCGCCACAGGCGAAGCATGGCATGGATTCGACTCATCAGCATCTTGCTCGCAGGTTCCAGATGGACGACGACGAGTTTGCTTCCACCATCAACGACGCAATGAAAGAGGCGGCGAAAAAAGCCTTGACTTATCACATGGATTTTCAGGTATTGATCATTCCTTCGATTCATGTTCATGATTTCTAGATCATTGGTGTGTATTCGTCGTATAATTGACTAATCCATCAAAGAACCCCATAGGACCAGCGGAAGCCTAGATTGCATGAGCCATGGAAGATGTGTAGTTGTGAATACACCTAGTTTTATTCAGCTTCTTCTGAATCATTTTGTCGCTCGCTTAATACGCTGTTCTTATCCCATGGTGATGAATTTTTCAGACTGGGAAGCCGGGTTCTCCTGAAGAAGATTCTATTGCTAGAAGGCTAGGCCTAGGCACGGCGAACGACAACATTATGCATGGATGACTGATGTGCTGAAATCGCTGCTATCTGATAAGTTGCACCAAGAAGATGAACATGAAGTAGATGACCATGACGGTAAAGAAGTAAGTAGATGAATCCAGTAGGACTAGACTCCGAAGGTGTTGATGACGGTCACGGTCGTAGAAATTTTTTGAGTCTTCTACTTGCATCACCTGATTTTCACACTCTAATAAATGTGAAGAATACCTCCATTCGCGGACGCGAGAAATTTACCAGCAGTACTGTGTGTTGCGACCGCGACCAGAAGATTCAGGCCACCTACAAGACGCTATCGAGCATGGAAGAGGTGCGGTTGGAGGAGAAAGTCGATTTCGTGTGAAAAGATCAAATCTCCAGGCAGCAGTAGGAGGTCCATTGTCTTCTGCAGCTTCCGGAGGGCCTGCTTCAATGAGGAATGCCGTAGATCCTGGAGCTAGTTATGCTGGAAATTTTACGTTCCCTCCACCGTCAGCCTCTGACGTGGTCCTTGATGGCAGTGTAAATCTGCACGCTGCACAGTTGCTGTCGCATGGGCCCAGTCAGGGGCAATACGATAGGCACGTGGCGAAACGCTTTCCAGGCCAGCTGCTGGGTACGAGTGGTGCAGGCACAGGATTTCATCCGGATCAGCACATTCCCGCAGCGATACGACCAGAAGATGAAGCGGTAGAAAAACTGCAATTTCCATTTCGATCTCCGAGAAAGTTGTACCATGATCGTAAGGAAGACGAAGAACTAGTAAGACTCGCGCTTTTTGTTTCTGTTTCTTTGGGAGATTGATACTTCCTGAGAGATTGAGATTTGTCATCTTTTACACGTGAATCATGATTCATAATTGTCCATCGAAGAACATGATTGATGATTCATATCTTCGCACTTCTATCTCCAGGCATTCGTCGCTGGAGCCGCAGGCTATGTCGACTACTATGACCAAGGGGCGATGGCGAGCGTGGGTAGCCATCAACATCACGCATCCGCCTACATGGTGCATCAGAACATGCCTATGTTGAACCAGCAGCTTCAACACGAGCGCTCGTGATTGGGTAAATAATGGGAGAAGAGACAAGCCGGCGGCAACGCGTGCTACAGTTTTTTCTACTTCACATTTTCTTGAGTTTTTCCTTGATGAGTTCTGCAGATCGATGGAGAAACTCAAACCAAACACTTCATTTTTAAAAAAATGCCAATAACAGTTTATTCTACTACGGCTCGTCTGCTTACCCAGTAGCGACCGTAGCTTTGTACAGGTGGAAATCTGAACAGCTTTTCAAATGTAACGGTGAATATCCAAATAAAGTAACATGAACACCTGTGACATTAGGTTCGAATTTTCCAGTGGATACAAAGAATTATATGCTCGTCTTTTATTAATTTACATTCGGCAAACTAACAAGTAACTGAAAATGATTCCATTCATTAGCAAAGTGGCAGATCACCATTCGGCAGAACTACATACGAGATGTTGCATACTCAAGAAGACGATTTTACGAGATTTCTAGCACTAAATAAGGTCACGGGAGAGCAAGAGTACAACATTAGCAATTTGCACAGAGGAAATACATGGACAGGAAGGATATCGCGTACTTTCCCTTCACCATCTTTCTACATCTATTCTTTGGGGGGATTTTTCGAGGTGATTTTTAGAGATGGTTTCTCGAAGGAGCTGGGGGAACTCCAAGGCTGGAGTTCGAGTTTAAGTATTTTGATTGAACCTTTCCAGATGGTGATCGATGGCATTGCATATACTGACATAATCACCCTTTTACAATATTGTTCTGGCACGATGCACATGCTGTCATGATGCAATCTCCAAAACAAACTAGGATACGACAAATACGAGCTCCCCATGCTCCTTCTGGGTCAAGAACATACTTTGGCTTCTGAAGTGTCAATATGAGCTCTGTCTTCTCCCGGATGTAAATATGAGCTCTGTTATGTTGGATGCAAATTTTGGATTCTGTTGTACTAACTTCTATTCGGTTGAAAGTACTATTGATTTGCGGTATCGAAGCACGCACAGCGATGAGGGCAAGAAAAGGAGTCGTGCTCTGCTTTCTGAATAGTCCTCCAAAATGATGCCAAACAGAGTCTGTGGAGGTGTCAAGCAGGACATGGGGATATCCATTATCAAGGAAGTCGGTACCTACTTCGTCGAATCATGCAAGCACGGACAAAGTATGATACCTTTTATGAGTGTAGAGAAGAAAAGAGGCGTTGCAACAAAGCTGCCTAAAAGTAGCACTGAAAGTCCTTGAAGCATTGATGCGCTTGTGGTTGAAAATCAAAAGAGGGCCTTTCTCTGATGTGGCAGCGAGGTATCGTACACATTTAAGTATCGATGAACACTCACAATCAAAAGAGACTGACTCTTTACATTCAGGATGAGCCTTCTTTAAAAGCAGTGATTGTGGTGCATATTTTCTACGACATATCTTGCTCATGCAGAGTCGTCCATACATAGTGTGCAGTGGCCGATAGACGCGAATTGAATGGTGTCCATGGTCTGAGACTCTTGCTTGTTCGCTTCGTCGTTGGTTCCGCGCCGATGCAGAATCGGCAGTTATTTTGTAGCAAGGTGCCGCATAGGTGTTGACCGATGTGCTTGTTCCGGCCACCGTAGTCACTCCTCTCCAGGTAGCCTCTAGTTTGGCCGCTTACGTTGCGCAGGAAACGATAGTCGACGCTGAATAATAGGAAGTAGCAATATCGCTTGACTTTCGTTGGAGGGTATTTTTCGATTTCTTGGCGTCTTTTTGATTTGCAGAACGAAGTAAGTCTACGCTGCACGGACGACGTCTCTTAGCAGCATTGCCGCGACAACGCTGGTCTATGCCTACGCACATTGTGGTCTGCTACGGACCTCCGTAAGCAGCACGCCCAGCATGACAATGGTAAAAACTACGAGTCGTGAAGAACAAGATTTTTGATGTCCTCGTCATGAGCCCGACAACTAATTTCACCTACTGTGCTCTGGCGTTAGCCAAACCAGATAAGCTTAGTTCCTACGGCTTGGTCGGATGGCAGCAACGCATCAAGACTGATGAGAACGAGATCCTGCACGATGAAAGTCGTCCCGGAGCCGAAAGGTGCCTCAAAATCTTCGGATTCTTAAGGGCTGCAACATTGCATTTCCCACAGAGCTTCCCACAGAGCTTTTTTCAACTCGAAAATAACAAGTCTTCTTTTCTCTTTTATATCTTCCGCTGGTCTGTCTTTTTTCTAGTTAGGTCGGCTCCAGCACAAATATTATAAGTCAACAAGATGAATGTTCTGAGTGGAAATGCAATTGCGTAATCTGTAAGGTTCCAGCTGGACTGGAGCAAGTTTCCAATTGTTACAGTGTGTAGAGTGGAGAAAGAGCGATTCAACAATGCGGCAGAGCCGAGTCGTGCAGGGTCCCAGAAGCTCGCTGAAGGCGACATGTTGCTCATGGCGCAGCAGGAACGCATCACGCTTGTGGCACAATGGGCGGGAAAAGATCCGGATGACGCGCTCATGTCGAAGGTACTATTTGTCGTGCTTGTGAAGATGAGTAGAGGACCTTATTCTTCTAGGTAAGTACTTATACATAGGTATACTTAATGAAGATCATGTGTGTCAACAGTTGTAAGTTGTACTTTGTTGAAGACAAGATTCTAACGAACTACCATGTAGAATTTATCTCTAAGCAGTCTCGAACTGGATCTCGAACTTGATGTCCTCGTACAAACCTAGATTGCCCGTGCGCATGTTCGTGCGAATAAGAGCGATACCTCACAGTGTGTAGCGTTTTGCTTCTTGCGAAGCAGATATGTGGACCGGTTCTGCCAGCTGGACTGTACTTCAGGGAGTAAGCCTTTTGGACTGGAGGCCTCTGATGATTATGACATTGAATTTCACTTTGTTCGAGGATTCATCGAACCATAGTGCTTTCGTCTATGATCATGATCTTCTAAACTCTCGGTGCTATCACGAACGTGGAGGATGGGTCTTGGGCTGCGAACACAGAAATCAACAAGGAGACCGATAAGATTCTCTGTATCGGAAGTGAGTTTTTCGTGCCGCGAGCTGCTGAAAAGACACCTGGAGCCCTGGCAGAGCAGCTAACAAAAGCAGGCAAAGGAACGGCAATCCTAATCAAACGCAGTGGCGGTTTCACCTCTGATTATCGCGACAAGCATGCCTCGAAACCATCGCGGCCGCTGCCGTCCAAATGGGGTGTCACTCGCGACTCGAAGCCGTTCACGGTTGCCTCGTACTCCTCGAGCGGGGATGGTGATAAAAAGGATCATCATCGTGGCGGAGACGCTGCAAAAGATGCTGATGGGGAGAAAGAGAAGCCCTCGACGTCCTCGGGTGGCGCAAAGGCGAAGGTCGGAGGAAGCGCGCCGCCGCCCTACCTCTACTCGTACCTCTACGAGAGCAAGGCGAAGAGAGATGCATCAGGCATCGTCGGGTGGCAACAACGCATCAAGGACTTCGAGTTGCCGATACTACAGACCAAAAGCGACGACGAACCTGCCGCAGACCGAATGCTCAAGCTCTTCGGGTTCAACCTGGACTGGCGAGCTTTTCCTGTGGTGCGCGTTGCGAATGTATGGCAAGGACTGTTCTCCTTGTTTCTCTAAGTTCATTGTTGCGACTAACACTAAAACTAATGGTTGTTCCTTTATATCATGATGTTATCTACTTACGTGAATCTTCGTTCTTGACCTCACATTGTTCGCAGTCAGATGCAGAAAGTTGACAATAGACATGCTCACTGAGAGGACACTAGCTGCTCAAACGTTGTATGTCATGATTTTACTTATGATCGGAGAAATCTCATTACGATGCAGCAGAGCGACGTGAAGAAAAGCTTTTTTCTTTTGTCAAAAGAAACTACAAGAAAGATGTCAAGCTGTCCTTTCTTCATAAAAAACCAGAGAGAAAGCGGCAAACGACGAGGACAAAAGTCGCGCGGCTCTTATCGATGTGCGCGTGGGAGATTTCATGCTGATGTGCAGTCAAGAACGGATTACAATGGTAGCCCAGTGGGCCGGATCGGGTCCTGATGATGCGATGCTAGCTAAAATGGAGAGGGCTTGCGGACGCCGCAAAAACGCGGATGACCCAGTGTGTGCCTTCGGATTTTTGGAGAGCAGGCACAGAAGGAGGTAGTGGGTCATGTAGGGGGGGGTCATGTAGTCGGCATGTTCATTTTCTCACTTTATAATTTCAATTTTTGGGAATACTTACCATTTTTGTACTGTAGGCTGCATAGCTTCAAGAAAAGCCAGACTTTCAAGAGCCATTTAATTCAGCCTTGATGTAAGCAACAAGAACTTCATCTCGTAAAAAACGCTCAGGTATCGTCAATTGTATTTCCCTGGCGGTGAGGATGTTGGAATGGAAGTTGATGAGAGTGGCAAAATTTCGAATGTTAGCGGCTGGGCAGCAAGTAATGGCCTTGCCGACGGTGATTATGTCGTTGTAACCGACGGATTATTAAGGCTTCCACAAATCCTAATCCATTTTCAAGAGTATCCTGGGACGCTTTTATTAAAGGGGGAAAAGGTTCTAGGATGCACTTTAAGTAGATGGATTTGCTTAGTGAAGCCAGGTCTAAGATTAGGCACGATAGACAAGCTAAAAGACCATAGCAAGCTTACCGATGCATTTAGTGGGAAGTCGACGGCGAAAATGACAATGTTAGTACGTCGTGGAAAAGGTGAGTTTGCTGCGGAAGTGGATGATCAGCTGACGGAGCGAGTGAAGGAGTTCGCGAGACCTCTGCCCTCGAAATGGAAGGATGCGTTAAGGCTTCCCGCATTCCATTTATCTTGAGAACGAGCATCATCTCTGAGCGCTGTTCGAAGGGGAAACCGTGCCAATAAAAACGTGTAAAAGATTAAGTAGAGTTTATAAGGATGAACTTGTGAGATCCATCGTGTAGACCATCTATGACGCCCTTAAGGCAGTCTGCACTGAACTTTGTGCGAGATCAGTTGTATGGTATTGTATTGTTGGGTCACAAGCTCTAAATGCAGTTAAGAGCGGCCCTGAGTGCGATTCCCAGACAGCGGAAGCAGCGCCAAAGATTGGTGCAGACCATCATCACGATAGAATTGGTGGAGCGAACAAGTCGACAGCACTCACGGCAGGAGAAGATGATGACGATCATGCAGCCGCGATGAAGAGCATGGCGTCTCCGACGAAGTCAGGCGTAGTGAACAAGAGTATGGCACCAGGTGGAGGCGATAATCCCGAATTCGGGAAATCGATAGCGCCAGGAGCGTCGGAGCTCGGGAAATCAATGGCGCCAGGAGCGTCGGAGTTCGGGAATTCGATAGCGCCAGGAGCGTCGGAGTTCGGGAAATCAATGGCGCCAGGAGCGTCGGAGTTCGGGAAATCAATAGCGCCAGGGGCGTCGGAGTTCGGGAAATCAATGGCGCCAGGAGCGTCGGAGTTCGGGAAATCGATAGCGCCAGGAGCGTCGGAGTTTGGGAAATCGATAGCGCCAGGAGCGTCGGAATTCGGCAAATCGATAGCGCCAGGAGGCGGAGATGACGCACACGATGCGGACATTGGAAAATCAGTCGCAGGTGCGGACTTTGGTAAGTCAGTCGCCGGTGCGGACTTCGGGAAATCGATTGCGCCTGGTGGGGCAGAGACAAAATCAATTTCAAGCGCCAATAAGTCAATAGCGCCAGGAATAGGGAAATCCATCGCGCCAGGCATGACAGATCATGACGAAGGGGCGGAGAAGGAGAAGAAGAGTATTACATACATACTCAGTCGGGCTGTGGATGGATAAAAAAGGCATAAGATAATGATCCACAAAGAAGTGATTTTTCTGATACATCGTCCTTATTCCTCACGAGATGATATTTTCGTGCACACTGACTTGTTCTAACTACTTACCACTCAGGTGGTACAACAGCTGCCCACAAGTCCAGCCATGGTGGCGGAAGTTCAGCGTCTTCTGGTCCTGCGCGTGGAGCCTATAAACCGTCGCAGCCGCCGCCTTATTTACTCTCATTTCTTGTTAAGGGTTGGAAGTTGACCTCTCTGTATGAGCATGTTTTTGGCTTCTTCAGGTAGGGAAGCCATAGATATTCGAGCCAGGGAGGTCAACTCTCAACCCCTAACTTTGGTGTAATGAAGCGCTCACGAGAGGACCGAGGTGGAGCTGCTGTGGTTGGCTGGCAGCAAAGGTTGAAAGCCGATGAAGACAAAATGCTCGCGGACGATAGCGTGTCCAGTGAAGAAAGGATACGGGTATGGCAAGGCTTAATCGTTGAAAATCTTTTTAGAGATCGTTTTCACTGTTCTTGATCATCGTTGATCACTATCATACCAAGAATCACATCTCCTTACGTACTTAATACCCTCAAGAAGAGCTCGACTGTTTCTGTTTCTTCATTTCCGAAAGTTTTCGGTTTCAGTTTCGATTTCCGGAAGTTTCCCGTTGTCCGCTTGGGTGATGACATTCTCGAGAAGGCGATGGATGGGGAGAAGAGTAGAGCGCGGAAAGCCGGCGTAGATAAGGGCTACGTCTTGTTGATGTCGCAAAACGAACGGGTGACGATGTTAGCGCGCTGGGCGGGCAAGGACCCTCATGATGCCCTGTGCCAAAAGTTAGTAAGGGCGACGCAACGACGCAAAAAGCAAGATGACCCAGTGGCTACCTGGATGTTTCTGAAGCCTGAGCACTATGCCAAACACTTCGTCCAGCTTGCCTTGGGACACCAGAGGATAGGAAAGCCTGCTACGCTGAAAGTCGACGCCAAAGGCAAGATATCCGAAGTAGACTCGAAGTTAAGGAAACTGCTTGTCTAATGTCGAGAGCACGATAACAACTATGGGGTTCTTGGGACAAGCACAACAGTCGGTATATCAAACTCCTGCAGGAGACGAGACTAGTCATTGGACCTCATCATCACGTCTGTGACGATTGATCGAGCCGGAAGAATGAAAATCATCATCATCATCTTCGTCATCATCATCATCATCATCATGATCACTAGCATGATCACTAGCATGATCTCCTCTAAGTATTGGTCTAGTTCTTGCGCACCACGAAAAGGCGAAGGACGTAATGGACGTGGGGGATGAGATTTGGGCCGCAAATGAACTGCAGGTTGAGCTGGGAAAAGGGGAAGAATTGCAAGCTCTTCTAGACAAGGAACTTGCGAAGGGTGGCAATATCGTTCAGATACTGTTGCATCGACCGCCAGAGAGGGGTGCGTTTCACCCTCACGTGATTGCAAGGGAGTTCAATCTCGTGAGGCCTTTGCCCAAAGAGTGGACGACAGCAGTGCAGAGCGGATCGCAGTACACAGAAGCCGGTGTAGAGCATGACGAGCATAAAAAAGACGAAGCTGCGTCGCCTAGTAAAGAGGACCACAAGATTAAGGGATTCATTTGTTGCCGCATCGACGTATTCCAGTCTATCTGAAGTTCAACATCCACAGTACTACTAGTAACTACTAGTCTTCATCTTGATACATTCACCTGTATTCTTTATCCTCGGTAACCGTGGTTCTACTTGAACCCGATTCGTCCCAGCCGGTGCGGCCTGGCCGCTGTGTGGTGGACCCTCAACCTTAGCCTTAACCTTAACCGTAGCCTTTTTACACTGTTAATACACTTAATATAAATAAGCTTTAGCTTATGTTGGCATTCTGAACAACCACATCGTCTTCATCTAACTCAAGCGGTTCTCATCACGCTTCGCACAGTGAGCACGACAAGCACCAGGAGCAGGCTAGTCTTGGCGCATTGTCTTCTATCAAGGCCGACGGGAGTCCGCAGAAAGCCGACGAGGTACAACGCAAATCTAGTTAAGGCTCGATACAATTCATATCCAACGGCAACTTTCTTCGGTTTCCTTCTTTGGATTCTGAAGAAATATGAAGAGAAGAAGTAAATATATTGCAACTTCTCTTTTGGTTTTGACTTTGAGCTCTAATCTAGCGCGTCATCTTCGGGAGAGCACCAGACACGTCGCGGCCGCGTTGCTGTGAAAGGGCCTGGGCCGTTCTTGTTTACCCGTGTGATGGAGGCTAATACAAAAGTAAAGAAATCATTGGTCGGTTGGCAGCAACGCATCAAGGACGAGGAGAAAGCAGTGCTTGAAGACAGCTCGAAGCCCGCTGAAGAAAAGATTCTAGAGGTCTTCGGGTTCAAGCTGGATTTTAGGGATTTTCCCTTTGTGTACGTTGCCGAAACGCGTGACAAGGCTGTTGACGGAGTCGACAAGTCAAGAGCAGCGAAGACTGGTGTTAAAGTGGGAGATGCAGTCTTGCAGATCCAGAACGAACGTATCACCATGTCAGCGCAGTGGGCATCCGATGAAAATGCACACGATGCTCTAGTGCAGAAAATACTACGCAGTATAGGACGCAGAAAGGGCAAGGATGACATGGTCTGCATGTGGAACGTGCTTCCAGGAAAACTACTAAAAAAGTTTGTCCAACTCACTTATCGTCCAGAAAACGACAGCGATCATGGCTCGAAGCTTATGCAAAGTAAGTGAAATTCCGAAAAATAATAGCTGATTCATTGAGATTGTACTAGCTTTAAATTTTCCTTAAGTGACTGTGTAATTTTTTACAGCATGAAATACAACTTGCTTCAACTACTTCAAGTCCTCGACTTTCCCTAGTTGTACTTGAATTTTTCGGTTTTCAACATTCTTTCATTCCATCTGCCGGCGGTTTGTCCTTGTCCGGCGGAGATGGCAGTCCGCTTCTACTAGATAGCGTCGCTGGCTGGGCTTCATCCTGCAGGTTGGAGAAGGGTGACACGCTTCTTCTAGTTGACGAGGAGGCAGCGGAGAAGATGGAGCCCAGTGCGGTCGAGAATTATGGCAATCAAGAGACACAGAGCATCCTCAAAATCATGGCAGTTGACTGTTTTTCTGCTTGAAAAGCAGCCCAGGGAAGATCATGCTTCCAAGAAAGTTGCCAACGCTGTTGTAAGTAGTTCTAAACGAAAAAGCTGAGCAGTATACAAAACGGCAAGGCAGTTCAGCTGCTCCTCTATCGAGAGAGTGGGAATTTTCCTTCTTCGACCATTGCATTGGAGGAGGACTTTCGACGACCCATGCCATCAGCATGGAAAAAATACGAAAAAAGCATAGCTTTTCCACCTGACGAAAATGATGGAACCGCTCATCATGACGAGCATGATCATCATCCGAAGAAAGAGTCCGCTAGTACTACATCACCATCTCCTAGCAAGAAGTCAACGACAGTGACGGACTTGTCAGAAGCCGACTTAGAAGAACGAGCACGGGTGCGGGTAGAGCCGCCTCCCGGCAGCGGTCCTGTGGACCCTAGGAAAACACCGACGTTTCTACTTTCGTATGTCGCATACGCTAAGGACGTCAAGGCTTCCGGAACTACAGGGTGGCAACAAATTAAGACCTACCCTAGTTTTAGTCCATCTCCTTCTGGAGAGGCTTCTTTTCCAAGGAGAAAAGAGGCCCTCCAGGATGTCCTATCTCAAGACGGACCGAGGTGAGTAGTTCTAAACAAAGAATCAAGGATGACGAACTAGCGGCGTTGAAGGACAAGAACATGGATCCTTCAGAAAAAATCCTGAAAGTTTTCGGTTTTGCCTTGGATTGGAAACATTTTCCAATCGTTAGAGTGCGGAAGAAGGTACTTAAGTACTCAAAAGTGGAAATAGAGTTTATGTGAAGATTATTGGCGGGTTTTTTTTATCGACGTCACATGACATGATCATCTTTTTCTGTTTATTATATTTTTTATATAGAGTTGTAGTTTATAGAACGGATGTAGGATGGACTTGGATGGATCGGATGGATCGGATGGACCCCCCTGATTCTTCCGATCCTACTTGAAATGGTGGAAAGTCCATCCGTTCCATCCGATCCATCCCATCCCGGATCTGGCACCCCTATAAACTGCGCTATATATAACAATAGCAATCATGTTGCTCTATTTGAAATTCACAACCATGACAGGAGAAGTACGCAATCGACGGCAAAGAACAAAGCAGAGCGGTGAAGGCCGGTGTCGAGGTAGGATTTTATGTGCTCGCGTTCTGCAAGGAGAGGATGAGTCAGGGGACCTCATGGTCATGGTCGAAAGACGATCGGCCGGACCAAGCTTTGGTGGAAAAATTGCTGGAACAGATAGAAAAGCTGAGAAAAAAGCCTGATGACATGGTGTGTAGTTGGGTAATGTTAGACCCGAGAAAGCGGGAGAAATATTTGCAGCTGGAATGCACAGAATCCAAAACCGGGCTAGAAGTGGCTGCAGGAAGTGGGAAAGGGACGTGTTTTATGAAAAATGTGTGATATTCTAAAGACTTGCATTTTGTTTCGAAGAATTTCTCGAGTAGAAGATGTTTTGGAAGAAGAAGTTTTTTTTAGTTGTGATATGTTGTCGTCGCTATACTCGTCGGCTTCGGTCTCTTGCATCTTTTCATTTTTCCTCATTGACATAGACTTTCGCCTTCCTGTTTTTTGATGTGAGTCCTTTGTTGCTTGTTTTCATTTTCGCGATTACGAGTGTCGCAGCCGGCTCTTGGGGTGACAAAATGGGTCTTGAGAAGGGAGACGAGATAGCCGCAATCAATGACGTGGTTGTTCTTCGTGACGGCGAGAGCAGTGTGCCACGAGTGCAACGTCGACTTGCCAGTGGCAGTGAGAAGAATCCACTGCATATCCTGTTTCATCGCAGTTCAGGCTACTTCTCTGTGGATATGGCACGACAAGAGACAGCAGTGAAACGGAATTTCCACACGTCTTCCGACCACGCAGATAAGGATAAGAAGGATATTAAAGAACACGAAGAAAAAGCTCGGAAAGAGAAAGAAGAAGCAGCGAAACGGGAGGAGGAGGAAAGGAAAAAGAAAGAAGACGAGGAGCGTAAGAAAAACAAGGAGGAAGAAGACCGGAAAAGAAAAGAAGACGAGGAACGGAAGAAAAGAGAGGACGAGGAAAGGAAGAAAAAAGACGAAGAAGAAAAAAGCAAAGCTGCAGCTGCAAGTGCACCAACGCCGTCTGCCCCCTCCACCGCACCTGCTCCGATCACAACAGGAGGCTCTGCTGTCGATCCACCTGGGGCCGCAGCCATCGCGTCACCCGGATCGTCACCACGCAAAGGGAAGCTACCCAGTGGAGGCGCGCCCTTTATGCTGCCATTGCTAGTCGGCGGAGAACGGAAATGGGCTCTGCGCGAAGTGCAGATGACACATGCACACCAGGAGAGAATACGCAAGGCTTTCAAAGGCGCAGCTGCAGAACCTTCCCATTGTATGCTGGAAAGCCTGGGCTTCACGCTCGATTGGTCAGATTTCCCTTTAAGGCTCATTTATAACAATTCGTCTTCACAGGAGAATACTTGTCGCAGGTTTGTTCTTGATTGATTAGGTGGACACTGTGAACGTACTTACTTAGAAGCTAACTAGTGTGCGTAAAACCAAAAGTTGATGAACAAGTATCGCGAGCGCTAATTCCTGTGGTTCGGGTAGCCCAAGTAGACTATGCTGTGATGACTACCGCACCTGTGGCGATCGGAGACGTCCTTCTCAGTGTTTGCGGTCATCGTGTACAGAGAGTGGCTCAATGGGAACACCACGGGCACGATCCAGACACCGCGATGCTATTCAAAATCGCAGATCCGAAAATAGGAAATGTTGTTGAATTGGAAAATAATAGCTGCTAGATCGATGATTAAATATTTTCGCCTGGTGAACATTATACATAGATTTAGATAGAAGTACCTTGTTCGTTACAGGACTCGTTTTGTATTCCCTCCCGTAAATAGGAATGTCGTGCAGGAGGGGAACAATGTAGGGGCAACCACGCCTACAAAGTAAAAGCTAGAGTTCATGAATAGAAGTCCCTCGTCTTCCACTTCGTAAGAGTCTTTTCCTTTTCTTCATACCTTGCGGCTGTTGGTGGTGTGGTGCGATTTCTGCCGAGCACATTATACCCAAGGTTTGTGCAGACGACCAAGACTGATGCAGGATCTTTCGGCTTTGGTGTCGACACGAGTAAGACGGACGCTTTCCGTGTGAAGAATCTGGCTCCAGGCGCCAGTACCTGGTCGGCGCAGCAGCAAGTGAAGAAGGGTGACGAGTTGGCGATATGCATGAACGCACAGGATGTGATTGTTCCACATCAGGCGTCTACGGGCAATGCTGCAGCATACGAAGCAGAGGGACAGAAACGGAAAGACACGCTGGCATCCATCATGTCAGGTTCGCTGCGCCCTGTGCACATACTGTTTTTCCGCGCACGCGAAGATATGCCAGAGGCAAAGAGGAAGCAAGCGCTCAATGGCGTCCGCATTCCATTGCCAGCTGGGTGGCAATCTTACGTGAAAGGACCGACGGCAGCGAAGCTAGATCCGGCTAGTATAGTAGGCATCGCAGCATCGACGGCTGCAACTTAAGGGCTTGTCCTAATTCATCTCAACAGGGATCCCTCACCAATTTACAAGGGGGATACATGAAGCTGAGGCATACGCGGGAGGGATCACCACAGGGATGAACTAGGTAGCGAGAGGTCTAAGCAGCGACTGCGGTGCCGAAGCTGGCAGGGCTGGAGAACGTAGGGGGTGCCATGGACGTCGCGTCTTCCGTGTTCGCAGGCCCGCACAAGGGCTTTTTCGGCTTGTCCTCAGCACGCAGAAAAGCGGAAGAAAAAGTAGCAAAGGAAGCGGCTGCGACAGTGGCACCTATACCGGTGGCACCCGTACCAGTCGCACCTGCACCTGTCGCTTTAAGGTTCTCTCTAATCCATCTTCAGAAGCATCCTGGAGAGGCTTTTCAAGGGTAGAAGGGACCCAGGAGGATGCCTCCACGTAGGTTGATTAGGGTAGGTTCTAACTACTGCTGTGCCAATAGAGCAGCCTGCGTCCTCAGCCTCGCAGGAGACGACATCACATGGGGAGGACCCGGCCGGCGGGCACATAGCTCTGAGTTTGCACATTCCGCCTGGCTTCAAAGGCGCCCCGTCGGCGCAGAGTTCTGCACGCGGTGGTGCAAGCGACGCGGGTTCGGTCGCCCTCAGTGGCGTCGTACCCGGGTCAGCGCGTTCCGAATCGGTAAGCGACATCGACGGACACGGAATGCACAAGATCGCAGGTTCGGTCGCCCTCAGTGGCGTCGTACCCGGGTCAGCGCGTTCCGAATTGGTAAGCGACATCGACGGACACGGAATGCACAAGATCGCAGGTTCACCAGTTCCCTCAGCAATGCATACGCCAGCGGGCTCGGCGCTGCCCTCAACCCGCGAGTATCATTAAGGTCAGCTTTTATCCATCTTTCGGTTTCGGAGCCTCTCGATGCCCTTTTCTCTTGTACTTGATGGGAAAGGGGCCGACTACATGAAGGGCAAGGGAGGACCGAGATGTTCTTTTTAATAGAATCTGGCTCTAACATCATACTGGTTCTCATGTTGGTACACATCATGAAGTTCATGGGCAACACGAAGACCATGATCCAGGAGGTGGCATGTTCTCGCATTTGATGGACCATGCTGGACATGGGATGGGGCTGTTGCTGTCGACGCCAAGGCATGCGTCGCACGCTGGCGCATCAGCGCATGCGTCGCCTATAGCTTCAGCGCGAAGCCATGGAGATGACGCGGCATCGGCAGTAGAATTAGGGCTTCCCGCCCAAAGACAAATTTAAATGCTAATTTTTCTAAAGACGCATCTTAGTTTTTCAACCGCAGACTCATCTGCATCTTGAGGTTGAGAGACATCTTCTTTCAACACGTACATGTTTCTATCTAAGGGGAAAGATCAGTCTCACAGGTGCACTTTCTTCTAATAGAAAGCTACATTGGAGGAGCTAGCGCAGTCGGGAGCGCATTTGCGGACAGTGTCTCAGGATTTTTCGACTTGGGATCTGCCGCGGCGGCAGCCGCGGCTACAATCGCTGGCGGTGCTGCGGACACAAATTACGGGCATGATGTGTTCTTTTGAGTACGCTCTGATATTGTGACAAAAGGAAACTACAACCAAGAATGAAGAACCTGTTGATGTCGCAGCTATGGTACCGAATCTTGTTCCTCCATTCAAAGTGCCATCAATAGAACTACAAATGAAATAGGCCTGCTTGCTCGATCATCTAAGCACGAGAAGACGGTCAGGATGGGATGATGGCTTCACTGCAGAGTAAGATTGATTCGGTACTCGGTACAGTGGAGCGGGAGCGCGAACGGGCACTCGGGGACATCGAACGGGAGCGGAGGCGGAGCGCAGGGGAAATGGCCAGGGAACGCAATCGTATCCAGGAGGAGTTAGTTACGACAATCACAATTTTAATATCAATCAAGACGAGCAGGAGGAGCACGAGCAGGAGGCTTCTTACATGATAAGTTTGTGCATCGGTTGTAGTTCTATTTGTGAATGCACGCTCATCCTCATTGATGGTTCGTGTGAAAGGAAGTAAGAATATCATCTCCACTGCATGAATCTCCTACTCAACATAAGTACTTACATTCGTTTTTACTCCATATCTTCTAAGATGCCTGCTGGTACGTCGGGCGGGCGTCAGACGAAAAGTGGGCTTCTCGGCGGCTGGTTCGGAGCAGGAAACGCTGGTGTGGAGATGGAGGAAGACGATCAGGGTGCCTGGAAAATGCGACTGAATAAGCGAAAGAGCCAACACGAAGAGGACGTCGCTGTACGAAAGTGGGAACTAGAGAAGAGGCGGAGATTAAGCGTTTCAAGTTGACCTACTTAAAAGCATCTACTCTATGTTGATCTTCATCTTCTTTTCAAGAAGACAGAAGGGCTGCATAGATATGCGAGATAGGTCGGTCAACTTGCAACCCCTAAGGAGAGAAATCGCCTTAGAATCGCACGAGCGAGAGCTCCAGATGCTGGAAGAGCGCGCAGCAGCAGGGTGTGGGCCAATAGGAGGCCACGATGCCCCCGGAGGATATTCGCCACCCCACTCTTCAATGTTAAGGCTTGTTCCCCTACCGGTGCATCTTCAGATAGTGCTGCATTTTGGAAGAGCTTTCCCATGATAAGGAAAAAGGAGCAGCAAGATACGCCTCAAGATGGATAGGCGTGAGCTCTAACAATGTCACCCGGAGGAGCGGGGCACTACTACCACGGCGCCCCTCCAGGCAGTCCGCCGCCAGGAAGTCCACCCAACATGTATCCGCCGCTCTATGGACCTCAGGCGTACCATCCGGGGATGATGCCTGGATACAACGTGCCACCTCCTCCGGGAGGAGTTGCGCCAGCAGCAGTTCCCGGTAGCAACCTTTAAGGCCGCTACTTGCTCATATAATTCATCAACTTTAAATCTTAGGTTTATTTAAGGATGTCAAGGTCTAAGATCTAGGCATAGGAGGCTTGGTGGATCAATTCGCTTACATACAGCAGCAACAACGCATAGAGACGCTCAAAGACGAAAAGACATTGTTGCGTGAAGAGCGGGACTACTTTCGCCGCAAGATGATGGAGCAAGATAGGAGAGAAGCAGACGAAATCTCTCAACTACGAGCAGGGCGGTCGAGGAGTCCTAGTCCGGGTGGATATCATATGGCCTAAGTTCGGGTCCCTTTGCCTTCTCTTGTTACAGTCTAATATATTATCTTGAACCTGAAGAGGTGTGTCCCAAGGTCTTCTTTCGTGGGATGTAAGCTCCTGATGCTCACTTAGGCATCCTTGACGTCTAAAGCATCAGGCGGGCGTCTAGCTGACGGGGAGAGGGTGCTTACAGGGTTGGAGGACCTTTTGCGTCGACATCTCGGTTCCGAAGATCGAGGGCGATCACCTGGCAGTCGTTCGGGCGGACATCCACAGCACGTAAATTTCTATCCTTCGCCGAGAGGTCAGCACGGGCTAGTGCCAGCATCTCCGGGGTCGGCAGCTGCCTCGTCTTATCGACAGCAACATGGAGGGGGCGTACCAGAGCAGATCGTGCAAGATTTGAGCAAACTAGAGGCAATGCGATTGCAGGACAGTATTGACGTTCTTGTTTCTTTTCAACCCGTGAGTCAGTACCTACGGTAATACTGCCACTGCGATCCTTTTTTCTATTTTTTCCAGTAGTTGAAGTCGACGAAAGAGAACGTCTCAACGATAGGCATCAATAGCACTTCTTACACGTCCTAGTTGTACACCCACGATCACGAACTATGATCTGTTCTTCAGCAATTTCGAGACTTAGTGACGAAATGAGGGACCTGCGCATGCAGAACAAGATGCAGACCATGGACGCTCAATCACGCTCGGCCAGTGCTCAGGGGAAAAAGTATTTCGTGCAAGATGATGATTTCTTAGTAGTCGGAATTGTGGTCTTCATCATGTTGACAACTCCTTGTGGAAGCTCGTCAAACAATGTAATCGAAAACTCAAAATAAGCGAGTTACTGACTGAAATAAGAGAGTCTTGACTACTGCATTCCTCTTCTTTCAGTATCGCCCTTATTTTCCCTAGTTACTCGCTTATTTCAGTTTATCGAATAGAACTAGAAGCCGAACTTACCTGGCTTTAGTAAGTTTCCCCTCACTTCTCCAGGCAACAGCACGAGTTTATGTTTTATCCGGACGTCATGCCATCTTCCTGTTCCTCTTCCAGGCGCGAGCGGATGCGAGATGCGAAACAGGATCGCCTGGAGAAGAAAATCGATGCGCTCCTAAACAGCACTACAGGTGGCCAGCTTGAGCTTCTAAACAGTTGTACTTCTGAGAGCCAGCACCCGGAAGTTGAGAGGAACCGGGAGCTCCGTGACGCCACGATGAATTTACGTGCCGAAATAGAAGCAATGAAACGGGAAAAACTAGACATGGAAGGCAAACTGATGGACTCCAGTTATTCCTTTAGACGCGATCTGGAGACGGATAGTGGGACCAGGTACTTTTTCATATTTTCTGTTTCAGGAGTGTAGTAGCTCTCTCTTGCAAGTTGTTTCTTATCTGTCAAAGTGAAGAGCTTTGTCGTCTTTGTCGTCGTCCTACAACTCATCTTCACTATGTATCTATGTATAAGTAAAGAAAAATGAGAATGACTAACACTCACACACAAATGTTCCAGTTCCAAGGAGACCCGACAGCGAAGCAAGCGATTAGGCGAGGTTGCTGATATGTACGAGAGAGTGATCGAGCGGAAGATATCGCAGAAAGCTTTTCTCAATTGTTATGGTCATTTGTTTCACCTGTTCGTCTACTCGTTCGAGTACCTGAGCAGCTTCTTGGTAGGGGCTTTTACTCCCATCTAGAAGAAAAAGAATACAGGATCTTGGGTTTGATACAACAACCCACCTTTCTCCATAGAAGAGAAGGGCACCCCTAGGGCTGCACCAAGTAGATCGATAAGGGAGCAAAAAAAATGTCGTCCAACCGCGTGCCGCATCTCTGTCCTGTATTCGGGATTGTTTCGTCTCATGTGGAACTTTTTGACTATCTCAGGTTTACGTGCTTCATAGAAGCACTCTCTTTCTCTAAACCTAGTTCCAAAATGCACGATTTCGTCAATTGTCGCGTGGAGTGGCAGAAACCCAAAAAGCCCAAACGCAAGTGATGCAGCATCTGTGTAAGCATGTGCGCAGTGACTGGCGTGATTTGTTAAGGCTTACAGTCTATTTAACGCATCTCCGCAGATCATCAGCATCACTGTACGTTTCCTCTTTGTTCATACGGCGACGAGTCAGAATATGAACTAATGTAGCCTCTAAATTTGAGACAGGATGCTCTGCGGGAACTGGGAGACTTCGGCAGTGCGCTCTCAGATTCCCAGATGCAACTACTCGGGACGCTGGCTAGGAAAGATCGGTGGAGTCTTATGCTGACAGGGATAATGACTTGTTGTACTCAAAGTAACTTGCTTAGTTCACTGCCTGGAAGTGGAGGTCGAGGTGTGATGTACTAGAAGAAGTGAACTCGTGCTGGGTAATTATAGAAACTGATGTGGTGTGAATGTGATGTGGCTTGAAGATTGCAAGAACTTCCACTTCTGCTCCACGTTGTTTCCGTACGTACTAGTTTAGAGGTCGTCGAACGATGTCTAATACAAACCGGAAAAACGAACGTTCCCCACAGAAGAGCAGTCCTAGTACTACAAGAAAAAGCTCGTCTACATCTCCTGCACGGATAAAGGATCTGAGGAGTCAACAGCAACCGGTGGCAGCGCCAACGTTACCGCTGCTGAAAAAAACTAGAAGAACAAGACAGTCAACCAGTGCTGCTGCAGTTTCGTCAGCAGGCAACAAAAAACCACGAGGAGTAGTTGATAAAGAAATCCAGTACCAGGACCAGGAAGAGAAAAATTTAGAGCAGGAACCAAGTGCAACTTCAAGTAACTCTGAATCTCCTTCTTCATTCTCAGAGTCTTCAACGCCCGACGACGATGAAGCTTATCCAGTTAGAAGTACTATGCTTCCAAACTCTAGTTCCGCTGCTGCGACGAGAGAGGACGCTACTAGCAACAGGAAAAATAGAGGACGGAAAGGGAGACGGAAAGCACCTCCAACAGGTACGACGCCCGCCACCGCGTCGGCAACAGCACCTGCATCGCCGCCAGGTGATGTCGAGCGGGGTAAGACAAAAACTGCCGCCGCAACAAGAGGAAAGAGGCGCAACAAGAAAGAGCAGGAGACATCATTTTCATCCTCCCCGAAAAGGAACAAGAAGGACAAGGAAAAATCAGCCTCAGAACCTTTTGAGGGACTGGGCGTAGACCATGACGAGGACGTCATGTTCTATCCCGAGGTGGCATCTGATGAAGAAGCCTCTACTTCATCTGATGTGAAGGTTCAGGATGGCGATCCACTTGAGGTCTTGGAAAGAGTAGATATGAAAAATGATCGTGATGGCGATTCAGATTCACTAGAGGCACTTTTAAGCGGCGAGAAGAAAGATGAGGTCGAACAGGACGTTGCGTCGTCAAATTCCTGAGAAGGAACTAGTACCCGTCTTATCGTTTTACGGATGATGTATTTTCTTTGTAAAGTTTTTAGTGTGACTTCTTTTTTTGTGTTTTCATTTTTATTCCTAGTCAGGGCTTCACCGCACTAAATTAATCAGATACGTCGCTGACAATCTTTATAATACGATGCGCTGATAATATTGAAGAAGATACGTTGTTTTATTTCGCAAAGCCATTTTCTTGATGTTTCTGTGCTTCCAAGAAGGAGAATTTCGTCGCCGGTAAGTCGTTCGTATAGTACCAAGTAATTAGAAGTGTCACTTCACGCTTTGTGTTATGCATAGTGGACGGTCGGATAAATTGTGTAAACTCGTGAACAGCCTGATGTCGACCAAGAATGATAAAGCTAGTACTTGTCGACTGGCCAATTTGAAATTAACCAGTTCTGAAAGTTTTCTCAGAATCCACGTTTTTTTTTAGAGTAGACGTAGTTTTCTTGTTGCTTGTCAAGCATGCTTGGCTCAACCTGAATAGAGAGATAAGCAATAACTTCAAGATGTCCTGCGTCTTCGCGTTGATACAGATACACATGACCACCAGGAATCTTTCTAACAGATTGAAAAGGAAATTTTTTGGTTAATGCCCATGTTGTTAATGTGTGTGATGAAAAATGCTCCAGTTGCTACATAGATAGTCTTTTTTTGACGTGTCGACCTGGCCGCAGTTGGCTTGTTAGATCAAAACATGCTCAACCCGTGAACAAAATCGTATCCATACCACTACCTAGTTGATTTGACTACAAAATTACAAAACCAGATGATCAATATGGCCTTGAAAATGTGTCTTTCTGATGTTCGTTAAGTCGATTTACCTTGTACAAGTTTAGGAACAATTCTAGGACAGCATTTAAAGTGGACCTTGTTTCAGAAAAACAATACTGCGAGGACTCACAACTAGAAAATTTTGTCTCGACGTCTTATCCATATTAGTTCTACGCTCATTCATAACTTCAAAGTAAGTGTGAAATGTTCGTACTTGTCCTTTTTTTGTTCAGATGAAACTTCTTTCATCGCTCGAATAAGTTTCAGGGATTCTACCTTTGTACAGTACCTTCAGTCGTTGTCAAAAAGACAAGACTTTCTTGATAAAAAGTTGACAGCTTGGTTGAAAAAAAATACCTGTCTGAGTTCAAAGATCCTGGTAAGATCGGGTACTCATGTTCTTGTTTGTGTTCCGACATTTAAGGGAGGCCCTGCCGTCAAAGCGATGAATAGATCACGTTCATAGTAATTAAGAGCCCGACGGCGGGGCCTATAAAAGGGCATGAGGAAGTTTTACGCGGGGAAAAATGCCGCACTTACTAGATATGCAATGGAAAGCGATGACGAATAAAGAGAATTCGAGTGAAAATGGAACGAGGAAAATTGTCCTTAAGCGCTGGTCTTATCCGGATATATTTTCGTCGCTCAAGCGGTCGATGGTGGATTGGCAAGTGGGGGCGGCCACGCAGAAAGTAGCAATAGTACTTAGTAGCGCAGCAATTATGATCCCGGTGCGGTCACGAATGAGGCCGGTGCATCTTCACTTCCACAGGTAGTTTTTCGCGAAAGCGAGTGCTTGCGTGGTTATGTCGTGCTCATGCTTGAACCGCGTTGGCCGTCTAGGCGTTTCAATAATACTGACCCGCATATGGAAGCATTTAGATTTCATGCTTTTTATTTACCACACGAGTAATTAAGGAGATTAAGGGCTGAAAATGAGAGAAGAAGTGGAAGTAGGGTAAACACAGGAAGGCAATTTTCGCAGTAAGATAAGATGAAAATGGCAGGCAGGTAAGGGCAATGTCGTATCAGTACAGCGCAGACACCGCGTGACAACTGCGAGGCCTAGGCTGCCCTTGTCGTCGGCAGCTGCCAGCTCAGTTGATATTGGTGGAGTTCCGTGAATTAAAAAAGAAAAATACAGATATCGAAAGGAGCAAGCTCGAAAGTCTGAAAATAAATAATCGCGGCCTGCCGAGTTTCTAATTCTCAAAACAACTTGCACTTGCTTCAGATGTTAACTCAGTTGATTCAATTTGCATGCTCATTCCCGTAGCCATGTTGGCTCAAGGTGGGGAGGATGAAAAGGCATTAGAAAGAACAGACCTTTTCCATAAATCTGACGCAAAGATAAACAAAGAGATTGTAGTGTCGTTCGAAGCAATGCTCGACAGCGAAAAAATCAGGAATCTAGAGAAAACTATTAATTTCATGAGGACCACTTCTTTCCTGTGGTTCGGAGTCATTCTACTTGTTGTTCCGGAACAAGAACAAGCACCAGCACGACAAAGAAAAACGATCCTTGTCTGTCTTTCTTGAAACGAGAATCTTCCTCCTTGCACATCTTCTCCGCCGATGAAAATCTTTTTGCTGTTATCAAAATCTGAAGCAGAACAGTACCGGATCTACGCTAGTATGGAACTTTAGTACTGTAACGAGTTCAATTTCAACCTGCATGATATGCATTTCTGAACAACAACAATGTATGTTGTCCGGGATCCAAGTTGTCTTTCCTACTGAATTGGGGAACTCACGCAAAAGGCTAAGGCATGTGCAGAATATATTTCTCTGGAACAAGTAATACATGTTGATACTCAACAACAATGCATGATTGTGGTCATTCAAAAATGTCGACGTAGAATCTGGCAGGAGTAGCTACTACTCATTTCCTTGTTGGCCCCCTCTGCATGTGAACCTGCATATTATTGAACTCTCTATTTTTACAGTATCTGTCTGATTTTGTAGTTCCTCGGAGGTTTGAAGAAGCCTAGTATTTGTGCACATTTTATTTATTTTTCGTTGAAGAAAAACAAATAGAAAATGCAGTTATTTGCTCGAAGTGGTAATCCTCGTACCCAACGATTGTTGGCGTTGGCGAAGATTTCGGACGTCGAGGTGGATGTGATTGCCGATACAAGTTCAAATAATTAAGGCTACACTGAATCCATCTTACCGAACATCGAACGATCTTGCTCCCGTTTTTAAAGGAGAGAACCAAGATGCTCAGCAAGATGGATTTACTCAAATTCTAAAATAAGGATGCTTTCGGAAAGATCCCTGTACTTGAGGTTAAAAAGGGCTCTTGCATCTTTTCCTCCAATGCGATCGGCCGATACCTTGCCCGCATGCGACCCGATATCGGATTGTACTTCTACACTTCTTGTTAAGGTGGATTTATCACTGGCTTCCTGCTTTTAGTGTTATAGTTTATACTCTGTTACCTCAAGTAGTGTATACTGTTATTAAGCTGGATCATATCAAATTGTACTGGTAACAAGACGTGAGTGCATTAATGAGCATGAATTTACTTCAGGTATGGCCAAAATTTCATCGAAGGAGGCGAGGTTGACAGCTGGGTCGAGTATTCAACGCATGAACTCGAAAATCCAATTTGCGCATGGACCTTTCCGATGGAGCAGATCTTTCCAGTACTTGTAGATATTTTTCAGTAGATCATCATCATTCTTCAATGTTGTACTGAATTGTATTTGAAAAAGATCTTCTGATAATCTTCTAGTACGTCTTGGTCTTTTATAGAATGTAAATTACATTCTATATTATCTAACAAATAGATACCCAACAAACATGTACTAGTTCTTAGTTGAGCCAGGTTACCTTGTCGTATTAATCAGAAATCATGATCAATCCTGACGACTACATCGTCCCCCCCCCAATTCGTCCCACGACAGGAAGTGACCCACGCGACCACTCGAGCGAAGATGGACGTCGCAGCGTGTTTGAAGACTTTAGATATGCACCTGACTCTGAGGACTTTCATGGTAGGAGAAAAGCTGACATTCGCGGATGTTCATATTGCGTCAGTCCTATGGAGCCCAATTGAGAAACACAAGTGCCTCACCGAAATGATGGAACCACTTGTGCATCTTACGAGATGGTACATCGTTCTTGATCACTTGTTCACTAGTATCTGTATCTTCGTGATTTGGAGTTATAGTTTTTGAGTGAACTACTACGCTAAAGATACTTTTCCAAGCAGCTAGTATCTCGTTTCCAAAGGAATTACTTTTCCATCGATCATCGTTAATAAACAAGGTACAAGTTGATTACGGCGCAGCCAGGATGGAAAGCTGCCTTCGGTGCCAGCAGCACTATGGGAGCTAAGGGAGGTGCTGGTGGGAAGCCAGCGACAGCAAAGGCAGAGGCCAAGCCAAAGGCGAAGGCTGAGGCAAAAGCCAAAGCAGAGCCCAAGGCGAAGGGCGCAAAAGCAAAGGCTCCCGCTGCACCAGCAGCAGCACCGGAGAAGCCAGCAGGACCATCACCGGCCGACATCAAAAAGAAAGTACTTCAATGAATTTGGCTACTGGTAGAAGATGACTTTGATTGCTTAATTCAAATCTCTAACTTTTGTCAACGTATAACTTTTTTTTTACACGTGCAACCAACTACTGCAATCAAACAAAAATCAGGTGATCAAGGAAGGCGGCAAGCGCGGAGTTGAGATAGAAGGCGTTTCGGATATGGGCGGACTCAACTTTTTCTGTATTGCTGATACATTTTTTTACGGACTACTTGACTTTGGATAGTGCTCGACGTCGAACGATATTAGAAGAAATTTAATGCAAAGGCAATGCTATTGATGGAGTCATTTTCTCAACAGTCAAAACTACTCGTGTTGATTATAGACAAACTTCCGATCAGTCACCTACTTTCTACCACTTGTGGCTGTGCTTCCCAGGTACTGCCGTCGACGCACCTAAGGGTGACTTAGAATATACGGAGATGAGTGTTGACGCTATGAACGCAAAGGCCGACCCAGCAGAGGAAGAGCGAAGAGGCGGGTCAGGTCATGTCGGAAAAATGATCTTTAGTTCCGATGTAGATTGTGCATGTGTCTGCTACGTGCCGGAGAAGTTGCAAGGTATTTTGGCTATATTTGTTCCATGTTGGGTCTCTAAGGTGTGTGATTGCTGCACATCGAGGGGCGCTACATCGAGAGGCCAGCAAGGCGCAGCGTTGGCAGCTAGTAGGAACGGTTGGGGCAGGATGTCGGGCCGACGACGCGAGTGCGGCCCCGTGGGGGGCTGGTTTTCCGTGCGGGCGCATCCTGAAGAATGGCGGGAGCGATAGGGGCGCAAGGCCCTGCACGGACGTGCCGGTGCCGGGCAAGAGTTCCGCAAAGCGCTGCGGAGCTAGCATGTTGCGATAGGTCGAGCCGGGGGCGTCCTCGGGGGCCGGACATCTTCGCAGTGGTGTCTGCCCAGAGCGCCGCGCACTTGCTAGCAGCAGCGCCCTAGGGGCCGAGGGCCTCGAAGCAGAAGGGTGAGCACATAGGGCAAGTAGTGAGGCAGCCCCCAGCGCGCCCGGAAAGTCACGCGGGGCCGGACTGGGGGAAGGGGGTCACGGAAATTACACGCGAAAGCTTGGCGGAAACGCTTGCAGGGAGCGGCGAGGGGTACAGTTGAGCCGACAAAAGTCGCCCGCCCACGGATCTGGGCCGGCGTCGCATTCGCAGGCAGCGCCGGAACGGCAAGACGCTCGCGCAAGGGCGACGGCGCTCGCGGTTCGGTAATTGAATTCTTCGCAGCTCTCTCGTCCGTGGCTTGCGATTGACCGCCGGACGAGAACAAAGGGCGCGCCGTGTCCTCTTGCATGCTGGCGCGCGGCGGAGCAGGTGACGGAGGTAGATGCTGGACTTAATGGCCATCGAAGAACTGGGCGCGGCTGCTGCCTTGCGCGTGCAATCAGGTGAAAGCTGGCAGGTAAAAGCTTGGGCGGGGTCTTTCTCTTGGGGAATCTCCTCGCTTTTCTGGCTTTCGCTGGGAGGCGTGGGCGAGTGCCTTTGCCATGGCCAGGAGACAAAGACAGAGGCGCGGCAAGTTTTAGCACGCGCCGGCCGACGTGGGTGCGCAGATCGCTGCGCATTGCAGGCGCAGACCTTCGGGGGCTACCTAGGTGTGGGCTGGGCCTTGGTTGTCGTGTCGTGGTGCACAACTCCGTGGGCCGGGTGAGGTGAGTAATTCCCTTGAAAGAGCACCGGGCTGGGCCGTTCTCGTAATAAATTCCGCTCCATGATGATCGGCTGGCAACGCTCCGGGGAGCCTGGGCGCGGGTGGGAAGCATCGGCTCAGCAAATTGCGGCCACCTGAGTAGTCTGAGGAGTGAAAGCGATAGCTGGCGGCATGCGAGGGGGTGCGTGCGTGGGTGTCGGCCGCTACGTCTACAATGGACGCAGAACGCCCCTGAACTTGTTCAGACACAGCAGACTGACACAAAATGGGACTGAAGTGACAGCGGTCGCACTGCAAGGAAAGAAGTGGAAAAGCAGCACGCCGCCGGTTCCGCCAAGTCTTGGGCTTTTATTTTTGGGGCACCGCGGGGGGCTACTGCGGTACTCTGGACGTAGGCGATCGCCATCCCCTCGCCGCAAGAGAGCCCTCGGGCCACCGCCTGGCCTTCAAGAAGTCGAAAAGCTGCGGCGGCTACTTACGCTCACGCGGCACCTGTGGGAGCTTGGCTTCGTCGCATGGCCAAGGAAACAGTGCCGCAGGTCGTCCATCTAGTGCCCCCGCGGTACTACCTCAAGCACATGGGTCCCCGCGTCGCAAAGATATTGCGCTGCGACATGCGAAAGACGTGGGTGAGGTGGGCAGCGGAGTGAGGCACTGCGCCGGTGGCGGGGCGTTTGCTTGTCGTGGGGTCATGTTTCTGCTTCGGGTTCAATTTATTATCCTTATCTGTTAATGCTGCGGGCGGTGATTTCTCGAGCGTGCGGGCGCATTGCTGGGCTGCCGCCTGCTGGATTCCCTCGGCCTTACTCCGCCTTGCTTTCTTTCTTCGAATATATAGTCATGATTTTGTTGCTATCGGTTCCTTGCCCCTCTCTCTACCTTTTACATGTGATATATATCTTCAATGCTATCTATCACAGACAAAACCACCGCTGACGTTTGGATGTTAGCGATGTTGAAGGCTATGGGGGAGGAAGCTTCGTATGTGAAGGAGAAGAGCACGAAAACTAAGGCTTTCGCGCTGTTGAAGGGTAACCCGGATAAGTTCCGGTTTGGAATTAAGATGAAGGATGATGCGCTGACTCAGGCCAACGCCTACCTGCGAAGCAACGGCCTCTTCCCAGACGATGACTCCGATGATGAAGAGATGGTCTTCGGCGATGACGACTTCCCGAGCTAAGCGATTTTCAGTAGAAGATGAAAAGTTCCAGAGGCCGCGGCTTGTACCATTTGCTACAGGATTCTTCATCAAAAAATAAGTTCGGTTGAAGCATATTAATCAGTATCAGTCTATGCGCAAGCACAAGGACAAAGCACACAACTACATGTAGTTGGGAGAAGGTTCACACTTGAAGATGTACCCTGGTGCAGTGCCACGAGACGCGATTCATTTTACGGAGGAGATTCATTTCATGAAAATTACCATTTGTCATACTTTTACATAAATTATCACAGCATCCTTCGTGATGTTATTTGTCAGTTACCACAGATGGACCTAACACGGTCCGGTCGTTGGTGTCACATAACCATCACTTTTAACTTCAAGTGCTGCGGCACAGAATTACAAACGGTGCCTTCTGCATGAGCACGTTTTGATGCTCTCGCTCTTCGTGCATGAGATATCAAGACTTAGACCCTTACTGCATGTTGACCCGCTTCATTTTGAGATTTTTGAAATACAAAGAACTGAACGTCTCATCGTTTTTCTTTCCAGGAGACAAATTTCAAATTATGAAATTCACGCACACCCACCGGATCGATGGCGATGGTCAGAATATTTGGGTCACAACAAGAACTTCGGTCTTCCAAAAGTTTGCATTTTCTTTGTACAGCCGCCCTTCATTGGGCCACGAAATAGAGTAGAAACAAAGATCGAGCGTTCGTATCGGTCAGTTCTTTTTCCAAAAAATGTCATTTTTGAAGCTTGAGAGGAGACAACTGTGGGTGTATTTTTGAAAAAGATGGAAGATGAAGGTAATTCTATGAATGTATAGAAGATGAGTCGAAAACATGGCCTAGCTTTTCTGAGGAATAGTTAAGAGAAATTACCAGAATATTAGAATGTGAAAAGTAATACCGGCGATCATGTTATTGCTGGGACAACAAGAGCAGGAAACCACACAAAATGATTGTAGGTGTGCTGTAGTACTTTCTCATCTCTCATCAACATCATGACCGTTGAAGAAGCACTCTTTTCCGATCCATCTGGTGCACGCGGAGCAGCGGACTCGGTCCTCTCGATTTGTCCCGCTGGCCGCGAAACGACGCAGGAGGTCGCAGAGTCACCATGCTCGGACGGAAGCAAAAGAACAAATGACTGTCTATTTTCGGAGGAACGAGTGCAGAATGACAGCGACTCTACTGGTGCTGTAGCCGCCGAGTCTGAGACAAGTCCTCCAGGAAAGACCAAGTTTAGCCATCCGGCCTTTCCCCGGGCTTCGTCTTCACGCTTGCTGCACTCGCGCATGGTGCAGATGCTGCGTCGCGGAACGGCGCCTGCAGCTGCACGAAGGCAAAAAAGCAACAGCCAAGCTTCAACATCTTCTAGTGTATATGGATCTTCTTCGTCGAGTTCTGGTGGTCGTGGCGACTTTATTTAAGGCTTACTTACCCTTTTTGTACAAGAACAAATCAATATAGCACTAGTTTGGTGAACCGGTACCCTGGAGCGAACTAGTGGGTGCACATAGCGCGAGAACCGAGCACTTCTCTGAGGCTAGCACAGGCCTCGGCCGCCTCCGATGAGAAGACCTCCGGGGCTGTTGGACGACACGCGGCGGCTAGAATAGATGGATCCTACTTAACATGGCCATTGCTAACATTTCTGTATCTGTACTTCTCTATCCTTTACCTACTATCCTTGCTTTTTCTCTTCCTAGTTAGCTTGGCTCCACCCATAATATAGCACCTACTACCGGGTTACCACTTTATATCTATAGATACATGTTCTGAAGCATCGCATCCTGGGGAGGTTTTTTATGGGGAAAAAGGGTCAAGGTTGTATCTCAGGATGGATTAGGGTGGCATCTAATTGACGAACGTTTCGCGATGGAGTACTGGGTGCCGCTCATCATCAGTCCGGAACGTAAAACAAAGAATAACCGGAATTCCTGAACATGCTCCGATTGTTGCGTGGAAAAATGTCAACATCTGCTATGGTTTATGGATAATTTTGCAAATCATGCTGGGCAAGATTCAAGATAGCGATTCAGATCCAAGTCAGATAGCGATTAACTGTATAATTTTTAATCAAATGCAAAAGTAACGAGAACTCGAGACTAATGATGGCAGCGACATATTAATCTAATCCTCCTCCTCCTGCTTCATATCCAGAGAATAGCACAGTGGCCTCCGATTTGGTCCGCGGGTTGCTAGAGGCATGCTCACGTGCTGCTCGACGAGATCGGAGGGCAACGCTGTCGTCACGAATGTCATCGGCAAGGCAGTCAGCCGCCTCTTCGGAACTACAAGGTTGGCGCCACACGAAGTCCGATAGTAGCCGAACGAGTGGTCTCAGTCGCTTAAGTGAGTCTTAAGGCAACTATAGAAGTAAGTAAGTAAGTAAGTAAGTAAGTAAGTAAGTAAGTAAGTAAGTAAGTAAGTAAGTAAGTAGATGACTCATCTCTCTTGAGTGAGAGCAATACAGTAGGTAGATGATTCATCTTTTTCTCTGATGAGGACGTCCTTGAAAGGTAAAGGTATTTCACTTGTGAAGGAATACGTTCAAGGATTTGCAGTTGAAAGATTAACCTGAATCGATTGCTGGCAGTGGAGTAGTGCTGTCTAAGACACAAATGAATGAAAGAAGTCGACTCTAAGAATCATTGCGCCTGAGGCGAAGCCGAACGCAGAAGATTTATGTCGAGATTCCTGTGCAAGATTTGTTAGTATCCTCGGTTATCAACACGACGAGTGATTCTCCAGGAGCCGCAGAGAAGGACTTGCTGTCACCATCAGAAGACGAAGGCACGACGCGCGAAAACTTGATCAGTAAACGACAAGGGAAGAGCCTTATGGCATGTTATACTAGTGAATATTTATAAGTAACTACAATGTTTTTCTGGCCCTGAATTGCTAACATAACTGGTCTTTATGGGCACTACGGACAGTGTCATCAGGGACACATACATGACATGACATGACATTTTTGTAGGAACGAAGGACGACCTACTTCACAATAATTCCGTGCTTCGTCGTCTACAGATTGACGGAGCCTGGATGGCGTCTAAGTAAATTACTGAGACGCCATCCAGGCTCCATCAGCATCAATCTGTATTACTAATACTAGGACTTTCTCCTTCATCTCCTTTGCTTCTGTATTTTCGGAGACCGCGAGTAGGAAATCGTATGGGGAGAAGACCGAGAGCGTCCTCGTATCCTGCAATCCACGTTTGGTGAGGAGCTGGCAGGATGATGTCGATACCTACGCTGCAATTTCGTTGTTTATTGCGCTAGATGGAGTTGTTGGTATTATAACTAGAGTGATTGGCTAGAAGATGGAGTTGTTGGTATAGAAGCTAGAGTGATAGATTGTAGCTTTTTTTCTAACTCACCTAACTACTTCTACGTATTGCGGTAGAATACGATCACCTTAACTAATGGATTGTAGATACAACATCATAACACCTATAATTATTATACCTAGATTTTTCGGACTTCACGCTTTGGTCGCGCAGCGTTTTATTGCGTGGGAAGGCGTCTTCGCTCTATGTCATTATGGACAAGGAGCGGGAGGCCGAGTGTCGACGTCTGTTTCCTGAGACGGCCAATTTCATGCTTATCGATTCTCCAGCCGTCCGAATGTCTTTCAAAAGTGGCACGAGCTCCGCAATTAGCACTCCCCGGGAATCCTCGAGGACGAATGACGACTTAGCTGTACAATACCCTTTGTATGGCATATTGCAGACCGCTTTGACAGACCTGCTGCGGACAGAGGACCCCAGTCATACTGATTTCGACGGCAGCAGTGCGCAACGTGTAGCGCGGTGTGTTCCGTGCAAGCGCTGCTGTGGGGTTGCGAGTTGATTTCAGCAAGCTGGGGACTTGTTCTTGAGCTCCCTACAGAATGCTTCAACCTCTTTGCACAAACTTCCACGCCCTTTGCAACTGATCTCCCTGTGTGAGTACCTCTTGTTAGGTAAAAAATGAATGAATGAATGAATTTGGAGCTTACTTTTATCGATCATGATCCGTGTAGACTGTTCTTCCACTTACTCTTATGTTGATTGAAATTGCATTAAAAACTACTAAGAGGTATGGCCCTCAACGTTGTTCCTTGATGTAGTAGACGCCTTTTTGCCTCGCTGCTCCTGTTTGTCGTGTGTGTGATTTTTGTTCTTCGAATCATTGGCCCAGCACGCATCGGAGTTGGTACCATACGAAGGACTTGTATAGAAGTATTGTGTATTTTTCTTGCCCAGTTTGACGCTTGTTGACCCTGCATTACTTAGTACGGCTTACATTGTAATAAAGCTAGTATGTTGATTTGAAGTTGATGCGTGTATAATCAGTCAATTGTTGATAAAAGTGAGATCGATTGTATCATGGACCTTCAGGGGATACTGTTGCAGTGAAGAGCAGTTGAGTTATTTGGTATTCGAAGCTGTGTTCATCACGTATGCTCATCCAGACGATTTCGCTGACGGACAGTTTTAATCGGAAGGGAGGCCCATTTGGAATTCCATGTCAACAAGAGCAAGAAAGAGATGTACATACAAGGGAGATGAAGTCGTCGCGATGAGTGAGCTTTTGCTTTTCCCAATGTATATTGATTGACGATAGATTTATCGCAAAGACCCCTTTGATAAACTGTAACCCGATCGTTTCATTTTCTAATGCAAGTAATAATTTTGATTTTCATCTTGAATACGGATTCTGATTCTTGATCTTGATTCAACGAAGTGGAAGAACAACAGAGAGCACGATGTTGCCGTCTTTTGCTCGTGCTGTCTCTCGTCTTGGGGAGGCCGGCTGTCCTTCCTCTGCCTCGTCAGCGCTTGGCACAATATCATCTTCTTGTTCTACTCGATTAAGTGGCTCAGGAGCGGCAATATTCGCTTTCCAGAGATACGATACGAGGGGACCGAAGTGCGTCCTGCCAAAAGACATGATTCAGACTTGGAAACTAGCACCGGGGGACGATGTCAAGGTCCTTTCGGGGAAGGATAAATCGAAAGAAGGCGTTGTTCTCGCTGTGGACAAAAGGAGAAATATGGTCAAGGTATTTTTAATTTTCTTCGTCTGATTTGGGTCAGATGTTATCAATTGATATGGCCCAATTCCAGCAGTTCTTGAGGTGGCCAATACGCTTCCACTATCTAAATGACCTCACCAGGTGAAAGGTTGCAATATGCAGACGTTGAAAAATGACCCCTCACCAGGTGAAAGGTTGCAATATGCAGACGTTGAAAGATAAGGAAGGCAAGAAGGTTCGAGTAGAACGAAAGATTCACTATTCCAACATCAACTTGCTGGATCCAGTAACAAGGGAAGCAACGCGAGTGGGCCTCCATTTTCAGCCGGATGGAGCGATATTTTATGATAGGATGCTGAATGCTGTGTATGTGTTACTGTTAGTAAGTTTCGTGAGTAAAAAATTGTTTCTGATAGTAAGTTTCGTGAGTAAAAAATGATTAATTTTTCCTTGTGGTGTTAGAACTGTCTGAGTCTGTTAGTAACTTGCGTTTCGCAAGTAGACACTAATAGCTACAGAAGATGTACCATGACAGGACATCACAAATGATAAATTGCTTCCGGTTCATCTCCATTAGAACGTTGATCATGAGCAACCAGGAAAAGAAGCCTAACTGACACGCTGTGAAACTACTCAGCGTGAGAAAAGTCCCCTCAAAATTCATCTAATTCCCACGCGTGAGCAAGAAGAGCGGACAAGTAATACCATGGCCAGAGCGACAATTTAAGCGGTTCGATACCGAGATGCAGGTGACACATGAGAAAGTTATGCTGGGATCATTTGAGTGACTTAGACTTAAAATACGTAAGGATCTGTAGATACCTACAACTCATGCTACCAGCTGTTCCAACTTCGGATTATTATGAGATATCGACAACTTCTTGTACAGCAAGTAGAATTTCCAGTTTCACATAGGTTACACTTCCACTACATCAAATTCATGATCAAGAGGAAAACTCTAACAACGACACGGAGCCTGCAGATGCCTTGGAGAAGACGTACTGCTATCATCGCGATGTCCAAGCGTCGCGACTGGCGAGACAGTCCATGACGAAATACAATCATGACACCTAACGATTTGAGGATAGATGAAAATTGAATTACTGAGATGACTGGATTTTGGCGGAACACTAGGATTGTTGCAACGAATTATGAGTTATGACTGTCACACACGCATACAGCTAGACCATAAGGAAAACGACAAGGGCTTGAACGGCTGCTCGTTCTGCTGTGGAGCTGGGTGGCAACCGAAGAGGTCGTGCGATGAGTGGTAAGGAGAGTGTCTCGAACAATCGAAACGTACATAGAGTTTTGTAGCAAAAAATGAGCATTGTTTGTAGAGACAAAAAGCGCACCAACAAAAATGGAAAGAGGGGGAAGTAGCCGGCTTTATTTATTTCATTGCTGAAGAAAAACGCTAGAAGCAAGTAGAAGTAAATTCTTGTTTCGTCGAAACCAACAAAGAATACGAAATGCCACTCTCCAACATGAAGAGCATGTCCACTCGAGCAGCCGCTTTGCGGCGGCGCGTGTCAGAGTACACGTCTGCGGCAAGTCTCAAAGCAGACGCCGCGACAGAGCGGGCGATTCAACTCTTGCACAGTCTGCGTGAGTGGGTTCAGACGAAAACTGCGATCACAAGCGGCGAAGTTCAGCAACCAGAAGGTGTCGATGTGCGAGAAGAAGGAGAAGCAGCACCCGCTGTGCCATCAAAATCAAACTCGACGGTTTCAACACTCGCAGCTCATTTGAAGAGAACGATCGGATCGATTCCGTTTTTCGCATGGCAGATCTCGTTCTTCTACGCACTGCCACAGTTGATTCTGTTGATTATATTGCTAGTGGTTCCCGCGAACAGGGTGACGAATACGTGCTTTGCGCGGCAGTGGTCACCACTGACCTGCGGCGTAAATGGTGTGAACTGCATACTGGATACTTCTGTCTGGACGAGCCGTATGCATGATATATTATATATAAGGCTGCACTGATAGTCTTACTGTTATCTCGTATGGTGCAGACGCTGTGTAGCCTCGTCCCCACATGCACTGCATCCGTTACCTAACCACTAGGCGTCGGGGTCGGCGACGTAGATCATGTGCTATTCTTGTCAGTAGTGCTTGTTGCTGTTTTAGTTTTGGATTGACCGATGCCAGCAATTTGCGTCCTCTTCCTTGTGTAACAGGTCTTCTTCTATAATTGGATGTACTAACTATTTAATCTATGTAATGTAGTCGTCTGTGTTGAACAATGCCACGAGGACCTCCACAAACTTAGTCCCTTCAGCCTCCTTTCTTGACGTTCATGGAAGAGGCTGAGTGGAGGAGTATCTACTGCCGCCAAGGTTGCGGCAGCGTCCTGAGAGGAGGTTGGGATGCTGTGTTTGGCGGCTTACCGAGTTCCGAGGTAAATTTTTCGCGTCAGAGACGACTGCGAGAAGGTGAGGTTGGGATTCATGAGAATGAAGAGCTTCAACCAGCAAAACTACTGAATGCCGATGAGGCCGCGACAATCACTAGAGCTGTGAAATGGATCACTGTCAACTCCTCGTCAGAGGAGGATAGCACAAATCAAGAAACGACTTTCCCTGAGCTGCAGGGGCGTGAAGAGCAAGGTCAATTTTCTCGCATGGTGGAGATCCAAACTACAGGCGATCGACGTCGTATCCAGTCTGTGATAGTCAACCACGAGGACGGACCTTCGTCTTCCGGCGTACAAGTTTTACCCCACGAGGAAGACTCAAGAATATTTTTAACTAGTAATCGAGTGCTAACGTCGTCCGTCAAGGAGGGTTACATTTACTCGGCTCCGAGTCTCTTGTGCCCGTCAGCGGTGCATGCAGGGTTCGTGTCCGACGAGAGCGGAGGCTGTCTCCGCTACAGGACGCATCCTGGATTTCATATCTACTCGCCGAGGAAACGCAATGGTTATACCTCTTCCGAAATGGGCTATTTTCCTGTCGCAGTAGAACTGCGAGCTTGCGACGATCCAGCTGCATGGGCTGGAGGGAAAGTGGGGGACACTGATATGAACAGAAGAAATACTTATTGTTGAACTTGAAATGACCACATGTAAGTAAAAACCGGTTGATTTTCCCTCTTTTTATCCTAGGTTTTTCCCTCCAATCAATAATCACATGTAAGTAACATACCAGACCAACAATGACCGTAGCCACCTATTGCTATATTATAGAAGAGGCACCATGTTGACGATGACATGACAATGATCATAGTCATAGATCATAGATGGATCCTCTCTTTTTCATCATTCCTCGGGTTTATTCTTCTCTTTCATTCAGAAGCCATCGCATGCGGAGGTCCTGACGGCTGTGGAGCCAGTAGCTTTTGCGTGCTTGACCCTGTTCCTCCTTATTGTATGATGCCACTCATTGAGAACGAAGGTATGGGACGAACGTCGTTGCAGCTCAGTAAAAGAAGCCAAAGGGGGTCGGAACGACATTCCCATATCGACATTCTCAATGAGTGGAAGCATTCACTTATGTTGGCTTTGAGCGAGAAAAGTGGTGGCGTTTTTTGCATCACGTCTTGGGTTGCAGGCACAATCCACATTCTGCTCTTCCAAGTGGCTACGGACCTACGGGAGGCTCTAGTAGAACTTCCAACGGTGCTTGCGCAAGCAGTCGCACTTTTGTGGTGCGCCTACTCGATCTGGAATGTTGTCGCGTTCCGACCGAGACGGGAAGCTGTTTCGGCTGACGGTGCAGGTCGTGCAGACCGGGTCGAACCAGCGATGAACGCTGTTGCGGCTGACGGTGCAGGTCGTGCAGACCGGGTCGAGCCTCCGCAGATGCCTCCGGAGTCAGAGAAAGACGAGCCTGAAGGTGATAACAAAGTAGAGAAACAGGAACCTAGTAAACCTCCGGGTGATAACAAACTAAAAACTACTGATGTTGATCTTGATGTTCCTCTTTCGTCATCTTCGAAACCTTCGATCTCGAAACCTCCTTTTCTCGTTCCTGGCGACGTGTACGTTCGAGTCTGCTTTTTGCTGCCTTTTTTGGTCCTAGTTGGATTTTTCCCGGAACTCGATGTTATGGGTTGAAACATTTCATTTCTAGAAGTCATTTTTCAGTGTTTCCACCTCAAGAAGGTGAGAAAATGGAGGCAAGAAATGAATTGCTTCAACCTTTAACGATGATATCGTTCCATTGGGCAGCCTGAATACGAATTTCTTTTCGGACATCCTAATGGAGGGCGGATCTGATTTGCGCTCAGACCTCGACAACGGCTTTGGCGGTACCAGTGAGAACGATGAGGTAGAATTAAGGCTCTCAGTCACCAATTCATACTTGACTGCAGCATCCTTGGAGGAAAGCATGGTGGAGTATCGCAGGGGAGTCAATCTCAATACTCCCCCACACTTAATATTCAAGGATGCAGTACCAGCTGAAGGATGAATCGCGGAGAGCAGCGCTAAGAGAAGGGCGTGCTGGTGAAGAAGAGACTGGAGTCCAGTCACAGGGTAAGGACATCGGAGTCTTGTGGCTTATTTTTCTTTCCGTCACACTGCTGTTCTTGTGCACACTGTGCGCTTGTGCGCGCTCTTTGCGGATGGAAGACTCAGCCTCGCTCTTGCCGGAAAAACTTAGAAACTCATGGTTGATGAGCAAAGTTGTCGGGACCTCGACTGGAGGGTCGTCTGCATCGGGTACTGGGCCAGCTGTAGACCACTCGACGTCGTCTGCCATCATGGACGTTCAGCCTGAAGCTGAACAGCTTGGTGCCTCATCGGAAGTAGATCCGGGAACTACATCTGGGTTTGGCGAGAACAAGGCACCGTCTAGCGTGGCAGCAGGCGGTACTGGAAGAGGCACTGAAGCAGGTGTTGACGGAGCAGATAATGGAAGCAAAATTTCCATGAGCTCCACAACACCTGCATCTTCAAAACTAAAAGACGCACATGACGCAAGTACTAGTACAAGTGTGAATACTACTTCTACAGCTCCTGATGTGAAAAGGCGGCGGTCGCTAGCTCTGCGCACAGTGTTTGCGTATTTTTTGCTGGCACTGTGGGGAATCTTTGTCTTCACGGACAGCGATTTCGCACCGCATTTTCATCATGTGAGTGTCGGGTTACTCTTGCTGCCTTTGGGGCAGTTACCCTTAAGGATTGAAGCATTTCATTCCTCATACAATGTACTTTATTACAATTAGCACATGATATTCATATTGGAGGTCGTTGTATCGAGAGTTGAAATGCTTGACCAAGCTCTAATATCCGGTAGTTGTGTGGGCGCCGCGTGGGGTGGCTTAGGCGCCGGTCTGTTCCTCGACGGCTTGTTACGTTGGGGCTTCGAACCCAATGGGTCGCTCAGCACCGACCAGGCAGCGACCGCAGACCCCATTAGCATCGCTATCGGTACTGATGCACCAGCTGCAACTCCTGCGGCTGCAGCAAGCGCTACTCCAACGACAACCACTGTGGCGCCCTCTCTATCAGGCAATACGACTGCAAATTCATCATCGAACGCGACAACTGCTTCTCCGACACCTCTGAACGCGACCACGAATAGCACAACGACTTTCATTCCCGTAGCAACAACATTGACTTAAGGCTTCCCCATTTTATATCTTCATGATCTCATTAAGATTAAGTAGAAGCCTGCATCTTTGATGTCTTTCCTGCAAAGGTAAGATGGTCAAAAATGCGCTCTCGGATGAAGATCGGGAAGCAGCTCCAATTAACGCCCACCACATCCACTAGCACCACCACTGCAGCGGCTCCAAAGTTCCTTTTGATCACCATACCCGCGATTCCTCAACCCTATGACGCAGTAGGGGTATACGTGAACGGGCTATGGAGAGGATTCATTCGCAGGTGGGCCGCTGGACAAGATCGCGCGATGATTATCATACTTATGCATGGGTAACGTCAAGCACACGAAGAGGAACCCATGATGTTTTCGAACTTTTGGAACACGTTTTGCTTTTGGCTAAGAACTTGAGTTTCTTCATGAGAAATGACTTGTTGCTTCTACTTAAATCTAATAGAAGCGGAGGTGTCACAGATGGGTACACGCATACCGTATCTCTCGGCAACGTGGAATTGATGAATCCGCGGAAATCGGGACCGGTCTTTATGGATAAATGGACTACAACTACACAGATCCGCTTGTAGCTTGATGATATCGTATTAAATCTGGACATTTGTGGTCAAGTAGAAAAGCTAAAGCTTTACAGCCTACTCCTCCTGGAAGAGATTTTACGTTCTCCCCAGTATACTCGTCCTTATCTTATTCGAAATACCTTCATTGCTTTCGCTCCACCTTCGCGCGGCCTCAAATTCGTCGTAGAAGCATGAGGAGTGGTCCGGCCTGCATGCGAAGTACAACTTAGACCTACTTCTACCTACTTAGTCGAAAAAGACGGATAATGTGATCATCAGATTGATGACCTTCGCATTCCAGTGGAAGTTGTCATTTTTCTATGTCGTCGTCCCGTAGCCCATTCTCAGGCGCGCTACTTTGCCTCCGGCAATAAATCTGTACAGTCTAGTTGTGTCGCCTGAGAAACGCCAAAGCAGCATGAATGTAATTCAAATGCGAGGATAGTTGCACACTAAGCTGGTGTGGGGATATACTCGAAATGGATCGTGTAAAAATGATAATAGGACACAGTCCCCCGTTGCCACGTCGCCTGCCCACAACTGCACCTAGGTGTACCAGGCAGCTCGGCAGCGGTATGCCCTCTAATCGCGCGTGATGTGTTCTTGTAAAATTTCGTGATTGAGATCGCTTCATCTCTCTATAACCGGTTGTTTCGTGTAGTTGATGTTGCCTTGATCCTTCAAGCCAGCGGGAGGTGCCTGAAGGGCAGAATCTTCGCCCGAGCCGCGAACTAGCGAAAAAGAAACCTCGCATTTACCACTGTGCAATTGAATTCACATTTACCATTGCGAATGTGAATATGTAGTCCTGATCGCAACGTTCCTTTGCTCTACATTTAGAATGCATCATCCCCAGTTCATGGTATCAGGTTGTATCTCTCGTTATCGTGGGTTCTCCATACTGATGCGTTCTCGATTCGCCCGCGAAGAGAAACGATCATTGTAGTACGTGTGTCTTTTTCTACCAGGCCTTGGGGCGGGGGGCGTGTGCATCGTTATTGGCCTCTAGGGGAAGCAAATAATGTCACGAAATTTCAGTACGAGTAGATACCTGCATCACCGCATTCTAGAATTCCCTACGAAATGTATCCTTTGCTTGGCATTTTGAATATGAAATCATGGATGTACTAGTTCTTTAGACGAGCAGCGCCATCAAAAATCTAACCACGCATTTAGAAGTTTTTACTTTATTGATGAATAACAAATTAAAAATAGTTTCAGTTTGATCTTGCCGATGTCTCCATCGTTTCCGTTGTAACTGATTCTGACGTCTTAACGGACAGGAAGAGATAGCTTGCTTTGTCTATCTCTTTCATGGACAAGAGACGACGGATCTGCGAGTACCGCAGAACAACTACCAGAACAACAACAAGCACTGAACAGAGAAGCTGCAAAAAGGATGAACCTGAACGTGACTGGGTTCGCGGGCAAACTTGGTGTCCTCAACGGCGTCTATGGTGCACAAGGGGCGAACCATGGCCGTACCAAGTACCACAAGAGCCTCCCTGTCGCGACGTCGACTGGTGAGGGAATGCCCCACACAGCCTGTATATACTACTGGGATGAGCGAGATGGTGAGGACATGTCTGGCTGGTGGATTGCGCCGGTCGTTGGTGGCGAACAGGTTTCTCATTTATCCTTTATCTTTAGGGTTATCAGCGACCAGGACAGAAGTTCTGAACAACTTTTAACACATAATAGACATGTAGGAGGATGATCTCGTCACATGATGTTTTGGAACAATTCTAATGTTCTTTAACAAACCTCTATTTGTTTCTCACTGTCACTGATTGATATCTATTATATCTTCACGATTACCTTGTTCATGTGCATGATGTTCGAGTTGATGAATTGATGAGATAAATTGTTCTTGTTTTGTATAATCTTTTATCAGGTCTGGGCGCACTGCTTCTCGAAGTCTCACATGCCACCACGCACTGGGTGGAAAGCGCCGTGGCACTCACAGGAAGTGGATCCGAACATCGTGATGGAACTTGACAGGAACCCCGCGACAGCTGCGGTACTAGATATTTGATTTTTTATATGTTGATCTTGATCATCAATGATGTATAATTGTTGTTTGAGTTTGCGTGAACAAGATTCTCTCCCGATTTTGATGAAGATGAAAGAAATGTTGGTTCTTTGTTACTGTCAATCATGACTCCTGATCTTCAAAGAAAAGCAAAAAAACTTTCCTTGTCTGTCACGCCATGATCGATAGCTTTTTTCTTCTGCACTAACAGCCTGCAACGCAAGGGGGCGCTTCCGCAGGCGTCCCAGCGGCCTCTGCGATGCAGAAGCAGATGGAACAACAGACTGCCATGCAGCAACAGATGACACAGCAATACAACATGATGCAGCAATGGGGTCAGCAATATCAGCATATGATGGGTGCCGCCACCGGAGGCCAACAGCAGCAACAAGTTGCAGCTGCATATAACCAGTACATGAACAACGCAAATACCGCTGCCGCGATGGGGGCCGCTGCTGGTGCTCAGCCTCAGGCTGGCATGCAGCAAGGCGGCAATAACATGGCTTCTGCTGGTGGTGCGAATGCGAATACTGGAGGACAGCAGCGACCCAACCCCTACCTGAACTACGGCGGCAATACCGGCACTGCTGCCTACGGAGGTTCGAATAATGTGATGATGAATCAGACAGGAGCCGGAGGCAGTAGTGTCAGCAGCGGCGCCGGCAACAACGCGGCTCCGATGATGATGGGCGGCGGGGGCATGCAAGGCGCGTCCGGCAATAACCGTGGCAACAGTAACATGATGGGGGCATCCAATGTTGCTGGTGGCGTTGCAGCACAGTATGGAGGAAATAATAATGCTCAGGCTCAGTATGGAGGCGGAAACAACAACATGATGGCGCCTGGAGGCAACACCGCTCAACAAATGAACAACGCACAGGGTATGATGGGTGCGAACGCGAATCAGCAATGGCAATCTTACGCGGGAAGCAACATGGGCCCAGGCCAACAAGCAGGCCATTCTGGAGGCGGGAGCCAACAAGCGGGAGGCTTCTACAATCAAAACGGGAGGCAGCAGCAGATGCAGAGCGGTGGAGGTAAGAAAGGTGGCGGACAGCAGCATGGAGGCGGCGGGTACCATGGCGGACCTTCGCCGACCACCATGCCTCAACACAACAAGAATAAGGGACAACCGCCTGTTCTATCGCCCAACATGGCGCCGTTCGGTACTACGGATAGTTCGTGGCATGTAGATGGAGGAGGAGGTACCGACAACTCTCGCAAGCCTGGCATGTTCGCTGCGGGTGGCAATAGCACGAATCGTAATCCTATGGGAGGTCAACAGCGCGGAGGAGGTAACCAGAGAGGGGGCGGCAAGAACTCTGCGAAAGGAGGCGGAGCTGGTGGCAACAAGCAAGGAGGTTCGTTCGGCGACCGCGGTCGAGGAAAGTCAGAGAGCATGAGCATCGGCAGACCAACTGACAACATGACTCCAGCCTCTAGTATGTCGACATTTCCTGGCAGTGTCTCTACTCCTTCTTCTACCATGTCCACCTCTGCCATGGGGACGATGGGAGGTGGAGGACAGCATCAACAGCAGAATATGCGTGGTGGAAACAAGAAGGGCGGCGGCAACAACAAGAACAAACCGGGGGGAGCCCAAAAAGGCGGCGGCGGCGGCAGACAAGACGGAGGAGCAAATCCGAATCAAATTCCTTTGCGCGGTCCGAATCAAGTTCCTTCGGTCGGAGCTGGAGGCGCGCCTCAACAAGGTGGAGTGATGCGGCCCCCTCTGAAACGTGTGGGGGGTGGAATGCAACACTTTCCGCAGAATGGACAAATCACTGGAGAAGATGACACCCAGCAAGAGGGAGGATTCAACGGTGGTCGCCCAGTCAAATCGCAGCGTTTAGATCAAGCAGTAGGCAGAGGACCGGCTTCACAAATGTATTTTTTTTCTTAATATAGTTCTTCATACCTGTTTTATATCTATATGAATTGTATACCTGTTTAATATCTATAGATATCATTTTTAGCAGACTTCTATTGGGATTACCAGAATACTTACATCTCTATCTCTTATTTATTCTACACTTCTAGCCATCTACTTCTACTTTACGAGAAGTCTAAGCCTCCTGCATCAGGTCGAATATATCTCCCGAAGAGACGGAAAAAGAGGTCGAGGCCGTGCAGAAGGAGGTGGACCGATTGACCGAAAGCATTCGCTACTGGAGAGAAGTGGTTTCTGTCACAGCCGCTTCAGTTTTAGGGGATGCGTCAGCAGGAGCAGGGGCATCCGTGAACCCTTTTGGCGACGTCTCATCAACGACAGCGACGAGCGGAGAAGATGCTATGTCAACAAAGGTAACAGATCATGACACGGCATTTGACCCGACCAACCCGCTTAATTCCGAGAAAACTCCTGGAGGGAGCGAGCGAAAGAAACCGAAGAAATATGCCACGCTGTTTGGCATGGACTTTAAGCGGGAATTCGATCGCGCAGGAGGAGTTGCGAAGGCACTAGAAAAGCAGGTTTCCGCAAGATTGAAGCGTTTTCAGGCCAGAGCTGGGCCGACCGGAGAGGAAAAGCTTGCTCCTCTTCAAGAAGCGTTAGATGCATGCGCAGAACAGATGACGAAGACCGAGGTAACTAATACCCACACTATAATACGTATAAATTAAAAGTCAGCTCTGACTCGCACTCATATGGGTTTGAGGTCTAAGTAGTAAATCCACGGATGAAGACCACGTTCTCTATGTAGTTGATGATACAACTGGGAGTGATGAAATCAAACGCAAACACTTCATCAAAACTAGGAAGCGTATCGGTCTTGCATGAAGAAAGAAGGAGCGGAGCTAGTCAGAATGTGGATGGCGGAAGAGCACATGGCTAATGTCGACGATTTCCAAGAAAACTGGGATGGTGTGAAGGAGGAAGTCGCTGCCGCAATCGGCGGTTCTGATGACCAAACTGTGCGGAATGCGCCACTTGATGAAGATGGCGCGAAATCGCTACTTGGTAGTCATATAGATATAATATCACTTCCTCTCCCACTATCGTACTAACTAGAATTTCATGTCATGTAGGCGTGTTCTGAAAGAAATATTTCGGAGGTACTAGAAATGATCCATCTGATCACGGTCGCTAAAACGGAAGCCTCCATTACAAAACTCGACGCCCTTATGGCAGTCTGCACTGAACTTTGTGCGAGATTCATTGTATTGCATTGTATTGTATTGTAACTACATCAACAGCTGCAGAAGCTCGACTTTTCGAACGCATGGATAACGTTTTTCCGGCGCTCCAGACATTCAAGGATGTATTGCTGCGTCTGGAAATGGCCGCACGAAGTGATTTGGAGATCTTGGACGATGACCTGCTCATTCCAGACGAGATGCTGCCACCAATGGTCGTAGTCCCTGATTTGCCACCGTTTGATGCTGAAAACGAGGACGCTGAGGATTTAATGGAGGACGGAACTGAATTTTCTGTTATGATTGGACACTAATATTGCTTCGATTTTCTCTTGTTGTAATTGTAGACTCTGAAGACCTTGGTTCTGATCGTGATGTTGTAGTTGATTACATATGCTCAGTGAAATTTTTCATCATGATGTTAATGCTTTTGCTTAGTCATTGTTATGATTCATGATGCCATATCATCTAATCTTGAAGCTGAGAAGGCTGAGCGGCTCCAGCAGAAGAAGAAGGAACGAGCGCAGCAAGAGCGGGACCACGCAGCCGAGAAAGCGCGGGCCGATTTTGCAAATGGACAGCGACGAAAGATCTCTGTCTTGATCGACCGGAGGAAGCTTCTCGCTCTACGACAGCGAAGTGGCGAGCAGGAGCGCTTGTTCAAAGCTGTGCGTCACAGGGCTACCATGCGCGTATCACGCGCAAAGGAGTTAACTTCGCGCATTGAGAAGCAGAAGCGCGAAGAGCAGGAAGAAGAAGAAGTTCGTGCCATTTACAGTGAGGCGCTTGCGATTTCCTTGGCATCAGAAATCGCGCTTCGCGAAGTCGCACGTGCTCCGCATAAGGGGTCCGCAGCCCCCGCTACATCACCACGAGGAACCGAGACCACGACTGCGGAGGAGAATAAAAACAACTCTGCGGTTACTGAAAAACCTTCAACACCTGCATCAGGTTCCGAGAAGAACAAGAACAAGACGGCTCCATTAACAGCGTTGCTCCCGCTGCCGGGCGTGTCGCTTGAAGAGTTTGCTCGTGTGGAGGCAAAGCTGGTTGGCTACTACAATCGCATTGATGGGCTCATCGCGCAAGAGACTGAGCGCAATGAAAGCTCTAAAGCAAAGGGTATTTCCAACAGTACAGCAGCCGCGGATCGTTCTTCATCAATCGCTACTGCTTCTGGGGAAAACAAGGTTGACCAGCAAGAAGAGGCGGCGAAGAAACCTTTGCCACCCCGCGGCGCCGCGAGCTCGATTTGGCTGATGCAAGGTCTGCGATCTTGTGCTGGACGCATTCGAAACGCCATCAAGGTACTGGACCGATGGAACGCCACGCGTGAAGAGACGAAGAGATTTGATGAGCTACTCGCGCATCTGCACATCGCGCACGCTATACAGAGCTTTGCTTGCGGGGATCTGGAAGGAGCTTTCAAAGAGGTGATAAATATGTTTTTTCAATTACTTAGGGGATCTGCAAGGAGCTTTCAAAGAGGTGATATATCTTTTTTCAATTACTTAAGCAATCTTCCGTGTTCATCTTATCATTAAGTCTTACAGGTTCATCTTATTATTAATATTCCGCGTTCATGATACAACTGAAGATCCACAAGAACCTAACCTAACCTAAGATCACCATGTCTGTCTGCTCAGCGGCTCCTGTTTCCACTTAATTTTGATTTTCAATCTCACAGAGCGGCGTGGCAGGAATGAACTTCGAGCAGCTGCAGCTTTGGCTTATCGATTCCGTGCACTGTGATGCTAAAAAAGTGAAGTTGGCCTTACCTGGGTTGTTTCTGCGAGCCACACGCAATAACAACATGCTTCCGCAGCAGGAAGACGGGAGACTTTCGTGCAGTCAATTTAGCCTGTGCATCGGCCGCTGCTTCGTCGTAGCGACACAAAACGGCTTCGTCTGCGCTGAGAGCGAGGACGTCGCACCGAAAATTGGCGAGGACCGACAAAAGCGCAGAGTGCAAGCCAACGATGTGTTCGAGCTGATCAGCGACACCACGGACCACGCAACCGAAGAGCGTGGGAGTTCGAGCATCACGCACCTCAGAGCCAACGCAAAACGAGTTTCAGTATTACTTATTTACAAATTCATTGTCAATACTAAAATACTACTGGTTGTTCCTTATTTACAAACTGTAACCCTTGATTCACTCTTTACACCTTGATTCTTTTACAAGTCCTAATCAATAGTAATTTCTGTGACTTATTTACAAACTGTAAATTGGAGGGAATTTGGTTTATTTGCATTCCTTGGTACTTATGTGTATGTGCTGCTGCTCGTCCTTCTCGTAAGTACATTCTATCTGATGTTGTGAACTTGATTGTGATCAAAAAATGAATGGGATCTCATCTGTCGCGTAGTTTGAAAGATTTTTTGAAGAAGTGCAACTCGATTTATTGATTTCTCTTCATCTACTCCAGAACGGAGACCGTGTCGCCGAAGGATGGATCACGCTGCAGACCCAAGTCGTGAATGACGGAAATTGTACGACGTTGGTCGAAAGCTTTGATCCGCTCTTTAAGATTGCCGAGGCAACGGTGCTGACCGATGCGGTGTCAATTACGGACAGCAACAAGAAAATGATGCGGCGCATGCGTGTTGGTGAACGCGCTCTCGCGATCGATGCCCCTCAATTGGACGAATCAAGCGGCATGCTTCGCTTGCAAGTGGTCGTTCCTGCAGAGAAAAAGGATGCCTCCTCTTTGGAGAAAAAGGACAGTGGAGCGTCCCCAAATTTGGGTAGTGAGGCGGAAGGAGAATCTGGCGCGGCCGCACCAGCGAAGAAAGAGGTGCTGGAAAAGGGCTGGATCACGGTAAGGGATCGAAATAAGACGTACATGCAGAACGTAGCCTGTGCAGAGGAGCTCACGAAAAAGCAGAAGCAACATGAAGCATGGACCTGCAAGGACAGACCCACACAGGAAGTTGTTCCAGAAGAGGTCGACGCATCTCTGACGTCCATTTTGGACGACCTGCGCACAGAACTGCAGCCCAAACTTGCGGCAATCAAGAAGGAGCTTCCGGAGGTACAAAATCAAAAGTTTATGTTTTCCAATTTTTACGTTGTTTCACTCGGTTTTTGATAATTTCGATAATAGTATTATATTTTCTAGCTCAGTTTAATTGTCTAACTCCTTTCTCTTATTACCAATCAAACACTTGTAGGACAACCCAACTACCACCACCTTATGGAACACAAATAAAAAATGACCTCTCGACCATCACAGCCTGTCACTTTGTGACTCAAGCACTTGAAGTAAAAAGTCTAGTGCTCTGGCTCCTTGATATATTTTTTTGTTTCAATACAAGATTATTAGCGACCACTTGGTCTTCTTCGGTTCAAAATCATTGTTGGTTTCGTTTTTTTGCACAGATACTTTTCTATATCTACTAACTTCTTAGAAGCACAATAATTCAAGAAAAATCTGATTAGTACAATTCAAGAAAAATGATCTGATTCCACCACGACCTTCACATCTTTGTGCATTAGGTTCGCCGCGTGGTGTCTGAGCTGGAGGCAATGCACAATCGATCGCAGCCATTGTACGAGGCTGAGGGGGCGTTGTTGACTTCGGATGATCCGTTCAACGTACCTATGCAGAGCGAAGGCGTGCCGACTGAAGAGGAGCTTACGCAGATAATTGAGCGCGGTGATGCGTATGCGAAATCGAGTGATGGTGGCCTTCGCGCGAAGCTGGCGGAAGCCAGACGTCTAATCGAGGCGCGTGGCCGCGAGTTTCGGGATATCGCACTTCCAGCAACCCTGCTCAGTCGAGTGCCCAATTACGATATGCGCACACGCAATCTGACGCTCGGAAGCGGAGAAGTGCTGAAAAGGTCGCTTGTGGAAGTGAAGAGGTTTGTTCCTCCAACGCGGACGGCTTCAGCAGAAGAAGACCAGATCATGAATGTCGAGGATACTAATGCTGAGGGCACGAGTGCTGCTGGTGGTGATGCAAGTGAAGGTGCCGCGATGGACATGGAGGCAGCTCCGCCAGCCGGTGTTAGCGATGATCCTGCAGATCAAGGTGGCGACGCTACCATGGAAGGAGGAGATGGAGTAGAAAAAGATCAGGGTGATGCAGGAGGCAACGAAAACAAGAAAGATGATCCGGTGGTAGAAGCCGCTAATGGAGACAAGGATGCTGATAAAAATAAGCCAGAAGACAAAAGCAGCAGGCTGCCAAGCACGACTGGGTCAAGCAAAAAGCAGGAACCGACGCCACCCAGTGGTGCAACAGTTCTGAGTTTTGACGAACTCTTGACCCTATCAGCAGTTCAGCGTCTTCGAGCTTTGTTTGACTTAGAACTGCGGACAGATCTCAATGTCCTGCATTTCGAAGTCACAAGTGTGCAACAAGATCTGGAAGCCCTCTCAGCACCTTTGCGTACGATTCAACAGAAACTCTTAGCCGAGAAAGAGGAGCAAAGCCTGGCGGAGGTACTGCGACTTGTTGTTGTGTTGTTCTTGAAAGCCACATTTAGAAGATTTACCACATTTTATTCAAGCTTGAAGATTATGTTTTTGTTTAAGTAGGTGGGGTGCTTCTACATTTCTTTGAGTTTGAGTAACAATTAAAAGAACAATTATACTTCATAGAACTGAATTTGATGACCACCCTTCAGTTGTGCGACAAGGGTATGACGGAGTTGCTGTGCAAAGAGGAGGAAATGGGAATGTGCGAGGGTCGATTGGCTACCTCAGCCGAGGCCTTGCTGCGATTCCCAGAGCTTTCTCTGGAAGACGCGTGCCCCAGAGTGGACGACTACAATGCCATCGCCCAGGAGCTCAACGCGCTAGCAATGGACGGCATGACATGGGTGCAAAATCTGAGCATCGACCTCCGTGCCTTGACAAAGCATGCCCAGGTCCGCGTGATGCTCCGCGCTGAGCGAAAAAAGGCCGCTGCAGCTGCAGCAGGTAGAAGAGGTGCTCCTCCTGTGGTTGGGGGCACCAGTGTCCTTGGAGCTGTTGGAGGAAATCTGGCTCCTTCTGCCGAAGAGGACATCAGCATGGCTGTCGACGTTGCGGAAGTAGAGCAAATGGTTGACGGAAGCTCTTCCTCTACTGCGCAGCTGCAGCAGGAGGACGAGGCCCGCGACGCGGATGCCTCGATGCGCGAGTTGCTGAGACGATGCGGCGTCTTTCGATTGCGAGTGAACAAAGCGATGGGCCAGGCGAAGGTTGCGCAAAAAAAAGTCCTAGATGCTGAAGTCCTCTTGGTTTTGCGTGCGAAGGACGCCATGGCAGCGCATTTTGCCGCTTTCTCCGACGAAGCGGTTCGATCGCTGGAAACGGAGTCGCTTGTGAGCCACCGAGCAGTCGTTTCTCTGGCCGAGTTGGACAACCTGCTCGATGGTGGAAAGAAGGCTCCTGACCAAGCAACTTCTTCAACTGCAGAAGCTGCTGCAGACAGCGCAGCTATCGCAAAAGAGAACTGCGCTCACGACATGGACGTCGAGGACGGATCCGCACCCGCGGCAGAGAGCTCGGCTGCAGCTGCAAAAAAAGGCGAGAACGTGCGGCCATGGTGGCTTTCCACCGCAGGCGATCGCGGAGCATACTCTGCCGCCGCGATGGGCACAATCCTACGCAACGCGCCTCCAAAGAAGACCAGCGGTAGCACACCAAAGAAGTCCGCAACGCCGAAGAAAACGACGACACCGAATGCCAAGGATACAGCTAAAGCAGATGCCGTCGCTGAAAAGAAATCTGCGGACATTGTCGACAAAAAGGCTTCTTCAGGTGATGAAGCGCAAAAAAGTGAGGATATTGACGCAAAGCAAGACGAAGCTGGAGGTGCCTCAGAAGGTGCCATGAAAGAAGAAGGTGCAGCAGCAGAAAAGGAGTGCGCCGACGCAACCAACAACGACAAAGTTAGCACCGATGTCGATGAAGAGCAGAAAAGCAAGAGCGCTCCTGCGGCAGACGAAACAGCGCAAAAGGATAGTGAGGCGGGAGCTTCACCCGACATAGCGGACACCCCCAAAAGTGCGGAAAAAGCGAAAAATCGCACATCAACGGGAAGCGCAAAGAACAAGGATAAAACAACTGCAGGTGACGAAGTTGAACAAGTAGCTAAAGATACAGCCAGTCCACAAAAACAAGCTGCCAGTTCAGTAGATCATGGTGAGGTTTCAGCAGAGGCAGACGAAGGCGCCCTCCATCCAACCGTTGCTAGTCATGCGGCGATTATTACCGCTGACGCATTGGTGAAATACTTGGACGAGAATGGCGTTCCCTGCGTGCATCGTCTCGTCCGGAAGGCTCTAGAAAAAGTCGGCGGAAGTGCAGAGCGAATCTCTCTACACGCTTTCAAGACCTATCTTGCCTCCGCGTTTTACCGCTGCATTGCTCCAACACCTCTCACGGAGGGGTCGGAAATTGCAAGTATTCTTATAAATTACTTGCTTGAGTAGAGGTTTACGGATCTAACTACATCAGATTTGAGCTGCTAGTCCACTCACATTACTTCACCGACAGTTGTTTATTGACTCTGCGCTCCCTCAGATGCGCGTTATTATAGCCACCAGATGAAGTTTCCACCTAGACTTCTTCTCACTCAAAATCTTCAATCAACTACAACCATAGATTTGCGCAGAGTTAGACCTGTGAAAGTTGGGGAGACGGTTCAGATGTGGGAGAAGCAAATAGAGAGTTCGGTCGGCGTGCAGAGAGGCCGCGTTACCTGTCTGGAGGATGCGGCACAAGGATGGGTCACCATTCAGGGCAACGCTGGCAAAAATTTCTTCGATGCATACAGCACACCCATTTTCCAGGTACTCAATGAATGGAAATATCTTTTTGATTTTGGTTCTACCTCTACCTCTACCATTACAGAAGGTTAAAAATTATTGCAACGAACTGAACTGCAACAAGAAGAACAAGAATTGATTCTAAAAATTTTTTCAATGTCTTCAGTCGTCCATTTTTCACAGATTCGAAGCGGAGTGCAGCCCACGGTGAGTTTCGAGTCGACTTCAGCCGAGAGCGGTTGCCGTCTGTTTGGTGGCGATTACGTTCAGTTGCTGGAGTTACCGAAGTTGGAAAAGACCACGCGCAGAATCCGTGCACCCTTTGTGAGGTTAATGCCACTGGTGCCAGAGGACCAAGCAGATGCTACGGCGAAGCCATCAACCGAAGCAGATGGAAATAAATCTGCTAGTGGTGCCACTTCATCTAGTGTAAGCAATGCGGGTGAAGAACAAAGTGATGCTAGTACAACAAAGGCAGCACCAGTAGCCTCTTCTTCGACGCAGATGGTGAAGGGAACAATAGGAACCGAAGCCTCACCATCAACTGCTCCACCAGGGAAAGAAGTGAAAGCACCCGAGACCGGTTATATCACGCTTTTCGAGGGCAGCGATGTCCAAGGCAGCAGTGTTGGAATGTTCGTCAATTATCCGCAGGCTGCAGCGCTTGCCGTGCAAGAAGGGAGGCGAGGGAATCGTGGAGTAGGAATGAACCCAGTGTCAAACCTGTACAACAGCATCAATCCAGGCATGGGCGCGACTTCCTCCTCTTCACCGAGTACTAGTTCTAGGGTGAATCCTAAAAATACTTCTATGGGTGGAGGTGCTGCTGGAGGAAATAAGAGAGGCACTCCTAATATTAGCGGAGGTATGAACAACCACGGAGGTGGAGGTCAGCAACAGCCACCGAACATGTTGAACCGCATCACGACGCGGCACGTTATCGCAGCCCGTAATCACTTGCAGAACCAGTCTCAGCAATTCCACCAAGGTGGGAGTTCGTTACAACAACATCAAAGCGGTGGCCATCAGAGAGGAGGTCACATGGTACCGCTTCACCAGGGTCTTCCGCCCGTGTCGCAAAGGACCCAGATGATCGGGCCTCCGCCAACTTCTATTAAGCTTACAAGAATAAATCCATCCGATTCCTATCCAACACCTCATCTTGGTTCCGTTTTTAAAGGGAAAATAAAGGGGCCAGGATGCTGCTACGGATGGATTTCTCTTACATTTCTAATTCTAGAGGAGGTGGGGGTGGTCCTCAACAACGCGGTGGGCCTTATAATAGACGAGGAGGCGGCAGAAGGTGACTTCTGATATTTTAGAATATATATTCACGTTCACTCATGTCAGTAATCTTCACGTTCTCACGCAGCATTCTTCCATTGAGCCTTCCAGCACCACCTAGAAGGAGCAGCAGCCAGTGCTCCATTTTCAAGTGCTGCGTATTCAGTACCTTGGACCTTTCCTCGAGGCAAGCGCACACCTTGTACTTACTCATAAATATGAACACAAATAAGAGCGCCAGGGGCAACTGCAACTCAGTGAATACCTAAGATGAGCATTCCAATCTGAGTCCTAGCGGAGGACCTAGAACACCCCACATATAAGCTACTACGTTGCACCCTGGCTCGATTGATCGTGTTAGTTAGTGTAGGTGTACGCCCATGAACCCATGAACCCTACCCATCGACATGTTGAACATATATTTATAATTACTCATTATCCTGCCTGTTTCTGTCCATTTATGGTTTGCTCTAGCAGTTCCATTGAAGTCTAGACATTTTGTTAACAAGAAGAGAACCCTTATGATCAAATTCAGGCTACCAAATACCAGAACCATACAAAGTATTCATAACCCCATTATAATGGACGACTACCCTTCTCTCGGTGCCAGTTGTAAACCCCGTACAACACAACTTGGACTTCATGTGCTCTTCCAGGCTCTTCATTTCGGAGAATTATACATGACCAGACATGGTTTCAAAGTTATCACAACATATGTCATCGCAAAGCACCTGCCTCCGCATATTGAAGAAAATCAAGAACTAATATACTAGAACACTTCGTAAGAGGGATGTTGGATGGCATGGATTGCATGGCATGGCATGCATTGCATGAGCCGAGGGGATCAGTATACGAGCTCCGTAAGGGAGCGACACGGGGGCGAAGACTCAGGGCGCGACATAGGGGGGCCACCGCGTTGCTGTCTGTTTTGCTTCTTGCGTTTGTCCTTGCGCAGCCCGCCTTCCTCATCTTTAGCCACCCCCTTCGCAGCGCCGCTGGAGCATGCAGAGCGCCTGGCGCCTGTCCGCGCTCGTTGTAGGGGTATCTGAATAGTGCGCCTGGCAGGTCCTATCTATTGTAAGTAGCTCGACTAGGCTAGCTTGCCTGGGATCTCGACCGCCTTGCTCACTGTTCCCTGGCGCACACAGGCCACGGCGTTCGCGCTGCTCCTTGCTTGTGTCTGGGGCGGGGTCGCAGTCAGTGTGGCTGTGGGCTGTGTTCGTGTTCGTGTATCGTAAAGTAATTCTTCGGCGGAGCAGCCCGGTACTGCGGAGGAAGTATGGCGCCCGAAGGGCGCCGCGAAAAATTTATTGTTTTTGGGGTGGTCCATCCATGCCATGCATGCCATCCACGCAATGCAATCCAGAAGCTCAGAAGTTGCTTTTTATTCTAATATACTCATTTGATGGACTTCTTGATGTGTCTTTTCATTCAACATACGTGGTGAAGTCTAGCTTACAACTGAGGAGCCCTCAAACAGTCTCGTTCAGGGAGAAGAACTGGCATTTTTTGATGTAAAAACTCGAGTTCCGAACTTACTTTTTTCCTAGAAAAACAAATACAAGAAACACCTCGTCTCATGTGATTACCCTTAGTACAAGTTGTACTACCCAACATCGTTCGCTGTACCGTCAGCGACAGTGATAGTAGACCTCCGCGCAAGGATGCTGTTTCTTCATGTTCCACAACCGGCAACGGCACGCTGTGCAAAGTAAGACGCTCTCTCTCAAGCAATGACACTCCTCGTGATAGCGGTGGCAGCATAATATGAAATCAAGAATACTGAGTGGAACGATATGAGAGGAAAACACGCAAATTACAGAGTTCATAACAAAAATCAAAATGCATGTAGCATGCACATGCAGCAGGAAAAAAATACTGAAGACTAATTTTTTCGCATCACTATCCAAGAGCAGACATGAAACTTTCAGTGAGTGACTTTCTTCTCAATATATCGCAATCCAAAAAATGCGGACGATCGAATTCGAAGTTGCATAAAACCAAGAATAAGCATGTTATATTCGAAGCCATCAATGAAGATCTTTACAACGAATCATCGCAAGCAGTAGCTGACGCTCACAGACCGAAGGTCGAAGCCTAGGAGATGGCTCCCGTGGTTGCGCAGGGCGTTGCCGTTGGTGCAGCAGCGGCATGGGCTGTTCGACAGCTAGCCTCTCGGCATTGGCTCTCCGAAGCTGACATCGATGCTCGCGGGGCTGGCGATTCTACGGGAAACGGAGGTGGTGGTAATGTTAAGAAATAGCGGAGATAGACGAAGACAAACAAGAATTATTGTTCGAGTCCGATGGTACTTTTACTGTCTTAAAATGTACTAGTAGGACAAGTACATTGGGAATCGACATTGAGATTGAATGACTTACCAACGTCTAAGAACCGGAGGACATCAACTGCCTTGAAGCAAGAGGCGCTACTCCGCGATCGGTTCGCAGTCGTGACCGGCGGGAGTGAGGGCATCGGATTTGAAACAGTGCGGCTGCTAGCGCAGCGCGGTGCCATAGTAGCAGTAGGCAGTCGCGACCCCTACAAGGCTGCAAACGCGAAGCTCCTACTTCTTTCACGCCTAGCAGCTTCAGTGCATCCAGCTACGCGGGACATCGAAATTGCCGACGAGAACGTATTCGTGCATGATGATTTTGATGTGTGCGCGGCAATCGAAAGAAGGACTTCTTCTGGAGCGTCAACGGGAAAGAGCCGGTCAAGCAAGGGTCATGGCGAACGGAAGTTACGGATTTCTTTGTAGATTATTTTTTCGTCTTGTTGTATGTTCATGAGGAGATGAAGTACTTGAGCAGTTGTATCATGGAGTCTTCTAGTACAGGAGCAGCTACAGAGGTGGAAGTCTCTCTCTCTAACTCTGAAAGAAGACCTCGTCCGTTGCGTAGATGGGCCAGGGCCTGTATGGGATCGTGTTATTGGCCGTATTTTACACGCGTCAAGCCTCGGACCGTCAAGTCGAGAGTTGGCAAGAGCCTTACTGGAAGAGCACGCACGTGAGGTGCTACGTGACCTAAGTCTGGATCAGGCAGAGCATGACGATCTATCTTATGGCTGGATTTTCTTGAAAAATATGTATTTTTTTACCTGAAGTTGAACAAGAAGTAGAAAATAGTATTGGTTCTACCCAGAAAACACTCCCTAGCTTACCTGTAGATACCCAAAAATACCCCCTGTGTGCGTTTTTGAATGAAAAGATCCTAAATTAGTTTGCTGGTCCTCTTGTTAAACACCGTCCTCTAGTCCACTCATCATCTTATCGGTTCTACTTCATCTTTATTAAGGTATAGATACATAGCTTCATCTATTTCTACTCTGTTCAACCGTTCGCTCGCATTCAATTAAGGTCTTCAAATTTACTATTTGTTTACCTGCTCACAGAGAATGAATGAATCTTTTTCCCTCAAATTTCGCAGTCGTACAGGGCACTGCTGCAGTGTTGTCGAGAACGTGCGTCAACGATGTTGCGCAGCGGGAAAAAAGATGAGGTCAAGCTATCGCCCGAGTACCAAGCAGAGCTCGAGATCGCTCTTGCGCGTCTCCTCTACGCCCGACTCGCGTCGCCAGCAACTAGGGATATGCTAGAGCGCAGGGTGCTCTTCTTCACTTATGTTGAAGGCGATGCGAAAGTGAGTATGACTTTGAGAAGGAATTGCTTTTTTATTCAGATGATTTTTCTTTCGATGTACTAGCACTGGATGCATTGGAGAGCCGATCCTACTCTTTCCAATGCATCCAGTGCTAGTACATCTACTCCTTTCTTTCAACATTTTTGAAGCTAGATTATGTAGACAGCATCTATCTTCAAGCAATAATTTATTTGAATTTCTCTTTTTCATATCATACTCGATCTAGCAGACTTGCAGAGTATCAAGCGATTCGGGAAGCAAGTGAAAACTGCGTTCCTGCACATGGTCAAGCTCGAGGCATTACAGGTACCAACTATTTCGTGTGTCGCTTAAATTTGTCAGATTATGAGGCTTTATGTCTAAAGGAAAAAAATACATAATTGATAGTTAGCGATAGCTTTTGCATGAGGAATAACACAACCAATACACAAAAATTACGGTCAGAAAGAACTTCTACCAAACTTCATGAATTACACCACAAAACACAAGGTAAACACGCGAACGACAATAACGGGAAAGAAGATGCTCCGACGCATGAAAAGTTCGCGAAACGAAAAGGATCCGTCTAATAAGGCAGCAGGCGGAGGGGGAGGCGTGGAGTTAGCAAGACAGAACAGCAATCGGGACGAGAAAGACCGAGAGCGTGCTTTTCGTGGCTTCCATGCCGATCCAACGGAGCATCAGAAGTTCGTTGTTCGATGTCAAGAGCGCGTCAAACGCTCTTTTCACTGCCTGGTTTGTAATGCCGGTGTGGTTCCTTCATCTTCTAGTAGCTCCTGTGAGCAAACTAATTATATGACGATGAAAGTACTATCCTCTATTAAGCAGGGTTTCCGAATTTTATCCCTCACTACCATCCACGGCTCCTTTTCAAAGGGAAAATAGGCCAAGAATGTTCGGACGGATGCAATTCGGCAACCTCTAACATGTCTGGAAGTAGTACTGAGCAGGCTTCATCTTCGACGTCATCTGCATCAGGAGGACCAGCCAAAAGTAGTACAGGAACTGCAAACGCTTTTTCTGCTTCTTCACCATCTAGTACGGTACTAAACGTGAACAAGAAGAAAAGCAACCCTGCTACTACAACTCGAGAACCCTGCTTCGACGTGAATTGTCTAGGCCATCACCACTTGATCAACAAGCTTGCTAAGGGCGACGACGGGCATAGCTACTCACTATTTGGTCGCTCGCTCAAAGTTAAGACGAAAAAGTGAAAGAATGCACCTAGTAGTACTAACTTTACTACGGTTGATACTAGATTGAGGAGAGTTGCCAGGGGTATTTGTTCAATTTGAATTTTCCTTCGTTTCCTTCTTCTAGGATTCTGAGGCTAGTACCCGTGTTGAGCTTATAGAAGATGAATTAAGTATCTTTCGTCTTGCTGGTGACGTGATGATGATCATCTAAGAAAGCATCGCACTTCCCTCCTCCGTCGGCAGAAACGCCAATGGTCGCAGCGCCAACCATGCGGGACCACATAGAGGAGGAGCGTGGCCAGGAGCCTCCGATTTTACCTGTGGACCACGATCACAAAGATGACAAAAGATCATCTTCGCAGCAAGCGACATCAAAGGGTTCAAGAAGCACAGTGGTCGCGTCAAAGCCGCGAATCATATTTGTGTCTTCTAGCCTACTCTCACGGGGCAGCCTTTCAGGAGAATTGTCGCAACGTTTAGGGGATGCGGAAAGCGGAAAGCAGGATCCCGCGTCTAGTGCATCGCCTTCGCCAGGGGAAGTAGCCACGGCAGGTGACGAAAGTAGTGCGAAGGTTCTTCAGGAGGTTTCGGCTTCCTCGTCATCATCGAGCAAAGAGACCTCGTCCGCATCGAGATGTCCATTGGGGAAAGCGAATCAGGATGTACTACTTACTACACAGAGAGACTTATAAGTTGTGCAAGTTTTTAGACATAATATTTGAGGAGGACCTCTTCATCATGTTTGAATTTAACAGTTTGATCTACTTTCTCCTGATTTTTGTAAAGCCAAACCTTCCAACTGCACCTTTGATGCTGTAAAACCTTATTCCACAACTGCTACTCGTTCCTGCTACAACTACTTATAACAGGGAAACAGTAGTGCCTATAATGCCGACTCGAAGCTCGTGAATGCGTTACAGAGTCGTGCGTATGCGGGAGTATTCGGGAATGTTGTTGATAGTTTTGCAGTTTGTCCTGGCTGGTGCTATACTCGCCTTGGCTCCGGAAGTAGAACTAGTATGACTGAAATGCTGACGCGACCGGTCAGTACCCTCTTAGCCGGCCTCCTGTGTCTGCGCAGCGCAAATGACGGTGCTGCGAATGTTGTCCACGCGGTCTTATTATGAAGATGGTGGAACTTGTTGCTTTTCTATTTCTTGTAGTCACTCTTCTTGAGCTGCATGTAGAAGTTGGTAGCATGTTCTAGTCGTTCTATGACTATCACTTACTACGTCGAAGGACACTCGTTGTCCTCTCACTACCTTGTCATCTCGAGGGACGACAAGTAGCGTTCATCTTCTATCACTGTGTCTAATCTGCGTCGATCCGGGATCGATCTCGAACGGAGCTGTTTTGAGGGATGGAGTAGCTCCGATAGCATTGAACGACAAAGTGGAGAACGAAATTGAGCCGTTTTTTTCGGGTACTGAGTATCTTCGGACGAGCTTTCTTGCTCGATTTATGCGATCCCTAGATCAGATAGTGGAAGCGAAAAAACGATGAAGAACTTACTTTTTGATTCATCTGTTCAATCTCTTGCTCTTAGTTTTAGAAGAACTCGCGGCGCACCCGCGCAGTCAAGAGAATTATCACCCTTTGTTTCATGAAAACATGCGCTTTGTCTTTCTCACTGATGAAGTCCTTTTCTCTCTCTATAACTTAGAAGATACGGTCTGTCACCGAAATCACTTTCTTGAAAATACTCTCTGACACAAGTACTGAAGTCACTCTCGTCTTACTACGAAAATGATCGTGCAACCGCAGCTGTAGTGACACTTCTGAACATCAAAAAATCACCTGTACTCTCTCTGGCGTCAACATACCATACCGCACCGCAAGCGCAAACTCAATGACTCACTGTACTCATGGCCATAATTGCCCTATTGCCCAAGTCCTTTTTACCATTTCAGAGTATGAGTATGACAATATTTTTCACACGCGCGTGGTCGTTTGATCTGTATGTATCCCTGTTTATTCTACGTGAGACCTTTGATCATGTCTCTGTACCTACGTATTGTTGATTGGTTTCCGTTTCGTTCAGTCAATTCTCATTCGTGTTTGATTTGGCCTAGTTAAGTAAAAAGTATAAGTATTCCTTTCTTGTGTGCAGTGTGCCAGATCTCGTGCATTATGAATCTTGTTTCGTTTGAAATTCATGTTTGTAGAGCGTAGAGGTGCTGGCATTTTGATTTTGTCTAACTCAAGTCAGATAGAACAAGAACTCTCTTTATTCAAGTTCGAAAACACAATCGTGAAGCATTCATGGGAACTTGGGAAGTGAAGAAGTCGATTGGTTTATTCAATGAAAGCGGATGCGAAAAAGACTTGTGATGTCACTGTGTCGTGTCACTATACACTCCAGGAGAAATAATAGGTTCAGCAACGAACAGAGAGAGCACATGAAACTAAATCGAGTGACATTTTTTGCTTCAAGGGACACACCGAGGGGCCGAGCGAATATAGACGAGTCATTGCTGCTGGGCTCCGCAGGAGCTGCCTTTCATCTTCTCATAAAGATGAATATACTCATTGCTCGAGGACGGATGCGCTTCTACTAGATAACGTCCTGCATCTTTGCCATGATTGAGTTTGTTGAAAGAGTGTATTTTTGATTTAGTTACATCTCACAGATTGATAAAAAATGATGAGAGTGAGTGATGTAGTGAACGGCAATGAATTCTAAATGGTGGACAAATAGTACAAATTATCATCATGATGCCTCCACGATATCGCGTTTATGTCACAGCCTGCATGGCTGTCCTGGCATGTTTTTCGGTCCTCCATTTCCTGGCCCTTCATTGGGACTCCGTTACTCTAGCGAATTTTTGGCCTGACCGCGAGTTAGGGCTTCTACATTTTGGTCGCTTTTATGGAGGTGGCGTGGTCCAGGATGATGGAGTACCGCTACCTCGTGAACAGGTCTATGAGAGCAGTGCTCATACTACGGGAGTGCGCGTGACGTTGGTTGGAGGTGACCGTGAGGACGAGCATGACGAGGACAAGCATCCTAGCGAAGACGATGCAAGAGTGGCCGCGGCAGGTGTGCATATTTTAAGGGTACAAGAAATCCATCTTCACTGTCATCTTGGTCCCGTTTAAAGGGAAAAGGAAACCCAAGATGCTGCTGAAGATGGATTTCCATTAGTTCTAAATATTATTATGGAAAAATCGCATGAGCTTGTTCTAGCTCAAAACACTATGAGAGCCCCACCACCGGTCTCGGTTTCGACGTCAGATCCCCTGAGCAGCGTTGAGGTTACAGTCAGTACTTCCATGACTCTAGTCCCTCTGATTCCGAGAAATCCGGAGGGTCACCAAAATGTGATCCATTCAGCTGGCGATCATACAGGTAGCTTGCCGCCATTGCCGATACATCGACTAGAACATCATGGCGTTGTCGAAACTCCACATGATGTTGGTGCAAGTACTGGGCTAAGTGCAGCAACCGAGAGACAACAGGACCCGTTGCTTCCGCAATCCCGTATCGAGACGATGCTGCGGTCACGAGTGCGAAGTGAACGGATTGCGGCGCTGAGGGTCCTATATGAGTTGGGCGATTCATCGCGCGTAGCGCAAAGTTTCCCAGCACTTTTAGAATTAAGGCTTGATGGCCTAATTCAGTTTGAGAAGCATCTATCTTGGAAGGGTTTTGTGAGGGAAAATGACCACAAAGATGCACTTCAGGATCATGAACATGGGGAAGATCTAATGGAGGGAAGCCTGAGATCAACGGAAAGTCGCATGTGGAGTGAGCAGTCTGAAGCTGTGCAGATCGTGCCGCCTCTCTCACTGCAGGCAGTATCCCACGTCGAAAACGGAGAAATTCTAGAAATTGGGCGGACAAAGGGCTCCTCGTATGGCATTCGGAGTTTTTGAAGTGGAGGCTTCGGTAGTTTTTCTTGGGGTGGCTGATGCAGAAATGTAGTTCATGTTTTCCTAGACTGCGAGGTAGCATCAACAAGATCAACATTGTCTATCAAGGCAATAGAAATCGAATGTTCCTCTAGAAGATGTGAACCATTGTTGTAAATTTTTTTGCAATTCATTCATTTGTGGTTGGAGAAGCTCCTGCATGGCTTGCCAGTATCGGCGGAGACGAAAGCGATGGTGACGAGATTGCGCTTGCAGAGGATCTCGTACTCGATGTTCTAGAAGATTTCAATGTCTTACGCAGTTTACTCGCAGACAGGGAGATGAGAATCGAAGCGCTAGCGACTGAACGCTTGCTAGAGCTGCCTGGCGGTGCGGATTACGCACTCAACGTACTCTTAAAAGACACGAATGCGAATGTGCGCGCAGCGGCGTGCGAAGTCCTGGCAGTTAGAATGCTGCCTCAGGAAGAGGTTGCCATAATTGCGTTAAAGGCTTCGGCCGATGACAAGATGAACACTGTAAAGTCGATTCGCTCGAAGTTGCGTCGTGTCATGAAATCCGATGTAGATCCGATGGTGCGGGAAGCGGCTGCGCGTGCACTCAGTCTTGCTTTTCCAGCAGTTGAAAGAGGAACTACGTCCGATGCCGCAGCCACTACTACTAGGACCAACTACTACCCAATGATGAAGACATCTTCATCTTCTTCGAGCGGTGTTGGTGCTGCAACCTCAACAACTCCATCCGCCTATGTGACTTATTCAATGCGACCATCGTCGTCGAGCAGCATTCTGCCAACTTTGGAAGCGCTGGAAGATCTCGCGCGACAACCTTTTTTACTACTGGGGCAAGCAGAAGAAGCCACAGCAGCGTTCGTTCGCAGCATATTGGATTTTGCTGCACTGCGAGCTAAGGATCCTGACATGCGGAAGAAAACGACTTGGGGTCTTTCGACGGATTCGGCGTCGTTCACCTTGACCAGCGTGGTTCCCCACACAGTCGTGACCACTTCTACTTCCTTCACCGAACAATCTTCCAAGGATTTAGAACCGCAAAACTCAAGTGTAGGAGAGACGAGAACGGTGTTGCAAAAGTCTCCTGCGCTGTCTGCAGTGCCTAATGCGGAGAACAGCAGAGCTGACGTCCTAGCTACAGCCTCTGGTGCGCCAAGAAGAACTGCAGGAGCAGTAGTTGGCGACCGCGGTCCTCATCGTCCTCAAATGTCAACAGTGGATGAACAAGTAAAAGACTTCTCATCTTCTACTCCTGTTTCGCTGGCCAAGGTTGGAAGGGCGCTGTCGTCGGTCTTTCTAAGTGGAGAATCACGAGCCTCGTGGCCTGTTCGGGAAGCGACATGTAAAGTCCTTGGTGTGTGGAGCCAGTTTTTGTCTACAACCGCGGTGGGTAAAAGCAATGCGCATGATCCTGTCGTTGCGAGCGACGAGGACATGGTCAGCACTGTTGAGCGCGTGGTCGACGACTTGCGGCAAGACCTGACACAGCTGAGGCAGCAGGCGGACAAGAACGATTTGCAGATTCTGAATTCAAGACGCACCCTGGTGCGCTGTGCCGCAGCCGTGGGGAGTGACCAGGCAGTCACGCGCTACGTGCTTTCCACAACGAACGGGCAGCCGAACCGTCCTCGCCATCCGCTCAGTATGCACATGCATTTCGAGCATTTGCTTTTCCTAGACTCAAGGTTTCTGACACCGGCACTGCTAAGCGAGTACCTCGTGCCAGCTGCGGAACAGTTTCCGCACTTGTTTCGCGACGCCGTCGCGTCTTTTATGACGGAAAAAAGTGTACTCATTCTCAACAAGAAGCAAAGCACGCCTCACAACTAGAAAACTGCTCCTTTCCTTGACGAGTATCTATATATAAGTTAAAGTTTAACTACACTTCTTTTTCCTTTCATAACTTTGATCGGGCGTTCGTTTTCTCAATCGGGTTCGTGGACTGCGTCACAGCTTCTGGAGCTCGTACATCGGAGCGAGCAAATCGATCTACTGCGAACTCAATCATCATTAAGGGTAGGCTAAAGGTGCTTTTGTTACCGTTTGTTATGGCTCTCCTAAGGGGGACAGCCATAACAAGCGGGATAAATGAACACCAAAAACCTACCTCTAACATCAGCACGCAGCGACCGACTGCGCCTCGTCCACCTTTTTCTGGAGGCAGGGACGGACTCCCACCTCGTCTCGTCGCAGCAGATGGCAGGCTTGGTAGATCACTGCATGGACGGCGCTGAGCATGAAGTGCTGTCAATGATGTCACAAGCAGCACTGCGGGACGAGATTCAACAAGCTGTTGAGCATGTTGTGGATCCCGATCACGATCCAAGTTCTACAATGTCATCGATTTCATCTACATCCTTGAGACCTTTAGAAGGTCACCTATTGCACAAGAAACTAGTCCCATGCGCGATTATTGGTGCGTTGGCAGAAACCAACCTCGAAGAGGTGCTGCAAGCTGGTACTAGCTTTGCGGCGATATTTTTACCACTAGAAAAGACAGAACATGCGCAGAAGCGGTTTTATCAGCTGCGTGAGGCGTTGCTGACAGCAGTAGTGCACAAGGTACTGAAGAGTTACAAGACGAAAGGCGCACATAGAGATGGAAAACAAGACACTTTCGGTTCGGGCAAGACGACGAAGCACGCAGCGGAGTTTCTAAAACACGTTTTACTCCGCATTGTGCGTGCGAGTCGCGGACAGCTATCTCCAGGATTTTGGAAGGCGGACAATGGGCTAGCTGGGCCAATCGCCAGGGTTTGTCATGACGCCAGCTCATCTACTGAGGATGTTGGTGGATCATCCACATTCTCATCTAGAGTGAGCGAGTATGATGTGGATGTGCAAGGGGCAATGTGCTACTTGCTACCTTCGAAAAGTGGACAAAATGCTGCTAAAACTTCTTTGCATGAACAACCTGGACGAGTAGCGCCGATCGAGGAAAGTGCGACGGCTGCTGTATTCGTGTCCTCGGAAGAAGCTTTTTCTGACCCTGCAGCATCGCCCGTTCACACTACAGCGAACCTCGGGGACACATCAACAGTTGATACTAGTATACTGTCGCTGCTGAAGGTACTTCTTAGAAGCGCAAGCGCTACACAGGAAGATGAGCCCATATCTGCCAAGGACGGCGCCTTACTCGCTTCCGTTTCTTCTCAAATGTTTGAGCGAGCTCGGGTTGGTCCCAACATTATTGACAGCACAGGCGGTCAACTTGCGAACCCGGCGCACTTTGCGTTGAAAGGGAAGAATGAGGTCTCCTGGTATGATATGCGAAAGTTGACGAAAGTGCCTGAGTCGACACACGAATCTGTCGAGTTTGCGCGTCTTACACGTAATCGGGACTTAGATGCTGTTCGATATTTCGTGAAAAGTAAAACGACACCACGCTATCCAGACGAAGAAAATACTCGATCTCGAGCAGCGGAGCATGATATACTTTCGCTTGCTGGAAATGGAAAGTCTCAGGATGCCGAAGATTTAGACATTCACGACCGAAAAGCTATTGCATCAGCGCTTTTGAATATGCTGGACGGAAAGGGTCTACTGCGAGTCTTAGATTACATTCCTCTTACGTCCGTAACGATCCGACGTCGGCTGGCCAGCACAGCTTGGCGCCTTGAGGGCATTAAGATGTTCAAAGCCTGGCTGGCGAACAAGGATCTCCTCGCGAAGCATGAAGATCTCTTTACTTTTGCTGCAGGGGAGTCACCAGGAGCGGCGCGTGCAATTTGCGATCTACTTCAGACTCACGTGGTGCAACCATGGTTGCGACAAATCGAGGAGACTCCTCGCGACAGTCAGAAGGTCGAAATCGCTTTGCGTATTTTGAGACAAGCAGTAGACCCTGAGGAGGGACAAAAGTTGCTCGTGCAACTCCGCGGGATGAGGAAGGAACTCGCAAACACTAAAGAAAAAAATGTAGACCTGAAGCTGAAGAAACTTCAACTGGAACAAGTTACTCAGTTCACATTATACTTCCGGCCGCAAGATTTACCAGGCTTTTATTCAGCCGAACTAGCTGACGAGGATGATGATGCTATTTCTGGCCATGGTACACAGGACACGACGATGCGACAAACCTTGCGCATAGCCGTCTTGAAAGCCCTCCTAACAGATCTGTGGGCTGCAATTCATTCGAAGACGGACTGGTCGTGGCCCTGGGCATCACCTGACCAAGAACAAAAGCCAATGAATAGGATCCCCTCTGCTTCAACTTCTTCAAGTACCAATGCCGTTCCGGCAGCAACCATAAGCCCGCGTCATACATCGTCTTTCTTAGAGGTTCTGCAGAAAAAGCGAAGCGTTGTCAGTGTCACGACGTTACTCGCCGAGAAGAAAGAGAATATTAGTCCGCCTTCTACTACTGGTCCGGAAGCGCCTAGAGACGGAGGGTTGGTGGCCGTCTCAAAGTCATCCACCAGTATCGAAGCAAGAAATGAGGAGGTCGAAACGTTGCTCACGCTCTATGCTACAGCTTTTTTCCACGACAAACATGATAGAGACGAGCAAGAACACCAGGGGGTATGCGACGCTGTACGGCAAATGCTTGTTGACGTCGAGAGTTCTTCTTCTACTAGAGCAACTGGCACGCTTTTACAACAAAGGGAAGGGGGAGGTGAAGCGTCAACTTTGTTGTGTCCGTCTCCGACAGGTCTTGTTTCAACACATCTTCAAGGCCAAGCACAAGATTCACAAACAAGCGAACGAGGACGAGAAGATCTACTACATCAAGAAGCTCATATAATACAACTACAACAGCACTGTCTTCATGCTCTCTTTCTTGCTCGCACTATGTTGCGGCTGTCTTGTCACACTGACTTCGTCGTGACGGCGCTATTCCGACTTGCGGACGCACAGACTGCTGCTACAGTTCTTTACGACGGTATACCTGAGGTCAAACCAGATATTCTGGTTCACCAACTTTTACCACACCTCGGAATGGTGACGTTTCACGGTGTCTACACTTACACCACTCCTCTTAGTGGCGCTAGTAGTAGAAGTAGTAGCGCCTTTAGTGGTGCGAGTGCCTCGTCCAGTAGTACAACCAGTTGGAGTTCGACGAGTGGTGCTGTCAGTGGTCGCCCGCCCTTCAGTCCTCTTCCGGATAGGAGTGCGCTTACCGCAATGCAACAAAAAAACGAAAGAACGCGTTTCTTTTCTGCTTTGCTACTCCTACAACTTCTGGAAAGGTGTGCTGTTCATTTAGATTCACATAAAGAGAAAGAACTACTGAAGCCGTCAATTATAAAGATAGAACTAGCAGAGTTCTTGTATCCGCAGTTGGAGCGTATTGTGCCTGTGCGTACAGTCTCCGCGACTGAAATCGAAAATGCGCTCAAAGACTTTCTTGCACGAATGTCATCATCGTTGAGAGCAGCTTCAGGTTCTTCACCTCTCTTAAAGACTACTGTTGTATCTGGAGCGACTCGAATTGGTGCCACTACAACAGCTACTGGAGGTCCTATTGAACTACGGTTTTCGTCCCCTCCGCACGAGGTTTTCATATCCGGGATGAAAGCCAGCACATCAACTACGACGACCAGAGCTGCCCGGGTTCTCGCGTGCAGCATCCTCGGTCGATGGCAAAAGGGCTTGCCCACTCTTGTGAAATTACTAGAGACCGAGGACGATGAACAAGTCTTGTATCCTTGTGCTCTGGCGCTCGGGCAGTTTCCTGCTGAAACTCTCGAGAACTCGCCTTGGTTCCGCACGGTTTTTCCTGATCCTCGCAATTCAGAAGAGACCAATAAACCAGGTCGCATTCAGATAGTTCAAGCAGCCCTAAGAGCCCTGGAGAATTTCAACGGAAATAGAACGAGCGGCGTACTAGAGCTACCCCTAAGGAATCCGAATACAAGATCTCCGAGTAAACGACCAAGTACACCACTCCTCTTACAGCATCAACCACATGGTTCTTCTAGCGCAAGTAGCTTCTCTATTTTGCAGAGAGTAGTGCAATTTTCTTTCTCGCACGGGGATCCTTGGGTCCGACAGTGGGGTTGGCAAAGTGTCGCTCTCGCGTCCTGGCACAACAAAGAGTTTACGACAATGGGATTCGAAGCTGACTTGCACCTACTTGGAGGCTTTCTACTTGGCGGCCACGAATTTTGGCAAACGGCTAAGGGCAAGCCAGAGGTTGTCGTCGCTGCGGCGCTCGCCCTGAGTCGATCCTGCTCTGTCAGTACATGGCACACTGAGCAGTGTCGAAAGGTACTGAACGTGGACAAGATCGAGGCAAACTTGGTGGGCAACAACCTTCAGCCAAAGATGGTTCGTCTAGCCGCTTGCGAATTGCTTGGTCGTGTGCTCAAGCCTGTGGCCTTGCGTCCGCTTTTGCAGGATTCGGAGGCAGATGTGAGAGCCGCCGCTGTGCGAAATCTCACTCCTATGGGAGACCAAGCAAGAACCCGAACCGTTGTACACCAAGAACTACTGGACGAAGAAACATCAAGTACAACATTAACTTCAAGTACGAGTACGATTTCAAGCTCCAGTCAAGAAGAAGATGAAACCAAACAGCAAGCGAGGATCTTCAGCGATTCGAGCAGTTCCTTGTTGTCAATAAGCGAGCTGGTTCGCTTGGCTGACACCGCGGTTTGGACAGGGTCAGACGGCAAAGATGCTCGCGATGTCTTCTGCAAGGGAAAAAATGAACATCAACAAAGACAGAGGACGACAAGGCATGTTAGAGGTCCTCGCAAAGGAGTAGATACTGCAAATAGCATTTCGGAGGTCCACCGTCTCTCACCTGGTGGGACGGCACTGCTGTCAGCCGTAGTGAGCCATCCTCTATGTCCCTTGCCGCTGCTGCGGCAGGTACTTTCGCCAGACCACAGTGCTGCTCGAGATACAATCACAGCCAAAACTGCTACTGCTTCTTCAATTTCCTATTTACTGTATCCAAGCCAGGAAGGCGGTAGTAACACAAGTGGCCCTAAGCAGCTTTTGCTGACTTTGAAATGCTCAGGAGCTGCGGCTTCATCGTCATCTCCACAGAGAGACGACTGCTCGGCTCCAACTTTGGAGGCATTCATACCAGCAGAAGCGAAACTGGCGGCGTCCGTGGCTTTGGTGCTCAACTCTGAGCAAGATCAGGACTTCGCCACTGTTTTCTCATGGGTGAGAACTGCAAGGCCGGCAATAACATCTGCTTTCGTAGAGGAAGTTAGTCGTGCCGCGCTTTTGAAGAAGCGGGACGATAAAGATGAAACTGCAGGGGGAGCAATCAAAACAAAGCGGATTCGCAGTTTTTTGCGAATGCTTTTGCGTCATCAAAGGGTCAATGTTTTTGAATATTCCCCAGCATGAACTACGTTTCTTTGTCAATTGAAACGCCTTTTACGTGCCTTTAGGGTGATGTGATTCTCAATTGAAAAATCGCGCACGCAATTATGAGGTGATTTTTTTGATGTACTCTAGAAATACGGAGGACGAAAGCGTAAGCGACAACGGATTGGCCGGCTGCAATTATGATTATGTGTGTTTGTTCTTCATTCACAATCACAACGGCTTCTGCGTTCCGAAGGAAATTCTGAAGGTAATCACGACGACAAAGCAGGATCTCGATGATTCATGATTAGACTCATTTTGTCAGACGTCTTAGAGGAGTACAACCATCATGCACACTGATAAGGTCTTGATCAGCGATACACCCACTGACTGACCCATGATAATAAGTTTGTAGTGACGGATTGTATGCTTGCTTGCTTTTTACTTACTTAATTACTGATTTTGTTTGTTAAAACAGTTTTTGATTACTTAATTACTCGTAGTGAAAAAGTGAAGCAACATCATACCGTTTCCTTTTTCTCCTTTGTCTTGGCCTTGATCTGAAACAAGAAATTGAAATTGACGAAATTGAAATTGACTGCCTTCGTTCCAGCGTGTCTGGGTAGTTTCTTGGTGCTTGTTTTCCGTTGCAGAGCAGAATGCCGAAAAAGCCACACGCGAAGGAGGAAGACGAACCATGCGATATGAAGAGTTATTCATTGTTAGAAGCACGAGTTCTAGTCATAGAAAATAAAGTGTAACTTCTGAGAAGGCCGTTTGCCAGCGATATGACTTATCAAGTAGTTAATCTTTCGATATTTAGAGCAGATACGACGAGGACTTTTTCTGCTAATGACAGCACGCTGTTGCTCAATAGCGCACGAACGATGATCACAACTGCCTCTTTCTAAGCAAGAAATAGAAGATCAAAAATCAAGTGGCAGAGAGGAGAATCGCCTTTCGCCCGCGACTTCATGCGATGACGACTATGACGACGATGGTGCAAGTCAACACGAGTTCGCGACTTTCCTGCTTGGGAAGAAACGTAATTACTTCCATGCAGTGAAATGTTGTTACCGATTTTCTCCTCTGTGAATGATTGGAACTGCTCTTCAGACGGAAACAACTACATGTACATCATACTCATAGGTCCGTTCACGGTACGTCGGGAGAAGTTTACATTTGCGCAAATATTTTTGCGCAATCTCACGATTCCCCGGATGCTATGGCTAGTCGTTGCTGCCGCTGGCTATGCTATGCTCATACTGTACACTCCGAATGAACCGCGCGATGACGGAACAAGGCCATTGGACCTCTACTACAACACGGGGAAGAAAGAGTACAACTTCTAGTACAGGAATTTCTTATTATTTTGTTCTTGGAGGTCCTTTGTGACACTAGGATGATCCAAGTGGTTCTTCCAACGATGTTTCGTTAGCTGAAGATCACGACTCATTCATTGGAGGAAAGTTGCATTGTCTTCAACACGAATCTCAGAACGATTTAGACTTACTTTGTCTCATTTCCAGTGCCGACGGCGCCCTTGTCTACAAACCAAACGTGGAACGCAATCCGCTCTTCAAATGGCTAGTCGCGTCATCGCTGATGCTGCTGATGCTCCTCATGCTTGAAGAGATGAACGTGGGCCTGGCGATGTTCCTCGTTGCCTTCAAACTCTGGTTCTTCGGTGTGGCCACAAACTTCTGGGGTGGTCTTATTTCTAGCGCAGTCATCCTTTATGCGGCTCTTTTTGTCATCGCCTGCGCGTTCGCGGAAACACAAGTGCTGGAGAAGGTACTTAGTGCTGTTGTGTGATAAAAATTTGCAAGGTCCTTTACATTGGATCTCTAGTGCTAGTACGACATTCGTTCGAGCAACCTCCACGTACTCACGACCCAACTTTCCATTGCTCGTTGATATTTAGTACATTTAGCCTTTTCCATTCAAATTTTCTGCAGCTTATCGGCCGTCTTGTTGGCAGACCCGAAAATGGAGTTGGCATGCTCAGGCTCTTCGTGCCGTTGATGTGCCTATCAGCTGTTTTGAACAATGGGCCATGCACGGCGATAGGAATACCCATTTTACGGACTACTTCTGTAATTTTTTTTTAGAGGCAAGGGCATTGTTGAGATAGAACAGGCGACCCGGAGCCCTCGCCTAAGACAAATAGAAACGGCAGAAAGGATGCTTTCAGCAAAAATGGGTTGCAGTAAGATCATCTAAGCCTTGCGATGTCAGTCGCCGATCGAGTCGGGAAATACCTGCCAGCTGTGTTTATCATGGCTGTTCCTTTTGCTGCGACACTGGGTGGGAGTATAACGACGATCGGCTCGAGTCCGAACTTCGCGGCGCAAGATTTTATCAACGACGAGGGAGTCGACACAGGTGAGACTATATAGACGAGAATGCGTCCTCTGGGACCAGGAAATCATTGCGAAGCGCATGCCCATGCGCACGCACATAAATGAGACGAGGCCCCGCAAATGCTGCAAAGCCGTGCACGGAGTGGCGCGCAGATTGTCTAAAGCGCTCAGCCAACAGCGCAACGCACAGGGCCCGGCACGCCGATGCTGTGACATTTGGCGGCATGAGGCGCCGGCCATCGTCCGCGCCCTGTTTCCTCTTGCTTGTGCGCAATAGATAGGGGAAACCCAGGCGCAGCGCGGTGCGACTTGGGGGCCACTTTGCTCAAGGTCCAAACCAACGGGGACGGACGCGGCTGACAGTTTGCGGCTGGCTCGAGGAGCTGCAGCTGAATCCACGGAAATGGAGACGCGGCCAGCAGTTGCAAGCGGCTGACTGACTCGCATCGGGCTCCGCTTCCTAGGTAAGCGCCCGCGCTTCTATGGCGTTCGCGTAGTCATTTGCTTGGTGGCCAAGGAGCGCGGTGGACCGGCTTGGCCCTGGAGTTCAATGCGTGGGGATGTCTGACGCCTCGCCAAGGGGACTCGGTCACCTTCGAAGACGGACTCCGACAATTTTGCTGGGCCGGTGATACTGCTCTTGGGCGTGGCTGTTTACTGATTAGCATGCGAGTGGCGGCAGCCCCAACCAGCAGGGGGGGCAAGTGGCCGCGGAGGGCACTGCATGCCAGAGGCTTGGCCTCCCCATCGGAGTGGGCGCCGGATAGAACGCACACGCCCAACCAAGGCGGGCGGCGCAAAGCTGTTCCCGGTTCATCAACCCGAGCCTGACAAGGCGCGCCTCTGCGTACTAGGTTGACTGCCGCAGTCGGAAGACTTTCTGCGGCTTGTCTTGTGTCGGAAAGCAAAGGCGCGGCGTAGTCGGCAGATCGATGAAAGAAGAGGGCTGCGCTTGTGCTGTGTCGGTTTGTCTGCTGAGTTGTGTGCTTATGAAGTTCCCCCGGCTGGGGGCTGGGTTGGCTGGGCTGTTTTCATTCTTGTCGCAGGGGGTGCTTCTTTCTGCTTCTTCTTCTCGCTCCATGCTTTCAGGAGTAGGGAGCGCACCTACTTGCTGCTGGAGAGCTCTCCCCCAAACAATCGGCGGGCGGGGGAGGTTTCTCGCGCTGGCACTCAGTCGATGCCGTCAGCGTCGGGCGTCACATACTCTCGCCGGTCTGCACGCTTTGGCGCTGAACGAAGTGAGGCGTCGACTTTCTTCTGGGCGTCGCGGTGTCGAGTTTCTTCTCATCGGTGTCAAGAATCTCGAAGACTCAAGACTGTGGAGAGCTTCGCCTTAAGTGGGAAGCGGGCCTCAGTCGATTGCGGCGGCTTCTGTCGCAGTCGCTGGCTTTGTCTTCATCGGTGTCAGGGGTCGCAGGCAAGCGCCCAACGAGAACAGGAGCAAGGGAGTACATAACTGAGGGGCGATGTACATTTCGAACCCTCTACGCGAAGACAAGACTGCTGCGCTTTCTTTTCAAGATCAAGACGAGGCGCCTGTCGGGCGGTGTGTGTGCTTCTGGGCGCTGGGGGCGTAAGGTAGGCAAGGCGCTGAGCTTGTGGCTGGCTGCCTTTGTTTGGGTTGTCGTGTGCTTGTGCTTCTGCTTGTTTGGCTGGTTTTGATTCGTTCTACTTCTACATCAGAGGCTCTTAAAAACGGGCTTGCTATGTCGGATAAATATGCATTAAGTGTTGGGTGGATGCAGGCCCCACAAATGGGTGCTGCAGCTGTTCTCTTTCCTTGCTACGGGCTTGTTGGTAGTTATACGGGCCTGCGTTGGTCAGGAAGCGGCACGCGTGTGCGTGGGATAGTGCTGGGCGTATCCTCTTCGGAAAAGAAACGTGAACGACCGTGGCGGCTTCTTGTCACCCGCCATGATGCACCTGGATGGGTGGGCGTGTTCGTTGCGGCAGGTTAATTGCTTGGCGGTGCCCTTTGTTTCTGAGGGTGCCGCGTACCTACTCGCAGACAGCGAATAAAGCAAGAAGGAGTAGCAAAAGAGACACCAGCTAGGAGAGTGCTTCTAGTTACTTAGTTGAAAATATAATCATCTCAGGTGGGAAGTGGAGATGTTTAGCGAGCGAGGCATTGATAGTTTTCAGAGAAAGGGAGATCCGCTCAACCGGAGGGGAGCTTCTTGACTTTGACGTACCGAAAATTCTCAAGCCGTCATTCAAGAGCCTGGCACTTGCTTCCTCGCCAACATACCCTTTGACGAAAACGGAGATGCTCCATGGTATCTACATGTTTTCCATTTGAGATGCTCTGATCGATGTGCGGAAGTACATCATCAGGAGGAAAGCCAGGCCTTCTTATTTACGAAGAAACCTTGTTGCTCCTGTGCCTGTGGTGACTTCTATGTGTTTTTTTTTGATATCAATCTCGCACCTATAAGTACAACTGAGATTGAGAATGAGACGCATTCCTGTTTCCGATCCACTTTATCCTGTACCGTGGTAAACGTAATCAACAGATGCTTTCGAGCGATTTCCCGACTCCGTGTTTGCGGGATGCAACGTCATGCGTGGCGCTGAGTTGAAAGTGAGTGAACGGAAAGCGAAGCTCAAGGTCGGCCAGAGCGTTGCCGACGTTCCGAAGTTGGAGAAGGCCTACAAGTTGTGTTATCAGCTTGACCTTTGTGTCGGCTTCTTCTTTCTCGATTTTGCAAATAACGAAGTGGCAACGTTTTGCAAGGTTGACTCTCTAGAAGACATCGGAGGTCTGCAGAATCCAAGCACTGCTTTACAAATGATCAGCACAGCCACATCGTCAAGCAGAAGTTTACCTGGTGCCGAAGCTCGTGGCCATGGAGCGGTTGCAAGTGCTAATACGCGGCGGCTAGGCGGAAGGGGGGGAGGACAAGCGGAAGGGCGCGAAGATGGGAAAAACATAGTAGTTGTAGAAGAACAAGAAGTCGGACAACATGGAATTGGTGGATCTGCAGAACAAGTAGGCCAAATAAGCACTGATGATTCTGAGATGAACAGGAGTAGGAGTACAGGTACTATAGCGGAACAAGTCTCCGATAGTGATAGACCTCAGCAGCCAAAGCCTCCTTCGCGTGTGTCGTCCGCAGCGTCGTCCGTTTTCACTGCGTCAATAGCAGGCTCAGGAGATGTGGCGCGGTCTCCTAGTCACGGAAGTGCGTCCTCCTCAAGCATGTTAACTCCGATAGCAGAAACTGGTGGAGTCGCCAGCAGAGATATACTAGAGAGTGCTGTAAGCAGTATAGCTGTGACCCGTGCTGCAGGGTCCGACATAGTAGCGGAGCATGAAGAACCACCGCCACTTCCACAGGGAAGAGCGGTACCTCCATTCACCACCGTTGAAGGTGAGCTAGAACTAGTGCCTGACTCGTCGGCTCAGCTACAAGTGCAGACCGGGCGGTCGGGTTCGGTAGCCTTTGTAAAGCAGTTCGAGTGGGACCAGGATGGCCGACCAAGGGCTAGGCAGCGAGAATGGAAGCGTGTGGATACGAAGACAGCATGGCTGGAGGTCGAAAAAGCACTCCTTAGCACTGCGGCTGCGCAGGGAGGCTACCACAATTACGCACAATTATTGCTGTAGTTGGGTTAGACTTAAACTGCAAGAATTGCTGGAAATAATTTTATACATAGAAGATACATAGAGAATCGTCAACCTGTACTCGTTTGAAGGTTGTAGAAGTGATGTTTCCTATGTATTGTGGTGTTTCCTATTCTTAGTCGTCCTTTTGTACCTGGAGTAGTCGACCATCCTGCTTGTTCCTCTTCTAAAAAAGTGACGTGATAAAGGGTGAAGCGCTAGTAGCTCATGTGAAGCAGCGGTGCGATTTTCAGGTAGTTGAGCCCGTTTTCGTTTGCACGGGCTTAGTCGGTGCGACTTTCGGTATTTTGGGGTTGCTCTACTCGATGTTCATTCTTGCCAAGGCGTACCCTCGGAACAACAAGCCCAACGAAGAAGGTGCTTCAGCTGGAGGCACAGGAGAGGCAAAGTCAGTAGTTGATGTTACCTCGTCCACATCGAGAAGTAGAAGCATAGCCACTAGAAGTAAAGCCAGCAAGGTGAAAGAAGTAGAAGGCGAGACGTCTGATGACGAGAACCAGAGCGGCGATGAGGCTATTGGAGGTAAAAAAAGAGATGAGGAACAAAGGAGCAAAAATGATGAAAATCCGGTTGATGCAGTGTCGATTGAGCTTCCTCGAGGTTCGTGCTTCCGCACTTCCCAGAAAAGCCGAAGCTCTCGGAATAGACCCAGCGATGACAGCGAAGACGATGACGACTCTCTAAAGTTATGATAGTTGTTGTATTGATGTCTACTGTTGATACCTCTTAAGTTTGTTGTCTACTGTTGATACCTCTTAAAAAGTTTGTTGTCTACTGTTGATACCTCTTAAGTTTGTTGTCGACTGTTGATACCTCTTAAAAAGTTTGTTGTCTACTGTTGATACTTCTTAAGTTTGTTGTCTACTGTTGATACCTCTTAAGTTTGTTGTCTACTGTTGATACTTCTTAAGTTTGTTGATCATGACAAAGAAGAAACGTACAGCATAAGGCATTCCGATCTTCATGTATTGATCAACATGTCACCACGCGTGATGTTCAAGGTAGGTCATGAATGAATAGGAAATTTCAATGTCTCGACAGACACTTCTGCCCTAAGAATAGAGTGTGCGGATCTCGAGCCACTACCGCCTAGGGCGTCGTTCAATAGTCCTCCATTACGGGGACACGGGGTTCAATACGAGTCGGAATTTCTATTGACCGAAGACGTCGGAGGATTGGGTGAGCCCTTCGCACAGTCACCACTCAGTTTCTTCAAGTTATGCGACAGCTACTTTTTGACGCCACAGATAATTACTTACAACTATCAGATTGTTATCGTGTTATACTACATAAGAAGATCAGGGACCTCAACGGACAACTTCTGCAAGTCATCATCTACTGGACACTCTTCACACTGTACTAATTGATGTGGCTACTTAGCCTCGATCTCCTGAGTAAACGTTATCTACTTACTTTTGAAGAGAGCCTCTAAACACTGGACTGCATATCCTTGCGTACAACGGGGCTGCGGTTTTCGACAAGGGCGAAACCTTGATGGAAGTAGGGGATGCGTTACGGGTTCGCGCATCAGCCGAAACTATAGCCAAACTTCGTAGGCAAATGCCGGGTCTAGTACCGAGCACAGAGCTCTACCAGCTCCTGGGACGCAGCAGGAAAAGCAGATTACTTTACTTATGACCTTCGCTGGAGGTGGCGATAAAGATCATCTTAGATGAACGCTTGATTAATAAAAATATATATAAATATCTGATATCATAATAGATGGTACTAAGCACATTACCAGTACAACTGCCATACAACTAGTCTCTTGTCATGATCGATAGGGAACAAATGAGAGTTTTCATTGCTGTCAAAGAATAGTGTACAACTGTGGCAAAAAGCTTTTTTTTCTTCATTTCTGCAACTCCATCTTTCCGCGGCTGCCTTCGAACGCTTCGATGAGAGGCAATTCTTTCTGGACTACGATGCGTGTGTTCTGGGTGTGGACGAAGCTACACATATTTAAGGCTCAACTTTCATTGGTCACCATTTAGATTGGAGTCACTGAGATCGAGGAGGGGCTCTTCTTAGATCGAAGAGGGGAAAACAAGGGGAGAGGCGCGGGCCCTTTTCTTTCAGAATCAGTTACCAATGAGTGTCGACTTTTAACATATGGTCCTCGCGGAAGGCTTTCCATCACTAGCGAAAAGCACGAATGCAGACTTTCAACTCATTACACCTGTCGCCGGCAGCAGCCCTCCGAGATCTACGCAGACGGTCGACAACCTCCGTGGCTACCTCATTTTCGGCCTCTTTCTAATGGTCGTTGTGTTGAATGTTATGGGAAGAATTACGTTTCCCAGCTACACTCACTTCATGTACAACTATGAAAGGAAAAAGTGCTGCACCTGCCCTCACACTCAACAAATTGGCTAAGATTTAAGTGGGAAAGGAGCCACTTTTTTGAGTGTGAGTGCACGTTTTCCAGTAAGTGCTAGGTTGTCACCTTGATCTTGTTGTCCTATCACTGTTGCTCAACTGTCCTTGATACAGTTTATTTCTACTCTCAAAAGAGTGGACAACTACGTATTATCTTCATACGAGGACCCTCGTCCTCGTCGTGAAAAATGACACCCCCTCGACGCACACTTGTCCCCGCATCCGTTCATTTTTGTCATAGGGTCATTGGTAAAAAGCCTGGAGACGTTCAAAAGAGACTTCAACATGTACCTCTGGATGGTCGCGCTGGTACTAATTCTACTTATAATAAATATCTCTAGTAGCTCTAGCTCACAACATCATGTTGGTGAAGTACTAGAGATAAAGATATTATGTTGTTGTCACAACACGACACTGAATTATGATCAAAATAAATCCACAATTCACAGTTAGCGATTTTCGTGCGTGCGATTACCTTCAAGCAAGCGTTGGCATCGCAGAACGGTGGAACGCTCTTGTTGTTCTCGTTCTCTGGTCCTGTCGCTGGCGCTATGGAAAAAACAGGTGTCTCCGCGATGATCGCGTCCTCTATCATGAGCGCGTCGATGAACAGCGTTCCTCTGGCGATTTTACTCATCTACTTTACGGATCCTTGTTACTTCGTAAAAAACCTCCTGGATGCGTTTCCCTCGACTTCTGATCTGTCGTGACTCTACTTCTTAATTAAAGATTTATTTCAAGGGATGAAGCAAACCGGAACACAGATCAGGACGCGACAGCAGATCCAGGAAATTTATGCATTCATTTACTCGACAGTCAGCTTGCTGACGCAGTTTATCGATAATCGCACTCTCGTAACGATGCTGATGATGCCGGTTCTAGACGTGTGCGTACAAATGCGAATGCCCGTAGTGCCACTAATGACGGTTTTGGTAAACGCGGCAGTCAGTATTACAACTTGCTAGTATCGCTGTGAGATTTTTTTGGTACTCAGGTTTCGATGAAAATAGGAGATTATGATTATCAAAATTTTTGGTAACTACAGGCTGATGCGTTCTTGAGGACCAAGTGTCGTCTAATACTTGTGATTTGCCTTCTCAATCTTCTTGCACCTCCAGGAGAACCCTCTACCCCTAATAGTAAGTACCGAAATTAAAACACACCCATCAAAGGTAATTTTATGTCACCGATTGGCTGTTCGCATAACCAGTTTGCCACGATGGCCGCGAACTATACTTTCTTTGATTTTTTACGAGCCGGTTGGGTCCTGCAGCTTTGCCATCTCACAGCCGTATTTAAGGCTCCTGCTAGTATATCACTATCCCATGAATGATGTGGACTATTTACTGAATGGACTCCCTCTTATCTCAAAGGGATAATTCTGAGAAGCAGAAAGTGAAAGGGAATCCACTCAGCCACGGAGAGTGACAAACTACCTTTAATGTATGCACCTTCGTCATCCTTTGGGTTCACGTATGCTCCTCCACTAGTCCATCGTTGGAAGGAATCTTGATGGTGGAAAGAAGTGCATAATCATAATCACTTACATGCCTGGAATTACAGATATTAGAGATGGTTCAAGTTTTTAGTAGACGATAGAATAGACCATAGACGACAGAATAGAGGTTCAAGTAAGTAGCTAGAAGACTGCGCATGTTGTCACGCGATTGAAAAGAAGTTGCCGTCTCGGTAACTATGTGAGTATATAAAAGTTGTTGATCATGAAGTAGTTGTTTGTTGAACATGCTGCTATTTCTCTCCATTCTTGTGTGTGAACGAAAACGATTAATGTTTTTTGCTTTAATTTACTTAGGCCAAGAAATTCGTTGCACAAAGAACAAAGAAGAATTTAACGGAAAGACGACGCTACGATGCGAGGCGCGATGATGCCCTTGCCATCGGAATTTTCCCTAGGTGATTTCAACCACGTTATACTTTTGGTTTCTAGGAACCCATCCTGATTAGGTTTTGCTTTTGGTGATTGACATAGCATAGCTATCGGAAAAACCCTACGACCAAGCCACTAGAAATTCGTTACACCGACATCTTGAAGAGTGTATTCGGATTTATCACGTAGACTACACAATTTCGCACGCTCTTATATTCCAGAAATGAATATGCAAGGTTACTAGAAGGACCAGCATTATGCGAACAGGAGCTAAAAGTCTATTTATTTTGATTGAACGGGCACGCCATTTTCGTTGATCATGCCACGATCCTCTTCTCTGTCTGCGTGTGCGTGAGCCTTGCTCGGGAGCAGAAGATGAGAGGGACTTCAGTGTGTGGAGTCGCCGATAATTTAATGAGTTCTTCTAGTTGACTTTTCTTCTAATATGGTTGGTGGGGAGCAGGTGGTCGTCACAGCGTCTGCTTGCCGTCTCCTGCTCCGTACCGAAGGGCCTCTTCTGCTCGCAGATATGCTTCTCTACAGTGGTGGAGAGCATAGGGCGATGCAGACCGACGTGTAGAAAAGGTATTTCGATTTTCCGCTTGCTTTTATCTTCCCTCCATGACTAGGTCGTACTCGCAGAATCAATGTGCAAAATTGTTACAGTGCTGTAGTAAACCAGAAACGGTGTAGGGAGTTTAAGCCCGCTAAAGAGTAAAAACGATTGTTCTCGCTAGCAGTATTGGAGTTCTTTTCCTTGTTTATCCGCGGTCGTCGACTCCTGTCTGTCAGTCTTCGTTCATGTATCAGTTCATTTGCTCAGCCTCCACATTCTGAGTTCACGCATGAAAGAGGACGAATACCAAACCCCCCGCACCACATCACGACTTCACTACTACTATAAGTATCTTACCATATTGATTTTGATTGCTCATATTTGGACATATTGACAACAATCATTATCTCCCCAAGCGGCCTAACTACTTCTCTTCGTCTTCTATTTCTCTTGTTTTGAGTATTTGTAAATACTTGCACGACTCGCCCCTCCGCATCATATTATTTTCCTTCCTCCACATACTATCCGTGTCTCGACGGTTTCTTAACGCACTATATAATCAAGACAACCCACCAGATATATAATGAAGATTTGTTTATGAGAAAATTTACATACGAAGCTAGTAAAGATGATGAAGAAAGTGCATGTAAATAAGAACATCTTCGCGTACTACCAAACTGACATATAATACATAGTGCATTCATGTCCGATACATAGTGACACGGTTATGTCCGCTAGATTCGGACCACCGCGCATCGCCACTTGATTGATTAATGTAGAGCAGGATGGTTTTAAAAAACTATCTGTCTACTTCCCAACCGAGGACGAAGATGGATGCCATAACAAGCTGTTTTCTGCTAGTCACGAAGTCAATACTAACACATAGTGATGACGATAAGTGCCAAAAAACCGAAAAAATTGATGATCCTCGTGTAAAAAAGATTGGCAAGAAGGAATGAAAGCCACTGGTTTTTCTATTGCGAAGAAAAAATCACAGTGACGGACATCAACCGCGAAGCACGAAGGCGCTATGGCTTTGCGTAAAATCTTCAACATGTTGATGAATTTCTTGTTGGACAACCACGCTGGCAGGACCAGAGCGACCGGAGACACATAGGCGCTCCATCACACTACAGCCCGTCTGCTTTGCGCTTGTTGAACAAAAAACGCAACATGTTGATGTCCTTGTAGCTTGGAGTGCTACGACACCCTCATGTCAGCAGAAATCGGTTTTTTCTTTTGGGAGGGTGGACACAAAGATTGATACTGAGAATTCTGTGAGATGTGAGGACAGTATCATCAGCCGAGTACTATGAATGTGCAGTGAGCCGCCTGTCCTCACTATCTTCTTTTCAGATTTTTCTTCACATGATTCGACCCGGTGAATAGGAAATAGCAACAATACCAAGGATGTTCACGAAGATGCGACTCTGGCCTAACGAATATGAATCAAGAAAATATGTACAAATAAAGTTGTTCTAAGAAAGAGGAAAGTTGTTCTAAGGACATCACATTAGGCGATACAGTTACGACCTAGTAGTAGGAGGTTATATCTTCTCAAAGATCTTGCTTCATGATTTCTTCTAGCGACTGCTATTTGTAAGCGATAACCACAAGAACACTGTTCTATTAGACCACGAGCACGTCATAATTTAAATAGGTTATTGATATTCAATTTATAATTGCAAATTTATGAGGCTGAACGAAACAGTAACAGAGACCCTTTTTTTGAGACCCCATCATTCAACATTAACAACTAGCTCTAACCCAGATAAACCGAAGTTTGAAACTTTTCTAAAATGTCGTTCACGGAGATGAACCAGTGATGAGCTGATGTATATTGTATAATATTTGATGAAAGGTTCTTGTTGTACGCGCAACTACTTGAAGTAACATCATAGCGCACTCACTACGACAAGTACATCTACATTTTTTCTTCAGAAAGTGAGAACAAATAATGGCGATGATGTCCTCCTCTTCCGGTTCACCTCCTGCATCTTGCAGTAGCGCGAGTGAGGTCGTCTCGCTGCTCGAAGAGTTGCGTGAAGATGGGCTGGAAGCGCTTCGAGGCGCGTGCACCTCTGGTATTGTGCGGGACTTGTCGCCGTTTCCAGCAGAAATCTATGACGCACTCTGGACAGCTCTGCAGCGGTCTTGGCGGTGGCGGAGCAAGAAGCGTTCTGAAGACGCAGCGCTCAACCGCAAGCGGCTTTTGGTGACGGACATTTTCACGGCGTTTCTCCGCTTTCCCGAGTACAGCTTAGGGAGTGAGCCGGAGGCCGTGATCGGCAGTTTATTAAGGCTTCCCACCCTAATCCATTTATTACATTTATTTCGGATGAAGCATCCATCCTCAACAAGAGCAGGCTTTTCAAGGGGAGAAGGCACCTACAACACCCTACCTGCGATGCGTCTCGAGCAGTGATGGATGATTAGGGTCGGAGGCTTTAAGTTTCGTCTTCGACACTCTGAGCCTGATGCAGTCGTCAGCGAACGCAGAGGAGGATGAGGAACTCCTGTATGCGATCCTGTACACGGCCTATCGAGACGCGTCGGGGTTTGCGAGAATGCGGTTGCGGAGGGATTTGATCGGGAAAGCCTGTCGCGAATTTGTGCGCTTTCCCCATAGAAATTTCTGTATTTCCCCCGCTATACGCGTGATGGCACACATCTTGTTCCAGGACGACTCCGCTGGCAGTGGTATGATTTAGTACCCTTTTTTGGACTTGGATTTATGTTCTCCTCCTCCTTGGACTTGGACTTTTGTCATTGCCATCTCAGTGATAGATGGAGTCAACAGTCACTGTCTTCTAGACGACTAAGTACTTACTTATTCACAGTGTAATAATAAGTCATCAGTGTAAAATTATATGAGTACTTATTCACATCAGCGTAAAATTATGTAAGTAATAAGTGATGATCGACGAAATCGAATCAATCAGGTACGACACCTTCTAAAGACGAGAACGTAAGCGCAGCCCTTCGAAAACGGGTGGCCAAAGAAGTGGTCTTTCCGCTCCACCAAACCAACAGGTGGTACGTGTGGGATCGACAAATTCCCCTGCTAAAAATGTACCACACTCCTTTAGTGCGGCTCCTAGACCGTTGGTGCGAGGCAGAGCCCGACTACTTCGTTGCGGAGACCCTGAAAGCCTGTGTGAAGCACTGGCCTGTGAGCACCGAAGCAAACACCGCGAAAGAGGTGCTCTTATTGCAGGAGATGCGCCGAATAGCGGAGCGCTCGCCGTCTGCGGCCTATTTTTAAGGGATGGAAGTTGAACCGTCTACGAGCATTTCTATGGTTTCTCCAAGTAGTACTAGGAAAGCCATAGATAACATGCGAGCTAGGGAGGTCAGCTTTCCACCCCCTAATGTTGCACCGAGACAGTTACGCCGGTGCTGTTGCCACGCATTGCGGCATGCCTGAAGTCGCTGAACGCGCAGGTAGTGGAGTGCGCGTTGCTGTTCTGGAAGAGTGAGAAATTCGCAAAAATGACATTGTCGACTTCGGCATGGATGCAAACGTTAAGGCTTCCCCTAATCCATCGCGTCCATCCCCTAATACAGGCGTACTTCTAGGTGAAAAACAGATGCGACGAGATGAATTATCCAAAGACGGAAGTTCAAATTTTTTTTCGGACCAGGTTCTGGCTCTCCCCAAGTGCAAAATCCCCATTCCATAGTGAGGAGCTCTAAGAACACTACTCCCACTTCTGTGGCGCGAAGAGGCCTTCTGGAATCCCACGGTGAACAAAATGACGGCATTGGTTCTCGAAAAATTCAGAGCGGGAGACTCGACGAAGTTCGACAAACTGTGCAGGCAGATATGGGAAAGTCGACAACTAGTGTCGCACGCGAAGCGGTCAGCGGCTAGTACAGCGTCTCAGAGTCGTGCTCCTCGCGCAGGCCCTGGACGAGGTGTCGCACCTTCAACATTACTCGAACAAGAGGAGCAGCAGGAAGAAGAAAGCGGCGATCTTCTGGATCAGCAGCCACCAACGAAAACCCTAGGTATGCAGAGGCGACCGGGAGTCACGACGAGTGCGGGTCTCGGAGGTGGAGCCGGTGGCGGTCCTGGATCCGTGGCCAAGCAAATGCGGGAGTGGAAGGAAGGGGGTCGTGGCGCCTCCTCGTCGCGTGGTGGACCGCCATCCACGATAACAGGCGTTGCGCCGTGGGCCGCCCAGAGCGGAGGTGGAGCGCGACAACCGCCATCCACGATAACCGGCGTAGCCCCATGGGCAACCGGAGGTTCGTCGTTCGCTGGCGGTAGACCGGGTCCGCTGTCAAGACAGCCACCATCGACAATAACCGGCGTGGCACCGTGGGCCTCCTCCGGAGGCACACCCGGATCATCCTTTGGGAGCAGGGCAGGCCCGCTGAGTGCTGTTGGAGGAGGAGCGGGCGCTGCTGGTCCTCTGACTGGCATGCTGCGGCCTCCGATGGGACCACTTTCCTCGACTAGTAATTCCTCAAATCAGGTGAATCCAATGTCGATGGAAGGCATAACTGAGGGCGACGAAGACAAAGAGGGTGACTCAGAGATGGAGCCTGTGGAAGGTTCATCGAGGTTCAACGCCCGCTCAACAGCAGAGGATGGTGAAGAAGATGCTGCTGTTGCGGCAATGCGTGTCTATATCCGAGAGTTGAACCCCAAAGTGAGCCAGGTCCGTGATTGGGACGACAACCTCTTGAGTCTAACGTCGACGTACCTCCCGACCTTAAAATTCCACGATATCGTCTACGGACACCAAGACCTGGGTTCTGGCGCTTTTTCCACCGTAAAATACGGTCGAACGGTAGTGAAAGGCCGCACCCAATCAGAGTGGCCTGAATACGCTGTCAAGGTTGTCTCCCTCGCGACCATTATTACGGCTTCAGCCGGGAAAAATCCATCTTCAGACGCATCTTGGGGCGCCCCTCTAAAAAGGGGAAAACATCAGACCCAACAAGAAGCATCCAAGATGGATCCCGGGAAGATCTAACATTGAGAAGCACAACTACGTCCGACAGGTGAACCAAGAGATGGCGGTCCTAAAGGTACTGTCTCACCCAAACATCTGCCGCATGGTTTCGACGTTCCGCTGGCGCGACGGGGCCTACATTGTACTAGAATTCTGCTCTCAGGGCGACTTACACGCATACGTCACGAAAAACGGACCACTTTCCTCGTCGTTGGCCTTATGGTGCAAGAAATGTTTGTACTAGCTGGAGCAACAATAAGCTCAAGATTAAAAACAATACTGTCCAGGAGCGACATGCGACGTGGGAGAGTGTTCAAGATAAGTAAGTAAGTTCAAGTAGCGAGAACAACATTCCGACAACTCCTGTGAGTCACTGATTAGCACTTATTCAGCGTAGTATGGACCTCCTACGTTTCTTTCACCGGGCGATCTTCATTATATGAACGAAGAACAACAGGGCTATCTGCTCTTCGCTGTCGTGGAAAATGCAGTCTTTACCAAGTTATACATACAACACGTAGAAGCACCGTACACCTACATAGATGAATGGACCCGGTATTTGGTAACCTGAAATCGATCACAAGGAAGAACAAGAAGAGAATCCTTGTGATCAAATTCAGGTTACCAAATACTAGAGCCGTACAATAGAAGTTGCCTTCATGTTGATGTTGTCATACACATAGTACCTACCGTGAATGTACATCTATTACATAGAAGTTGTCTTCATCGTTGGGTCTGTCTTCTAATCTGCAATCCCGCGGACGACTTTCGGTTTGTGGTAGGAGAAATCGTGGCGGGTTTGACTGCAATTCACGAACAGGGGTTTGCATTCGGTGATATGAAGCCGGAAAATGTCGTGATCACAAGCTCTGGGCATTGCAAGATCACGGATTTTGGTGGCGCCCGAGCACTTACGCCTGAGGCCAGTGCGCAAATCAATCAAGACTTGCTAGTAAATCTGCGAAGTGGAGACTGGAGGACAGGAGCGGCTGCGGAGAGTGGGCGATCTTCAACTGATGATTCCAAATCTCCTAGTGCTTTGTTCACTTCAGACAAAATGACGCCTGCGGTAGATCAAGAGCTAGCCTTGTTACAAGACGAAGAATCACGACGAACCATCACTGACGAATCAGAGCAGCAGAACCAGAGTGGTGACACCGTGCTAACGTTCGAAGGCACCTCAGCTTATATGGCGCCTGAGCTGGTGCGGAAGCAGAGGTCACCAGGAGTGCAGTCCGATGCGTGGGCGTTGGGTTGTTCTATCTACTTCCTGTTCTGTGGGCGTTTGCCGGTGTGGGGAGACAGCGACGACGGCGTGCAGAAGGCATTGGTGCGTTTTCTCGAGGAAAAAGACGCTGGTGGTGGTGCTGGCGCCAACAAAATCAAAGCTTCTATGGCCGCTGCAGCATCGTCGGAGACGGACGCGGCCGAAGCGGCCTGTGTCGTAGAAAGCTTGCTTCTAGAAGACGCAGACGAACGAGCAAATGTTGCGCGCTGTGCCTACGATCTCAAGCACTGGGTTAATAGAATCAGCAAAGACTACTTCACGGGGGCGTTAACGTTATCATCTTCTACTAGTATACCATCTTCCAGTTCTAGTAGCACGTCCTCGTCAATAAAATCCTGTCTCGACTACTACAAGCGTCCACAGGGACCGTTGACCGGTGGCACGGCATTTCAGGGAAGCACTGCTACAAGAACAGGTGGCGAGGATCCCTGGGCAAAGCGACAGTTCTCCAAAATCTGGACAGTCATGTCCAGTGAGCTAGTTAAGAGTAGGTTAAAGGTGCTTTTCTTGCCGCTTTTTATGCCTCTCCTAAGGGAGAAAGGCATAAAAAGCGGGGTAAGCGAGCACCAAAAACCTACCTCTAAGTTAGATAACCCTGCTACGGAAGGGAGTGGTGGATTCTCCTCTCGCGCCGTTGGCCCTGGCGTGGTGGATCTTGAGCTGCCATTCTCGTACAAAACGGCAGAAGAGATAACCGGCGAGTTCTAGTAGAGCTATCTGTCTCGGCCCACCAAGTAAGGGAGTTCTAGTGGAGCTATTTCTCTCGCACCAAGCAGTTAATTGTTTATGAGAGAAAAGCAAGCTTCCATTCTATTCATTTTTACGATGTTAACCCAAAGACCTTATGCGCTCAGAGCACTAAAGAAAATAACCGGTTAGTTTTTCCATTCCCTCGTGTGACTCCGCTCATGACCTATATATTATAGAGGAAAAGACGCTATGGCTATGATTTTTGGTAGCTCTTTCACTCGCTGCATGAGAGCCGCCTAGTGCCTCTGTTTTCTTTCTCACGCGAAGGTTGTTCAGTGCTTGTTCTGAGATTCATCTAGGAAGAGCGGTGAGAGGCGTGGAAAGCTGTAGGGTGTTGCCCGCATGATCGGTTGCGTAGTCTTTAGACAAAAGACGTACCAGACAATGTTGACTTGCAGAATGTATTTCGAGAAGGGGTTGCTATGCTTAGGCTGCTGCATTGAGAATGAACTGAACTACTACAATTATGTATAAAATTGAAACGCCTCTTCATGTGCCTGAAGTTGTACTTAGATGAATGAACTTCATCTACTGCAAAAGTCGTCCTGATGAAGTTGTTGTAGATGAATGAACTTCATCGTGATGTTGTGCTTGAGGAAGGGTAATTTCTTCTATTGTGTGCTTGTCGTGCATCTGCATGCGCGGTTCAGCGTCAGTTCGCGCGAAAAAAGAAGCCGTTGCTGACCGCAGCAGAATGAGGCTTCCGACTGCAAAATGTTAAAAATGACATCAACGCTAGAAGATAAAGCATCAACATCAACTGGCCAAGGGCCTTCCGTGGCTTCGTCCGGGAAGTTCCCGAGATTGGCTTGGCGGTTGATAGCGGCTCCAGTTCATGAGCGAAGGAGTGGTTTGCGACGATTAGCTTCTCACAACAACGAGAACATCTTGATGTCTGCATTATGCTCCTCTCGAGTGAAGACGAAGAGTTGCATCCGCTTGCTTGTCCGCTTTCTAGTTGGTCTGATTTATCTCTTTGTTCTGTGGTCCTCCAGTTTGTTTTCATTTCAGCAATCGCGCCTACGATACGAGACTGGCTTCAAAAACGGGATCAACTACATACTAGCAAGCGCGCAGGAGGTGCCTTGGTTTGTCGATTTCGACTGTCGGTACCAGCATAGCTCGATTATACCTGGTCTGCGTTGGTCACGCTGGATTGGGTCGATCGAGGCTCTGCATAAGCAGGGTTATGGGACTTACATCGACGTTTTGACGTCCGTCTCTGCGCAGTACATCCACAGAATCGACGATGCGTTGGAGGCCAACTTCGACCTCCGATTTCCCCTTGGAGATGAGTGCGCTCTTGGCATGCTCTTTTACTACTCGGCACGTTTGCACTGGTGCTTCTCGCAGGTAAGGGAGCACATGGGCATATCGAAGGACGTGCCCGAACAGTACCTCGCGGACGCAGACATAGACGGCCTGTCCGAAGGCGAGCTGCACGCACTGTCCATTTTAGATTAAGGCTAGCTTATTCGTATGCCTATCCCGTGTGAAGTAAGTACTTATGCTAAGTGGAGTCCTCCTTGATTTCAAGGAGAAAATAAGTGAGCTAGAGGGCAACTCACTCAAACAGGCATAGCGAAAAACTAGCGTTAATTAGAACAGGAACAGCGCAATTGTTGGGCGGCATCGGATGCTAAGGGGCAGATGGTCGAGATGTTCGCTCGGTGGCCAATGCGAGTAGTACTAGCATCGAAATGGCCGTTTGTCCTCTTTTTAATGCACGAAGAGGTCATACGGAATGCTCGCATCAGTCGGTTCTGGAAAGAGGACCCATTCATCAACTGCAAAATGGATATCGGAGACCTCACAGAAGGCAGATATGGCTAGTGACAATTGTGCTACATGCCGGTCCATTTTCCATCGACTTAGACTCTACTATTGCCAAGACATGAGATGAAGATGATGAAAATTACAAGTAGCAACACAAACGCTTATATCCATCCGGGCAATTATAATATGAATATCTTTTTTAGTGTTCACCTTCGTTCATAATTGTGGCAAGGAGGAAGAGCTGATGGATCGACATCGAAAGCTGCTCGAGAAGAATCCGTTGCGGTCGCGCTCTTTCTACCTCGAAACACGAAATTACACGCAGGGGTCCGGAAATTTTTCTGCACTGTTGAACTTTTTCTGGGATTCTGAGAGACGCGAGAACTATGCGATGGAGCAAGTTGAATGGCATAAGGTTAAGGCTAGCTCTCGCATCCCACGTGGACTATGTATGATCTAATTTAAATTTCAATAATATGCTGAGAAGTGGCGACGTTGGCGTTCCGTTCTTCTTCATTTAAAGAAGGGGCTGAAGCGAAGGGAAATAGAGGTTAAAAGGGGCGGAAGGGAAGGGAAATAAAGGTTAAAAGGGGCATAACTCACTCATCCACGCATAGTGAGAAAGTAGCGCTAATAAAGGCGTGTTTCAGTACATCTACCAGAAGGACAGCGACAGAGAGATTGAAGCTTGCCCGCATGCGTTTGCGTTTTTGATTTTACTGCGCATGCAAATGTGCATGCTGACTGAAAGCGCGTACTTCGTGGAGCGGGAGTACAACTATGCCATTATGATTCGCCGGGTGGAGATGGGAGACTTGATTTTTTCGAAATGGCCAGTTTTTGCGATGCTCTGGTCTTTGAAATCTACAGTACGACACGATTTCGACCTAGCGCTTCACTTACATGAGCTGCTGGATGCGCGCTCGTTTGTGGAGGAGGTCTCGACCCAAAATTTGATTCCCGAACTCAACGCCAAAGCAACAAATGTCGACGGAAACCGCTTACTGCGCCATCACCTGGTAAACGCAAAGAAAAGCATCATCTATTTCTTGCCCAAAGATAGTGCTGGAAGCGGAAATAGACTTGACGTGTCATCAGCTACCGTGCCTTCTGAAACTGGGCTAGTAGAAGAAAGCAGTTCATCGGCGGATCAAATTAGTTACAAGATGAAGTTCGGACCCGAAGGCAATCGAATATTTGAGGGCATACCAAGCGCGCTGGTCGTTAATACAAGCTTCCTAGAGGACCCGGTAGTGCAACGCCGCGTGGTTCAAATCAAAACGTTTTCCGAGAAGGAGCGAGCTGTGGGTAGTACGGCAAGAGTAGAACAACAAGAGGAGGAAATATTCGTGCCAGTGGATGCTGTGTTAGGGGATGATGAGCAAGACAGCACATCGGATCATACAGAAGCCGTGACGGTGCGGCAGAAACTGTGGGGTGGAGAGACGCCTATTTCGCAGAGTCTCGCTTACCTGTCTCAGCGTGGATCAGATCTCCATCGGCGAGTCTTCTCTGCCTTGGCCAGATTACCAGACATTTGGTGGGATGATGCCAGAAAAGAACAAGCTTTACGCGACTGGACCAGTCTCAGAGGAGGAAAGAATGTTGAGGTTAATACCGACGAAGCGCAACAAGAAGGTCAATCCGATACAGAGAAGATTTCCGATCATGCATCCAGTATGACATCCTACACAGGCAAAACGCTTCAAAGAAAGCGGGATTACGCATTAGAGGACTTCGATTCGCTCCCCAACGAGGGTTTGGCCTTTACGGTCATGGTGTGGGGCGAGAAGTTTTCCCGCTACTTAGAGCAGTTTGTCTTACGTTTCCGCGAAACGGTGAAGCGTGACAACTTGCTGGTTTTCGCCATGGACAAAGTCGCATACCGCGAGTGCCGACGTGCTTATTTAAGTCATAAGTCTTGTTTCGATGCAGCTGCTTGGAGCTTCATTTATAATACATTCCCTCCAAGATGCTCTGCGTCTGCCTGCTGGAGCTCCATTTTCATGCTTATCATGTCCTTCTCACATTCTCATTGACATCTGCATCACGAAGGTGCTACCTGTAGAAAGGCTCTTAGGCCCTAATGAATATAACTTCTCTGATCTCTCTGTCTTATGCGTCTATCTAAGCCTGCGCCGCATTGATGCTTCACGCTCCTCCAGTATGGAGACTTTTTTCAAGCGGAAACTGACTTATGAGGAGGTACACGAAGAGCGGAAGGCACGAGAAAAAAAGCTGAAGGAGCGGCACGGCGCAGAAGTGATCGAAGCGATGACCGACGACGAGGTGGATCAACGTGTGCGCGAGTTAGCTCATGAAGAGCGTGGCGAGATCATCGAGACTACAGCTTCTTCAGAGGACGAAAATGATCCTAGCGGTAGCTTTCAAAAAGAGATGGATAATCCGGATTCTACGGATCCAGATCCAGTAGCTCCAGCATGCATATTTGGTGACGACGTGCGAACAATTGTGTCGAAATTCACGATTCCTCTCCTGCTGGCAAAATTTACGAACTGGAACTTTTCTCTATCCATCAGACAAGACCCATCTAGTCCTCACAAGAAAACTGCACTGATTGACGAAAGTCAGGATTGTTTTCATTTTTAGGGAAGTAGAACAAGAACCAGTGGCTTTCTGAGCTCATAGTACAGGTGTTAAAGATCTCACTCTTCCCAACATGTTCATAATTAAATGTTACTGTTTACCATTCTCGAGCATCCTCTTCTTCATAATTTATGGTCTTGACAGCCTGTGGATAGATTTCGATGTGTACTTTGTGCAGGATCCGACGCCGCACCTTCTTGAGGCTCGAGGCCGGGAAAGAGAAATCTTGATCTTAAGGCAGCTAATACTGATCCCGGATGGAAGCACTGGCTACATTTACGATAGCAGCACTGATTGAGCAGCCCACGAAGGACAGACACCAGGTATAACAGTGCCGCAGTAACAACTTAGTACTTCTAAATAGTACCTCTATCCCGTGTCACAAATCAGTGGCACACACTCTATAACTCTAGCAACATCATAAGGGAAGAAAATAGGACGTTTCAGTCATGTGATATACTACTTCTCTATGGAAGATGAACAACAACAAGTAATGCAGAATTACGGTCGTGGAGAGCTGCGCTCTAATGGCAACCGGTAGTTTCGCTTCACATTGCATTTGCAATGGTGTGGTTTACTTCAAGGGGACAGATCGCGTCGTAGTGTGGCTTTTGGATGTAATCAACTGGATGTACGCCCACCCGTACGAGCATGATCAGAAATGCTTCGCACACTGGTTGGACCACACATTATGACTCGAAGCACAGTGAAATTGAATGCTAAATGTTGATCTAAGTGCAGGATACTCATGAAAAATCGCCAACCTCACTTCTTTGGTCAGATAATGTTCTAAATTCGGAGATGAGCATCGTTCTGTAAGAAAAACCTCTCAGATGGTTATGATCTACCAAAACCAATGGGAAAGCTTTCACATGCCAATGAGAAAATTGTCCAGGAGAGATCGTCTTCCCGAGGATCGCACCAAAGGTATTGCAACCGCAGCAGCTCTAATCACAGAGCGCGTTACTTTCCGACCGCTGCCACGCTCGGGACCCGTACCACAATGGGCTTTGCTCGAATCCGTCCAGAAATTTGTCACGGCAGCAGTAGTAGAGGGCAACGGCTGGATGGGAAATGTAGATGACATTGTCCTCTTTCATTTTATGGAAACAAGAACTTTTGTAGTACGCGAGAAGAAGACTATTTATCTATACCGAACACATTTATACTCATAATTGAGCAACAACAACTTCAGCAAGGAGTACAACTTGTACTTGAATTCTCGTACTCGTCTCTAATCAGAGGCTCCACGGGGACAGCGACGGGGCAGGCGCGAGCGGAGAATGGCTGAGGAATTCCGACTTTTACAAAAACTATCTCGGTCAACTTGTCAAAGGACACGACTCTACAACGCCGATAACGATGATGGACATCTTCTTTGGGCATCCTGAGTCTCAATTATTAAGGCTGATTCACTGGAGCAAGTAGTAAAGTATCCTGAAACTGAGTCTGAACTAAGAGTGACGAGTCTCTTGTGATTTTCTCAATGAAAAAATATTGAAGCAGGGAAGGAGCAAGTCCCTGATCACTCAGTTAAACTGACACAATAGGATCATCATGAAACAAATAGAGCTGAGCTAGCGCTACCACTAATGCTAGCAAGTCCCGAGATGAAGCTGCGTGCTTTGGAAGCGAGTCAACAATTCGAGCGGAAGCTGCTTCTTACAGAAACGCAGCACTGTGGGGTCATGGGTGAACTTGTCACAGAGCATGACACACTGAAGGAAAATTTGGCGGATAAAGATAAAATGATACTCTAGGAGGAGGTCTGCTAGGGTGGACTTGGACAGGTGATCATGTTAGGTGGGCTTTTGAGGAAGATAGAGGATCAAGAGGGAGAAGATGATTCAGAAGGGCGATAAGGTGTCCAGGAGGGAACAAGCCTCTTACCAAAACATCACTGGGGAGGGAAAGACATCTAACGATTACGATGCACGATAGGACATAGTCAATGCGCTGAAAAACTTTGATTGTAGATTTCTCCAACACTCGATTGTTTTTGTCATCATAACAGGATACACAGAAGACAACGAATGAAGAGTTCTTAGATAAGTTTGAATTTTTCACTGGATCTACCAAGGCGGGACGCATTGCAACCAACTGTCTGCAGCTGCACTCAACAAGAATATTTGTAATTGAATGTTGTTTTATCTTCTCATGCATGATGTATATGTACCTCTAGCATGACGAGCACCACCGCTGGAGGCCATGTTGCCCTCGGGTCGACAAAGCAGGCGGTTTTTAGGCTGCGTGCGTTGAATGGTACACTTGCGCGTTTGACCGTGTGGGATGAAAACAAGGTCGTAAGGAAGCCTGCAAATAGAGCAGATAAGAAATCTACTAAAAATGACAGATGACGATTGAGAAACAATAGCAAAGTCGTGTGCAAAGTCGTGTCTTTCTGCATCAAAGTTGGAGCTCTTTAATTGGGCCGGGAAGAAGGTGCGTCCTCCTCTTGGTATTCAAAAATGAAAACCGTAGGTCCCTCAACAACCTTGCACTTCTATTAAAGACAAAGACTGCCCGAACAAGTAGTCGACTGTGACAAAAGAATTGGAAAAGGTTGACCACGGTGAAAAAGGATGCGACGATGACGCAGCGTGTCTTTCTGCTCTTGTGGCAGTTCCTACCACTGCTGATTGACGCGACGCGTCCTGATCGTCGAACATCCGTCGGCTTGCTTGGGACTCGACGATCACGAAAAAGCACAACATTTTATGTTCCGAAAATGATTGAAAAAGGACTGATGTAGCTTGTGATCTTCGTGCATCTGGTAAGAAGCCCTTCGACTTCAGTTGTACAGTGCGGTCTTTCTAGTCTCTTTCAGTTCTACTACTTCATCGTCAGTGACAAGAACTACAAGAAGTTTATCAACACGGCAAGATATGACACCGACTCCGATAGAGAAATACAGGAACCATGGAACATTTAGTTACGACTATTAAAGCAAAAGTCTCAGTCTCACACCCACTTGCTCCCAAGAAACTTTTTCTAAGTAATGTTGCAGAAGGATTCTGTGCAGAAGGATGCTGGAGAACAAACGGCGATTCGGCAGGAGACTGCCGCAAGAGTGGACCAGATCACGAGTCAATTAGGTACTCTCACGCGCCATGTAAAAGCTGTTGGCGAACGCGTTCTGTTAGGGCCACCTTGTATGCGTTCTGTACTGGCATGTGACGCAGCTTCCCCACTCTAGAATCTAGTAAGTACTTCATTTTCGTATTGTTCGTCACTAGTAATCACTTTCACCCTCCCTATTTTTGGCGACACTCGGCTACTTGATTCTGTCATATTGTAATACCAAAGTAGTGATATTCTTGACGATAGCCTCAATTTTATAGTAACAGCAATACTCATCTAGCACTGCTCAGATGAACGTGGGAGGTCCTCACGATGAATTGTTGTTGCTGTTTTTACTTTTGTTTTTATGTTACTTCTTCGCGGACTCTGACGGACTACAGACTTCTGAGTAGTTTTGTGTTTCTTGTGGTTCTGAAGCTGAACAACGAGGACAACTCCGACTAGACTACAAATTCGGTACTGCTAATATTGGATATGCAGTACAACACGGAGGCTGCCATGACTGAAGTCCGGACTCTGGAGTCCGTTTTGGCTCAACGGAATGCAACCGCAGTCGAAGTTGGTGAACTCATCACCCAGGTAGTACTTAGACTTACATTTAATGATGAAGATGGTAGTACTTAGACTTATAGACTTACAGTTATTAATGATGATGACGCGAGTCCGTTCGGCAATCTGCCTAAGATTTCCTCGACGACTTAATACAGTGAGTAATTTCAAAAAAATGATCAGATTTTACAGGTGGTGGTGGATAGGGACGATAAACAATACAGATCTACCTCGTCTAATTTCCTCGATAAACAATACAGATCTACCTTGTCTTCTAATTTCCTCGATAAACAATACAGATCTACCTTGTCTTCTAATTTCCTCGATTAAGTATAAAAATAGATTTTAATATTCTCTTAGACCTAAAAAGGCTAAGGTAACACGACTTCTTCATTTCGGACGAGTACGTCGTTCAAAGATACATCTTCTCTTCCAAATCAGGCGTCCAAGAGTTCCGCAGCACTGCAGGAGAAGAGCTTTGTCGCGCATGAGAAGAACCTGACGACGCTTACCGAAATACGCGTACAAGAATTGGAACCCCTCGTTAAGGTTTCTAGTTCCTGTACTTGTGAATTCATTGATGTTAACATCACAGCTAGCAAGAACAGCCACAGCATTGACCCATCTTGTTTTCGTACTGCCTTGAGAAGTACTTAGGTTCCTACTGGAGATGAACGAGTAGGATTGTTGTGATAGCTGCTAGAGCCCTAGTATCGACTAATAAAATGCGTACTACTTCTGCTGTTGGGGTTGTCGTTTCTCAAATGTTATATATAAAGCTGCTACCCCGTATTCATCTGCATCGTGGTCTAGTAGCTTTCTCGTTGTATTGCTAGTGCTGTATTGTAGGGCCTCTTATCTTCTGTCTTCTCACTCGTATTGAATGGTTCTGGTATTTTTGGTATAGCCTGAATTTGATCCTAAGGGTTCTCTTCTTGTTTTCCCTTAGGATCAAACTCAGGCTATGCCAAAAATACCAGAATCTTCTCACTCGTATTCAGGTTACCAAATACCAGAACCATTCACGTATCATCTATGGCTAAAAGTATCTTCTAATTTTCCGAAGAAGAAACTACAGTTTGAGGATTTCCAGATGCAGGTCGGAGACGCACAGCAGTCAGTCGACGCTTTGCAGCCAGAGATGCAACGGGCGCGTGCTCTTGTAGACGATCTCACTTATGACGAATTTCATGCTGTTGCCCTTGCACTTGCTGAACTTACCCCCAGATTGGGTATACTACTACTACTACTACTAGCTAGCCCTTCGCTTTACGAGTACGACATCTAACCGGGCAACTGGGACATCCTCTGCACACTCAAATAATGATCTTCATGGCCGTTACATTTAGGCAAATTAGATTATACAACACTAGCCTCCACAAGCTTCGCCCGGCTTCAAGTTAGTTGAGCACTTTTCTGCAGCCTCCCACGGGCTACAGCCGCTAGAGTAGAGACAGCCCGCGGGTGAGCTGTTGCACCCTACGAATTAAATACGACAAGAGCCGAGCGCCGACGGTGGCCGACTCAGGTCGATGCGTCGACTCATGTGCAGGGCATTTCGTTGCCTTCGGTTTTTTTATGAGATTGCCGGGGGGTCATGCAAATTCTTAAGAATTTGCAAGACCCCCACGGCAGTCCAACGAAAAAACCAGAAGAGGGCCACCAGACACGCACAAGAATCCGCAAGCCCCAACGCACGCAAACGCCTCGCGGTGGCGCCAGGCAAGAACGGACGGCGGCTTTAGCGGGCCAAACAAGACAAAGCATAAGCAACGCAGGGCCGCGCTGCTCGGGTCTCTCTACGCGCTTACACCTGGCGGGGCTTCTTTGTTTCGTCAGATGTCTCTCGTCAGAAACAGACGGGCGCACTTCGTGGGGGCGTGGGGCGTCGCGCTTCGGGTTGTGGCTGAAGCCTCTTGACTGGCTGACGTCTTTCGCCAGGATGGAGACTGAGGCCTTCCATCAGACTGATGCCGTTCGTCAGACCAACGCGCTGCGCCAGGCTGGCGGCTTTCGTCAGACGACAGGCCGGCGCCCTTCGGCGGACGTCGTGGGCCAGGCTGAGGCTCTTCGTCAGGGTCGGGCGACGTCTCTCGTCAGGCTGACGCCTTTCGTCAGACTGAAGCGCCTCGCTTTGCTGACATTCCTCGCCGGGCCAAGACTCACGCCTTTGGTCAGGTTGATGGCTTGCTTCAGCATGGCGCCGCTGGTTCGTCAGGCTGATGCACTGACCAGCCAGGTGACGCCTCTCGCCAGACCGGCGCACTGCTTCGCCAGGCGTCTGCCTTGCGTCGGAAGCGGAACAGGCTGCGCGGGGCCTTTCTTCGGGCTGCGGATGTCTTTCCTTCGTGAGATTGATTCTGCCCCTTCGTCGGACTGACGTTTTTCGCCAGACTGACCGCGTTCGTCGGACTGACGTCCTTCGCTATGTATCTTCGTCGAGGTAGGGCCTCTCGCCACAGGTCGGGCGGCAGTTTTTCTGGCAGAGGTCGTTCGTCAGATGTCTGCCGTCGCGGGTCTCTTGTCTTGTCGGAGGTCTTTGGTCCAGCGGTCGCCCAAAGGTCGCCGTTGGTCCAACGGTCGCCTTCGGTCCAAGGCCCTTTGGTCCAAAGGTCGTCGCACTTTGGTCCAAGGGTCGCCTTACTTTGGTCCAAAGGTCGCCTTACTTTGGTCCAGCGGTCGCCTTACTTTGGTCCAGCGGTCGGCTTACTTTGGTCCAGAGGTCGCCTTAAGAGGTCGCCTGTGGAGTGGTCTGCAGGTCGTCTGTGGTCCAGCGGTTGCCTCTGGTCTGAGGGTCGCCTTTGGTCCAAAGGTCGGCTTTGGTCCAGAGGTCTGTCGTGGTCCAAAGGTCGTCGGTGGTCCAAAGGTCGTCTTTGGTCCAAAGGTCGCCCTTGGTCCACAGGTCGTGCCTTGTCCAAAAGACGCCTCTGGTCCAAAGATCGTCTTTGGTCCACAGGTCGCCTCTGGTACACAGGTCGTCTCTGGTCCAAGGATCGCCTTCGGTCCAAAGATCGTCTTACTTTGGTCCAAAGGTCGCCTTATTTTGGTCCAAAGGTCGCCTCACTTTGGTCCAGAGGTCGCCTTACTTTGGTCCAGAGGTCGCCTTACTTTGGTCCAGAGGTCGCCTGACTTTGGTCCAGAGGTCGCCTTACTTTGGTCCAGAGGTCGCTCTACTTGTCGTCGTACTTTGGTCCAAGGGTCGCCTTACTTTGGTCCAGCGGTCGTCTGGTGTGGTCCAAAGGTCGCCGGTGGATGTGGTCCAAAGGTTAAGGTCGCCTGTGGTCCAAAGGTCGCCGGTGGTCCAGAGGTTGCCTTTGGTCCAGTGCAAAGGTCGCCATGGGTCCAGCAATAGCAAAGGTCGTCTTGGGTCCAAAGGTCGTCTTGGGTCCAGGGGTCGTCTCTGGTCCAAAGGTCGCCTTTGGTCCAGAGATCGGCGCTGGTCCAACGATCGTCTTTGGTCCCAAGATCGTCTCTGGTAGGTAGGTCCAACGATCGCCTTTGGTTCAAAGATCGGACCAAAGATCGCCTTCAGTCTGAAGGTCGCCTTCGGTCCAAAGATCGCCACTGGTCCAGCATAGGGCTGGGGTCCAGGTGTCT